TGAGAAAGTTGAGAAGATTCCTACTGGAAAATTGTAGAGTACCTACTTTGTGAAATTAAATAGAATTTTCAAAGGCCCTTTTTATGGATCTTGAAATATTTTTTAATCAAATAACGACAAATATAGGTAACATGCTATTAAATTAAAATTTAATTATAAAAATTTTAATCTATTTCTTATACGATAATTATAATATTAGTTAATTAATTAGTAAGGAATAAATCTTTTAAAAGCTGTATATAATATTAATTGGATGTTTTTTTGAAAAAAAAACCTAATCATAATATTATAATTTTAACCACAGGAAATTATTGATGTTTTAATTATATATTTTACAACTTTTAAAAAAATTTTATAATATAAATATAATTATATTTTATATATTAGAAAAATTAATATAATTAAATATAAAATAAATAAAAATATTTAATTTTAATTGTAGTAAAATATTTTTGTCATAAATTATTATGTAATAATAAAAAAAATTGTAAATATGATACCGAATAATATTCATATTTTATAAAATTCTAATATTGAATAATGCCATGAAAATTTTTGCCTTAATTCGAAAAAATTAAAAAAAAATTTTTTTTTTAATTTTATATTTATTTATACGTTTTGTGAATGTTTCATTTATGAAGATCAATTAAAAAATGATCCATTTCCCATGAAGTTGCGAGGGAATATAGACAATAAATAATTGATATAAATATTGTTGAGTGTGTTTGCAAAAGTGAATTTTATTAAAGGGAAAATATAAAAGTGTCGTTTAAGAATAACGAATGTCAGCTTTATAGGGTGTACTTCGTTATAAGTTTGCGTATATTTTACCTCGTTACTGTTATGGTTCATGTGAGAAATAACTTCAATACGTCATTGTCGATCGCGAGAAAGTAGTATAACTCGACGTCAGACCTGGTAGGTCTCCAACTAATTTTGTAAGCAATATACAACTATATATAACACATACATAGAATATGTATCAATTGCGAAAAAATTTGGGTTTTTTTTTTTTTTCAAATATTAATAAACAAAATTTAAATGCCGCTGGGAAATATCGAATATAATCTCTGATACTTGATTCTGCAGTTGAACTCAACGTCCTATAAATATTTAATTAGAATTCAGGAAAAGATAAGACCTTCGTTGCGCGGGGAAACCTAAAACTGGTTTTAAGGAATCAACTTTTAATGATCGTTCCTTTCCCACCAGACAATTTCTTCTTTTTTTTCCATATATACATATATATGTATATGTATTTTATGACTTTTGAAGTACAATTTTTATTTTTGGGTAAAGTTTATAGCACGCGCAAGGACATTTAGAGTCGTTGAAAAGGGCTTACACTGTGAAATTTATGAACGATAAATAATTCTCTTTCAAAAAAAAAAAAAAAAAAAAAAATGTATTTGTGAAACTGGCATTTTTTATAAATTTTTCTTGAATGCTTTTAATTGCTTTTTATTATATACAGTGATGACATTTTACATCTCTTGCGTTATGTAGCAATCTATATTATAGAATCAATAACTGAGAAACTTGCGATCGTGAGTCATTGGAGAAATGTATATGAACTTTTCAGGATCTTTATAAAATTTTTCCAATCAAGTTCTCTATATTAGTTCTTATTTTTAATAATAATAATAATAATAATAATAGAGATAAAAATTTTCCAATAAAGTTAATATTTATAATAAATATTTTAAAATATACCTAATTTAAAAATAAATAGTCACTTAAACATTTTTTATGTTTTGTTATTGATAAAAATTATTTAATAAATGTCATCAATAAAATTTAAATATCTTTCATGATTATTCAAATGGTCATTAAAAAAAATCAATTTTCAAATTAATATTTGTTTTAAAGTAATATATGAATTCATATTGTTCATATATTTCTTTAGGATATAAAATAAAAATTGTCCATTTGGAAATAAATTAAAAAAAAAAAAAAAATTTTAAGCTTATATAATTATTGAAAAATCTAAGAAAAATTATCACTGAATTATTTAATAAAAAGAAAGTTTAATCGGTATAATTAAAAATGAATTTATAAAGAAACCTATATTTTTGGATTTCAATTCTCGCTTTGTCATAAAAAATTTCGCAATTATATCTCAATAATTTTTGACACTAACACCTTGTATATTTCTATTTTTTCACACACATTTTTTTTAACTATTAATATTTTTTTCATTCTCCTTCAATTTTAATTAATCATAATTAATTATTACGATAAAAAAAGAATAAAATTTCTGAAAAATATTAAGAGTATTTCTATATAGAATGTATTTCTTAGACTTATAACAGAAAAAAAAATGTGTGGAAAGGATAAATTGCTTCTTGGAGCGATCAATGTGTCGATACATACGAAAGGAAGAAGATAAATATAAAAAAAGAGTTAAGGTTGGCGCCTATGATTGTTTGTGCCACCTTTCTCTCTCTCTCTCTTTTTTTTACTCTTTCTTCCACCCGAACAACAATCTGGCATCGAGATTTTATTGTCCGATTAAACTTCCGATTCGCGTTCGTACTTATACACGCAATTCTACTTTGCTTCAGGATGCATTTTATTTATATATATATATATATATTTTTTTTTAATCTCCACTCGACACTTTTCAAGTTCAAAATGATTGAACTATAGAAAATATATACGATTATTTAGATAAAAAAAAAAAAGTAAATCGCAATTACAAATGAATAATTGCCTCATTTATATTTCTTCAATCCTTTTCTTTCTATATAGGTAGTATGAGGCAATTATTCATTTGTAATTACTATTTGTAATCTGAAGAAAAATTTTTTTCTTCAAAATTTTTAATTTTTTTAAAATCTTTTTAAATCCTTTTTTTGCTATACTCGAATCCCAAAGACCTTCAAAATGTTCAACAACAAAAAAAAATTTCGATATTTTTATTAATTAGCAATGAATTCAACTTCCTTACTGTAGTTCAATGACGTTTTGTATGAGCCAATCAATATTCATTTTTAAATTGGTTAATAATTTAATTGACTGTTGGTATTTAGTGTCTTTAATTAGTTTCAAAATACCACAGATATTATCAACCAATTTTCTTTTTCTCATTCTACTATTAGTATTTCTTCGACAATTTATTAATTAATATATGTGCAATTTAACTGACACAATGAGCCTTAAAAATAATTAAATATTTCTTGGAAAAATTAAAAAAAAAAATTCATATGTAAAATCTTAAAAACTTGCTATGGAGCTTCCAATTTTTAAAGTTTTGATTTTTAAAAAAAACTTTTGAATCGTAATTCAAAAAAATTTGCTAAAAATCTCAATTTTTTTTTTCTAAAAACTGCAAAAACCTTAAAAGTTTTCTATATTTTTTTTCTTTAAAATCACACAGAAAAGAATTTTAAAAATTTTTAAACAAAAAAATCTGATTTTCAAAAAGTTTTTGAATTACATTATTCTTGATAAAAAAGAAAAAAATATTTTTTCCCCACACATTTGAGAGTTACTGAGAAAAATCTTTCGTAATTAAAGAAACCATATGTATTACTTTCTGTTATTTGAGAGAACTATTTATAAGTGAAACTTGAAATTAAAGAAAAAATGTATGCAAGACTTATTGTTAGTACAATGCAATTTAAGACATACACGTGAAAAAGTTGCGTAAATGAAAATATTATATAGCGTAATATCTGCCTATATGATTTTCATGGTTTATCAATATTTCCACTTCTATGGATATATGAAATTATTTAATAACATCCCCATCATTACTGTGATTATATATTCTTCATTACTCCCACTGGATTTATTATCATATAATAAACACGTTTTTCTCAGGAAATCTCATTGGTCCCGCAAGTGGAAATTACTAAATAAATAACTCTCTTTGCCTTCCCTATAAGGAGTCATGAAAAATCTTACTTACGCCTTATCCCTTTTTTTTCCTCGATGTCCCGTTCTCAATGGAAAAGACACAGTAATATTATATTCTACAAGTCTTTGTGTTTCAAGGTCCCCATATACACGCATATATATATAGTCTCTGAAAATAAAAATTACTATTATTATTAAATTACAAAACGTGGTTTTATTTACATTGTTATAGATATTTTTTTCCTTAATATTCTTGCGCATTGGAAAGTTATTTATGAACAATAAATAGATATAATTATTAGTTAACTATAGTGTTTCTACTATTCAAATATTTAGAGAAACTTTGTTTCGTAAACCGATTACAAGTCGGAAAATTAAATAAAAAATTTTGGTTTTTTATAATACCTAACTTGAATTGGAAAATTAAAATAATTTCTTAATAAAATGTCACATTGAAAATAACATGTGCTTTCAAACACGGAATTGAAGAGGGAAAGCAACTTTTCTTATCTTTGTTTGTTTGTTTGTTTTTTTTTACTTTTACTATATCTTCAAGATAATTATTTATATTCAATGTATAATATTTACATTATAACTTCATAGTTTAGATAATTCTTAATCTAAATTGCCAATTTAAGTAAATTTAATTTAAAATTGATAAATTACGTCTGTAAATTTTACAACATTTATGATCAAAGATTGAAAAAAAAAATATTTTCATTTAAAAAATAATTAATTTTTTGTCAAAAAAATTTTTATTTTAAAAATTGTTAATCAGGAAACTTTGAAAAAATTTTTTTAGACAAAATAATATAATAATTTACACAGAAAGATATTTCTTTCTTCTAAATCGTTTATCATAAACCTAGTGAACTTCACCGACGTGATAAATTAAAATTTTGATATTTTCCCTTCACAATTAAAACTCTAATTAGTTTTTTTTTTTTTTTTTTTTTTTTGGATAAAATCAAATTTTCGAATCTCTTTACTCGCGTTTTATTTATTTTTTTCTTTTTATATCGAATATTAGTTTATTTCGATTGATTGAAAATAAATTTCAAAATTTAAAGTTGAAATAAAAAAAAACATGAAAAAAAACGAATTTAAATATTAAGAAAAAATATATTTTTTTATTTTAGATACTGTTTTACCAAAATGGCCAAAAATCAGCAACAAAATGGAGTGGTACCCGGAGGAGGAGGCGGCACAGGGGTCGATGACTTTTCCGATGACGACAGTACACCCCTGACTCAAGATTATGTCGGAAGGTACAAATATCTAAAATTAAAATCAATTAATATTTTAACAAAATTATATCAATTTCCAATTAAATTAATTTTTTTTATTTTTGGATCAAAGACCGCAAATTTCAATTATTAAATTTTTTTTCCTTACAATTTAATTAAAAGACAAAATTATGTTACAATTTAAGTTAATTAATATATAAAGAAGTATAATTAATTTAAAAAATAAAGATAAATTTTTTAAAATATTGTTTTGGATAACAAATAATGAGGAAATAATTCTTTTTAATTATAAAAGAAAACGTCAATATAATTCAAGTAATAATTCTATACTTTCATCATTTAGAGCAAATTCTGAAACATAGAGATAGAATGAAGATATAAAGATTGTTTCGCAAAACAAGAGTGAAGTATATAATAATCAATAAAGACAGAATTGTAACTTTAAATCAGCAATAAACTTGGATTCTGTCTTGAAGTTTGAAGTAATTAGATAAAAATGTTGTCAGCAATTGATCATTCAAGTGAAAATTCCCACAGTGAACACGACAGACACACACATATTATATATATATATATATATATATATATATATTGCTAAGTCAGTTTGTATCCTTCAAATTAAAAAAGAAAGGTTTTAACAGCTTTAGATTTTAAACTTGATTGAGAGATGCATTTCTGATAAAATATCGTGAAGTTATTTTACGCAATGATTTTGCATACCATGTATTATAAAACTAGATATTGAATTTATTGTCTCGAGAGTGTTATCACTACGTCCTTTTAGAATGCAAAGTATTTCAAGGAAAACTATGGCTGTTAATATTTTATTCGCTTCTGATTAATCGATATTTAAAAGTTAAAAGTCCTTTTCTAATTTTCTCACTTATTATTATTATTATTATAATTTTTCTTTGACTTCAGGTTATTTTTTAAAAGGACAAAATTCTTTAATAACAAGTTTTAACAAAAAAAAAAAAAAATTTTGATATCATTTAGCAAGAAATTTTGATTTGAAAAATATTTTTTTCAATAAATAAATATTTTTGGAATCAATGTATAATATTTCCTTGGATTCTTGTACATCAGTTACAGAAAAGAGCAGTTTTCCGACAAGTTTAAAATTCAACATTGTGGGGATGCAGAATCGGGAAAATGCCTATATTTCGTACAAGATTGGCACAATACTTTCTATTATAAACTTTAATTATAAATGTTTAGAAAAAAAATATTATTTTTTGTATTGTTTGAAAAACATTTATTACCTTCTTCTTCTTCTTCTTATGATGAAATAGCTTAGGTCAGGAGAAAGAATTAATTATACCTTTGTAAATATTTGGAGAGGTTATGTTGTCCGATTGTAGAATCTGGTCGACACGCTTATATATAACTCTCATCACTATCACTTGCTTGATTAATTCACTTTGTTAATACCAAGTAATTATTTACTGAAATTAGAAACTGTAAAATTGAATTTAAAATGATAAAAATATTGCATAAGCATTGCTAAAGATGAAATGTAGAAGTAGAACTATCTGCCAGTAAACTATCTTCAGATTAAGATTGTAGAATCATCTAGATTACGCTAGATGGAGCCACATTGATGTGAGTGCAGAAAAGTAGAAGAGAATGCTTACAATTATTTTGCCCTGCACTAAAAATGATGTTTTTTCTTGTAAATTAAATAAATTTATTAATTGAGTCATAGAAATTGTTTTTTAATTAAATTTTTTGTCAATTAGAAAAATGTATATATAATATTAACAGTTAGTACTATGCAAGTTGTAGATTTTCGATTGAAAATCAATGATGAATTTTATTTGATTCAAATAATCGATAACTTAACTATTCTCAAATAAATATTTACTTGAACCGAATAATTTTTATTTGAATTAAATAAATTTTATTTGATATAAAATAATAATTATTTGATACAAATACATATTTTTTGATAATAGTCAAGTAATCGATTATTATTATTTGAATAAAATAAATTTTTTCAGTGCATTAATTGGGCAAAAGTCTTTTATAGTTTTTTGTATTTCAAAAAAAAAAAAGTAAATGTACTAATTACTGCGCGATTCCAGTTAGGAAACCTTTTGAATAGAAAATACTATATTTATTTTGAAAAAAATAAACTTATGATTTATCAAACTAGTTCGTGTTATTATAAGATATTTAAAAAAATAAAACCCTCATAAAAGTAGATTATTTAAATAAATTAAAGCAATTAAAAATTATATCACACGCGTCTATTGCTGTGCATTTCAGTCAGTTTCTGTGTCCCAAATACTATCACAAAAACAACGGTTCTATTGCTGACAGTAATTAAAAAAAAATCCATTTAGTACTAAATTTATTCAATGAAAATGTATCAATGCCTTTCGCAATATTCAATCTTAAATAATTAAATTAAAAATAAATGAACATTTTTATGGACAATTAATATATACTGCCGTCCCAACAAGAGTAGCAGTAACTACATTTTGGATAAGTCACTTATTGGTGGCAGTGGCAGTGGCAAGTAGGTGACTCATCCTAAATGCAGATACGGTTATTCTTGTTGGGGCGGCAGTATAGACTTCAAATAAATTTTCCAAATATTTTGAAACAGCTACATAGCTGAAATAATAAATAATATTTATCAAATAAAGCGCAGCAATTGGCACAATTACCATAATAAAAATCGTAAAATTTGGTTATTTGACAAATTATTCAAATTTAATTTTACACTAAAACAAAAATTTTATTAATATGAAAATTATTATTATTATTATTATTATACCGTGGTTGTCCCAGTTTACGTACTGAAAATAACATTATTTATAAAAAAAATTATTTTCTTTTAATTTGTTTACTTAAACTAATATTTTTGAGCATGCCATAAAGAATAAAATATTGTTAAAAAGTAATTTAAATTATCATACGAGATATTTGTAAAAATTGACGGAAACTGGGACCACTACAGTATATTATTATTATTATAATCTTTTAGCGAACAAATTAGTAGAAATATAATGGACTGACTCTAAAATGAAAATCCGAATATTCATTGATTTAAAAACATTTGTTTTCATAATATTAAAAAAAATTTTTTAAATTTTTTTTTTTTAATTTACAGTCAACGGACAGTTGTTGAGACAAAAGCATGGGACGTATTCAGGGATCCACCTCCAAAAATCGATTCCGGATCGATGGCAAATCAAAGATGTGCCGAAGTAACAGTTCAAATTACAAAAGTAATTGTTTATTTACTAGTCTTCGTCATAGTTCTTGGCAGTGGTGTCGTCGCCAAGGGAACCATACTTTTCATGACTTCACAGCTGAAAGCTGGTCGGGAAATAGTTTATTGCAATGTACAATTAGGTAAGAAATTCATGCAATTATCGGATAAGTGGTATAGATCGATTCTTAGATTAGTCAAGATTTTCTTTTTTTTTTGTCTCACTCTCTCTCTCTTTATCTCTTTTGCAGATATATATATATATATATATATATATATGAATACTTCAATTTCCTTTTTGCCCTAAAAAAGAAACCGCGAGATAAGTTCAGACATTTTAGATTCCTAGACAGTAGTGTAAAAATATAAAAGAAAAAGTCGAGTAAACTTCAATTCCCACAATTTTCTATATAACATAGAAATTATTTCCAATGTATATATATACTTTATAGAAACAGATATATTATATTATTTTGCAATATGAAAGAATGAACACAATTATTACGATCTATATAAATTGATTTTGATTTTTGTGCACAAAATTTTAATTTTAAGGATGAGTTTACTCCTAAAAAAAAATTTCTGTAAAATAAAAAAATAGATAAAATAAAATTGAAAAATATTTTCATTGAAGGAACTTTAAGTGTCTATTATCAGTTTTTAGATAACAATTTTTATTGTTTATACTTTTTTTTCTGTTCTGTTTATCTAAATCTTTTTTTTTTATAAATATGGGGAATTTAAAGATTATTTCATTAAAATAAAAAAAGGAAACTGCTTTTAGATTGTAAAAAAATAAAAATTTATTAATTTTCAGGCCGGGAAAAGCAATTTATAGTTACGTTACCCGAAGAAGAGAGGATAGCATGGATTTGGTGCATCATCATAGCTTTTTCTCTCCCTGAATTTGGGACTTTAGTTCGTAGTATTAGAATGTGTATATTTAAGTCTTGGAAGAAGCCAATTTCTTCACATTTTTTTCTCATCTTCTTGATGGAGACCCTTCACGTTATGGGTTTGGCTATCATGTTCCTTGCAATTCTCCCCGAGTTGGACGTCGTCAAAGGAGCGATGCTTACAAATTGTGTTTGTTTTGTTCCTGGACTTCTTGGTAGTTATCTCTCTTTATAAAAACTTTTTTATAAACTAAACGATTTAATCAATATGTAAATTTCTTTTTGCATTCTATTTCTATTTGTTATTTAAATAAAGATTATTTTTTTGAAATCAGTAACCAAAGGGACACATTAATAAGTTCTAAAATTCGTAGAATTTTTATTTAAAAATTTTATTTGCTGCAAACAAAAATTAACGAGTAAATTTAAAATTCTAATTAATGAATTTTAGAATTTATTCACACGCTTTGTAAAATTCATTCATGAGATTTATAATTTGATAAAATGTGTATTTCAATTAAAGTAAGAAATGTACTGTTTGAAATTTTCAAATAACTGTGAAACAGTCCATATGTAAGAATTGAAATAAATTAGAATTGCATTACCATTGAATTCCCTTTCTCGCACAGGCCTTCTCTCAAGAAATAAGAACAAAGACGAGTCAAGGAGATGTGTTCTCGTTCTAGTGGATTTAGCAGCTTTAGCTGCCCAAGCAACGGGATTTGTAGTATGGCCTTTACTTGATAGTTCAAATACTTCTTTATGGCTAATTCCACCGGCACTTATTATGGTATCATGTGGATGGTGGGAAAATTATGTTTCCGTAAGAAGTCCAATAAGTATGAAAATTCAAAATTTCTTAATTATTACATCAATTAAATTTTTATCTTCAATTAATTAAAATTGTTTTAATTTTTTACTTTAGGTATAGTGAGAGTATTAGGAAGAGTAAAAAAAGAACTAAGGGTGACGAGATACTTTACCTATGTGTTTGTATCAATATGGAAGGTAATTGCTTTCTTCATTACTTCACTGTTGATTCTTCAAGCTCAAGGCCAAAATGTTGGTCATCTTTTCTCAATGATGGGAACGGCCTTTAGTGAACATAAAATAATTGTCCACGCTGTTAGACAAGCAGGATCCGAAAGAATAACCGATTTATCGGAAATAATTCGAATAGGCGAAACTGAAATTGTAAATGCCGATTACAATACACCAATTTATGTTCTTCTTTTGCAAATTTTTGGCGCCTATTTCGCTTACGTATTTGGTGAGTATATCTAAAACAAATAGAAAATATGTTAAATATATTGCAAACTGAAAAAAAGAAATGAATTCTATTCTTCTAAAAATGGTTTTAAAAAAAAGGATATATTCTATTCAATTGAAGAAAGTTTATTTCTCCCTATAAGAAAGAATCATTCTATATTCATCTTAGAAAAGAAAACAATTCCAAGTTAATTTGAATGAATAATTCCATTTCAGGAAAGTTTGCGTGTAAGATCCTGATTCAGGGATTCAGTTACGCATTTCCAGTGAGTCTGACGATTCCAGTTTCTATATCGTTACTCATAGCGGCTTGTGGTATTCGCAACAGCAACCCTTGTTTCTTTCATGGGACAATACCAGATTATCTCTTTTACGAATCGCCTCCTTTGTACTTACTTAACGATTTTATTTCCAAACAATACGCATGGGTTTGGTTACTTTGGCTACTCTCGCAAACATGGATTACACTTCATATTTGGACACCAAAATGCGAACGTTTAGCTGCAACGGAAAAGCTTTTTGTTGTGCCAATGTACGATTCTCTACTTATTGATCAGTCAATGGGACTCAATCGAAAACGTGACGATCAACCTGAAGTCAAAGTCGAGGTGAGAATTCTCCTTCATTTCTGAAATCATTTTTAAAAAAATTATTAATAGTTTTTCAATTATTATTATTAATATTAATTTATTTAAATTGTTAAATAAATTACATATAATAATAAAATTTTTATAATTCTATATTTTAAATATTTACAGTTTTATTAAGATTATTATTTTTCAATTAGTTGTTTTAAATTAAAATCGAAATTGGGACATTCTCTAAATTCTAAATTATATTTTGAACAAATTACAATACAATTTTTCTTTGAACATAATTAATAAAATAAATTATAAATTGAACATAAGCAATATTTATATATATTTTTTTTACTCTTTCGAATTAAATATTATTGTTTAAAATTAAAAACATAATATTTTTAATTATATGCAAAAATAATTTTACAAAATTATTGCCAACATTCTCTCAATTTTATTTAAAACATTCAATATAATGTTAATTTTAATTGTTTGAGAAAAAGTTATTTTTTGTAATTTTTTTTCTAATTAAATTATTTTCTTATTCAAATATTTTGTGAATTCAATTACATTGATTTAGAGATTATTTGTCTGTTATGGATAGTACTTTTCGATTATTTTATTTAGGTATTTATTTATTGATTTCAAAATTTTATTTTATATTTCTATAAATTTAATCTTCAATTCTCTATTTTTTTTGAATTTTCTTATTAGGAAAAATTTAGTTAACAAAAAAAAACAGTTTCTGAACACTTTTTAATTTTAGATACATTTTTAACTAATTTTGTGCTTCGTGATATCAAAATCACGGTGCAGAAGTTATTTTTTTTTTTTTTTTTAAATCGAGCAATAAAAATAATTAAATTTTCAAAACTGCAATTGAATTTTGGAATTATGATTTGAATTTGAAAAAATAAATATAAATTTCCTGATATTCAATGTATAATTCTGTTATTTATGTTAAAAATAAAATTTATTTAATATTCATTCACAACAAAAAAGGAGAGAGTAGTCTGTCCCTTTAATTAACTTTTTAAAGTTTGAGGTTTAAATAATACTAATCCACAAAAATTAGAATTTTCCAAACGTAAATAAATAAATGCAGATAAATTTTGCTAAAACGAAATCTCTCGATTATTATATTATTATTTTTGGGGCCCCTTATTTTTGTAAATAAAAAATATATTAATAATAATTTAACCATAGAAATCGGAAAAACGACGTAAATTTAGTTATGTCTAAAAAAAATGTTAGGAAACCTTGAAATTTTTTTGAAAACCAACAAAGAACACGATTGAAAATTTTTTTGCAATAAAAAATAATTTGTTCAATCAAATTAATTAATCAGTATCTAATTAAATGACTTAACAAAATTTGTATATTATTTCAGGATTTAGCTGAAATAGAAAAAGAAAAAGGCGACGGTGATTATGAAACAATTTATGAACAAACTGATGGCACAAGTACTCCTCCATCGGTAGTGAAAAATAGTGATCATGTTACGAGGATTTATGCTTGTGCGACAATGTGGCACGAGAACAAAGAAGAAATGATTGAATTTTTGAAAAGTATTCTTCGATTAGATGAGGATCAATGTGCAAGACGTGTTGCTCAAAAATATTTAAAAGTTGTTGATCCTGATTATTATGAATTTGAAAGTAAGTGTCAAATCAAAAAATTAAAAATAAATTGAAAGACAATATTCATGTAATATCAATTTATAATGCATTTAATAAATAAGTAATCAAAATATTATATATAAATATAATTTAAAAGTTATTAATAAATAACAATTATATTATCAACTTTCAGCTCATATATTTTTCGATGACGCTTTTGAGCTTTCTGATCATGATGAGAATGAAAGTCAAGTGAATAGATTCGTGAAACTCTTAGTGGGTACATTGGATGAAGCAGCTTCAGACGTTCATCAGACAAGGATGCACGTGAGAGCTCCAAAGAAGATTCCAACTCCGTATGGTGGTCGATTAATTTGGACACTGCCAGGAAAGACAAAAATGATTGCTCATTTAAAGGATAAAAGTAAAATTCGTCACAGAAAACGTTGGAGTCAGGTATAAATGTCAAATTTTAATGAATAATAAAATTAAATTTATTCATTAAATTTAAATTTCTAATTTTTGAAATTTCGAGAAAAAAATCAATTTTACAGACTGCAATTTTCTTAAATTGAATTTTGAAAAATTTCTATAATCAAATTACAAAATTTTTCAGGTCATGTACATGTATTATTTACTTGGACATCGTTTAATGGAGTTACCAATCAGTGTCGATCGAAAGGAAGTCATTGCGGAAAATACCTTCCTATTGACTCTTGATGGTGATATTGATTTTCAACCCGCAGCTGTGAAATTATTAGTTGATTTGATGAAGAAAAATAAAAATCTTGGAGCCGCCTGTGGTCGTATTCATCCCGTTGGATCGGGTAATAAAACATTCACAATTTTATATATCAAATAAATGATGAATTTTTATTCAATGATAAATTATGAATTAATTTAATAAATAATTAAATTTCTAAATTGAATTAGGTCCAATGGTTTGGTATCAGATGTTCGAATATGCGATTGGTCATTGGCTGCAAAAAGCAACAGAACACATGATTGGATGCGTACTCTGTAGTCCTGGATGTTTTTCTCTTTTTAGAGGCAAGGCACTGATGGATGATAATGTAATGAAGAAATATACAACCAGATCTGAAGAAGCTAGACACTATGTCCAATACGATCAAGGAGAAGATAGATGGCTTTGTACATTGCTTCTACAAAGAGGCTATCGGGTGAGTAACTTTTCACAAAATTTTATAAAAATGAAATTCCACAATTTCCGCAGACAAAAATAGAATTAATTCATTAATTGAATAATTAATTAATATAATCGAGTTTATCAACAACGATTAATACAATAATTTAACATTATAATTAAAAAAAACAATTAAAATAATTTTTTTGTTTGAATATCAAACCTAAATTTCAAACAAAGGAATAAATATAATACAATAAAATTGAATTTATCCAAGGTTGAATATTCAGCTGCAAGTGACGCCTATACTCATGCTCCCGAAGGTTTCAATGAATTTTATAATCAACGTCGTCGATGGGTGCCTTCGACAATAGCTAATATTTTGGACTTACTAATGGATGCAAAAAGGACAATAAAAATTAACGATAATATTTCCATGCCTTATATATCTTATCAGATTCTTTTGATGGGTAAGGAAAATTAAATTAAATATTATTTTTTTTATCTTAATGTACGATATAAAAAAATACAAAACTCAAAAAATCTACTTTGATCTTTTTCTAAAATCGAAAATTTTTAAAATTCATTCATTTTTCAAAAATGACAATTCGGTTTTTTTTAAATTAAAATTTGTGTTGAATTATGATGAATTTTTGATTAATTTTAACATTAAAACTTTTTTGAGAAAAAAAATTTCACTAAGAATTGTGTAAACATATATTATAAATCATTTTTAAATCATTTTTTCTAATGGGGCAGTTCGAACCGCCCCTTTCAAACTTAGTAAATTTAAAAAAAAAATTAAATTAATTCACATTATTCATTCATTGTCTCAATTAACTTTAAAAAATTGAATTATACAATTAAAATTTTAAATGTGTGAATAAATTCAATTATTTTGTAATTTAATTATATTTTGAATTCAATAATTCAAAACAATTTTATTTGAAAATTTAATGATTTTCATATTTTTGAAATATCAGTTATCAAATTCAATTATGAAATTTATCAAAAAAAAAACAAATAATTGAAGTTACAAAATAAATAAATAAATGTGAAAATAATTTAATTATAAAAATTAAGTAAACACAAAAACCCTTAAATTTTAAAAATTACTGAATTTACATTATATTAATATGAAAATAATTGAATTTTTAAAAATACCATAAATGATAAATACCTATCATGCAAGTTTCTTAAATATTGTGGAAAATTTAAAAATTGTTTTCTTAACAATGATACATGAAAGTTTTTTATTTTCATATAACTTTGACACGATGCATAAAAAAATTATCATTTTTTTTAAATAAATAAATAAATATTTGAATTTATTTGTCTTTAATTCTTAATTTTCGTAAATAAATTTCACCTTAAAATTGTTAAAAAGTGTAACATATCTATAAAACTATTTAAATAAAATTATACTTACTTTTAGGTGGTACGATTCTTGGACCTGGAACTATTTTCCTTATGTTGGTGGGAGCTTTTGTTGCCGCATTCAAAATTGATAACTGGACCAGCTTTTACTACAATATCATTCCAATTCTCTTCTTTATGATTGTTTGTTTTACATGTAAATCCAATATTCAGGTAATTTTTTCTCCGTTATATATTTGAAATCATATATTATTCTCATATGTATATTCTTTCTCTCCAAATTCATGTGTGAAATGTATTTTCAAAGAAATTAATTATTTGTTCGTATCAATCGTGGTATAATAATATTGCTTGGAAATGTCCGTCTGCAAATTTTGTGTTCGTCCTTTCAGCTATTATGTGCGCAAATATTGTCAACGGCTTACGCGATGATAATGATGGCTGTAATAGTGGGAACAGCACTTCAATTAGGCGAGGACGGTATGGGTTCTCCATCGGCGATATTTTTAACATCACTCTCGACATCGTTCTTTATAGCAGCTTGTCTTCATCCTCAAGAATTTTGGTGCATTGTTCCCGGTCTCATTTATCTCCTCTCAATTCCATCCATGTACCTTCTTTTGATTTTGTATTCCATCATCAATCTTAACGTTGTCACCTGGGGAACACGTGAAGTCCAAGTGAAGAAAACCAAGAAGGTTCGTCTGATTAGGTTCTCTGTAAAAAAAAAAAGAAACGGTGATGGCATAAATAACAAGGGAATAATAATATAAAAGAAATAACAAGCAAAGAAGAAGAATATTTTGGAATAATGAATGCGGAGCTTTGGTGTGGTGGGATTTTTTGCATGCGACATTTTTTTTTTTTTTTTTTTTGAAAATAACTAACAATCACCATTACTGATAATAGATTCTAGCGGCGGCGATAATAAGTATTGTTTATGGATTGATTATGGTTGCGGTAATCACAGCGATATCGATTAACATTGTTGAAGATGGTTTATTTTCACCATCTCCACTTTTTCTTATAATGGTAATTGCTCAATTAACAGTGGCTGCCTTATTACATCCTCAAGAAATTAGTTGTCTCTTTTATGGATTAATTTACTACATTTCTGTACCTTCGATGTATTTGGTTTTAATTGTTTTCTCCGTCTACAATCTCAATGATATTACATGGGGCACGAGGGAAGTGCAAAAGAAAAAAACTGACGCGGTAATAAATCCCATTTTGGATTTGATGTTCACTATAATTTTAAATTACACTATTAATTTACACTTCTAACATTAATTTATTTCTAATTTACAAAATTCTATTTTTAATTTACGCATTTTTAATTTTAATTATAATTGCTTCTTTCGCAACTTGTATATAATTTTGTAGAAAAAATTAATTATATCTCTAAAATAATGAATGATGGGGTTTTTTTTCAAAAAATGAAAATAGGAACTTGAGCAAGAGAAGAAAGAAGCTGAGGAAGCCAAAAGGAAAGCCAAGCAAAAATCGTTACTGGGATTTTTGCAAAATGGAGCAGGAACAAATGATGATGATGAGGGTTCGATTGAAATTTCTCTTGCTGGATTATTTAAGTGTATGCTTTGTACTCATGGTAAACCATCATCGGAGAAACAACAACTTGTGGCAATTGCTGAATCTCTGGAGCAACTGGGCAAACGACTTGATACAATCGAAAAGTGAGTATAATATAATTCTCCTTTTTTTTTTTAATGGTCGTTAATCATACGCGTGAACATAAAAAATAAATAAAGAAATAAAATTTAATAAAATAAATTCGGATTCTAATTACATTAAAATTACAATTGTTTCGAAAAAAAGATCAATTATTTAAAAATTTTATTATTTAAACTTAAAATTTTTTTTAAAAATAAATCGGGACGCATAAATAAGCCCTAAACCAATTTTTTTTAGAATTATGATTTGATAGAATCTTATTCTTTAGAATATTTATTTGTTCGAATATTAATGTTTTAGAAAATGTAAATGGTCTAAAATCAATTTGACAGAATTTTTATTTAGACAAAAATTAACTTGCCAGAAATTCAATTTCCTCGAATATCAATGTCCAGAAAATTAAAATGCTCGAAAATCAATTTGACAGAAATAATTCGTCGGAAACTTCAAATTTGACCAATCACAATTTTCTTGATAATTTCTGATTGGTCAAATTTGAAGTTTCCGCCGAATTATTTCTGGCAAATTAATTTTAGAGCATTTAAATTTTCTGAACATTAATATTCAAGCAAATGAATATTCTGCAAAAATTAATATTCTTTCTAATCCTCTTTCTGCAAAATTAAGATTCTTTTAAATTACAATTCTGCAAAATTAATATTCTACAAGACAAAATTTCGATGAAATTGAATGTCTGGCAAATTAATTTTCGTCTAAATTAAAATTCTGTCAAATTGATTTTCGAACATTTGCATTTTCTAAAACATTAATATTCGAACAATTAAATATTCTCCAAAATTCATATTCTACAAAATCACACGTTTCTAAATTAATTTATTAAAATTAATTTTCTTATAGAGCTGTCGATCCACATGCTCATATATCAGGCAGAAGACGTGCATCTTCAGTGGGTTCAAGAACGGCTGATCATCTTGGTGCAATTGGCGAAGACCCAGCCGAAGATGATGGTCGTGACAGTGAAACAGAAACTGTCGCTAGTCAAAATACCGAGGGCAATCGTGAAGGACACTTTCCATCTCGTCCATATTGGCTTGATGACGATGGTCTCAAGAATGGAGAAGTCGATGTCCTCAATCTTCAGGAGGAACAATTTTGGAAGGACCTTTTAGAAAAGTATCTTTATCCCATCGATGAAGACAAAGCTGAGAAGGTAAAATACAATCACATTAGGGCAACGTCTTTCTTCAGTTATATACTTATTGATTTAAATTTTTTTGAAAATGTAAAAATTTTTCAAAAAATTAAAAATGATGACAGTGCAACTGAAGACAGTTCGTCTTTCAAATCACCCACCTTTTCTTTGAATTATTATTTACAATTTTTTTGTTTTTTGCAAACGTACAATTTTTTTGAATTTATATTTTAAAAACATATTTTTCTTTTAAAATATTTTTTTAATATTTTACTGTTTTCTTTTGGCCAATTGATTTTTTTCTTTTGCTATATAATAATTGCTTTTTGGCTATAGAGACAAAATTGCTTGACGCTTTCAAAATTATATTAAAAAAATTGTGAAATTCTAAAAATTAATCTAAAATGTTCACGTCAGGCTCGTATCGCCAAAGATTTGAAGGATTTGCGAGACAAGAGCGTGTTTGCATTCTTTATGATAAACGCTCTCTTCGTGCTGATTGTATTTCTCATGCAACTTAACAAAGACTTGTTGCACGTGAAATGGCCCTTTGGTATCAAGACCAACATCACTTATGATGGAACTTCCCAGGAGGTAAAAATTCACTCCGTGGGTAGCACGTGTTTTCCTGTGCTCGAATTATTTCACAGATAAAAAGGAGATTTTTTTTTCTAGACATTTTATTAAACTAAAATTATTATTATTTAACTTTTACCCTTTTTTCTGAATCAAAAATAAATTCTAACCAGGTAAATGCGTCGTTACTTACGGAGTTTTAGTATATTTTACTAATGATTTCTTTTTCCCTTTTTTTTTTTTTTTTTGTTTTTTTATTGACTCCAAATAGGCAAGGATCGCCAATGATTTGATCGAGCTAAGAAACAAGAGTGTCTACGCATTTTTAATGTTCAACACTTTGTTCGTATTGATTGTATTCTTAATGCAGCTGAACAAAGATAAACTGCACATTGTATGGCCATTCGGGGTCAAGACGAACATCACCTTCAGTGAAGAATCTAAGGAGGTAGAGGCATTTCTTTGGGAAGCCTCGACTTTCAGTTTTTCATACAGAAAAACTAACAATTTTATCGACATGTCTGGCTACTTTTTTTTTAAAATTACTTTCTTAAAAATTCATCTTTATGAATATTCATTTTTATTATTCAATAATAATTCTTCTTTTCAATTTCTGAAGCATTTTAAAAGTCTATTTTCAAATTTTTATTCTTCCACAGTTTTTTTTTTATTTGTTTTATTTAAAAATTTAATTTTTGTAATTTTTCATAATGTATCATAACAAAAAATATTTAATATAATATAATTTAAATAAAATAAATTTTAGTTTCTTCAGTAAATATTTTGAAATCTATCATTACAAAAAGAAAGTCAACGAAATCTGATAAATAATTAATAATAATATTATCAGTTAATCAAAAATTTTGTTCCCATTTAGAAACATAAATATTATATTTAATTGAGTACCTATAATTTTATTTTGTAAAATTCGCTCCAAATTTTTATTGATACTTTCACTTTATTTGAAAATAATTTAATTGAAATATAACGAGACATGTCGATTGGGTTTCGGAAAATCATGTTTGATCAGATTGATCAATTTTTTTTTATCTTGTGAATAACCAAATGTGGTTTCAGAGATTCATTAATATAATCATGCCCACACTTCCTCTATCACGGTATGATTCACCTTTCTACCGATCGTGGGTGTGCAAAATTATTAATATTATTCCAACTTTGAAAAAAATTTACATATTTTTTTCAAAGGAAAAGAATATAAAATAGAAAATTATTGAAATTTTAGTAAAAAAAAAAATGCCAAAATTTATCATTTGAAGATTTAAAAAAATTAAAAAACATCCACGATTTTTGGTTCCTCTCAAATGTATAATTCTCTTCCTCACAAAATGGATGAGAACTAATAATTGACAATCAATTTATCTTAGGCACAAGAAAACTTCTCATGAATCTCATTAATGTTTTGTGTCTAACTCTTTACATTTTAATGTACATTTTTTTGAGGAAGCACACACTGATGGTGTATCGGGCACAAATTAATCAATGTGACCCTGATCCTGGTGAAAATAATGTTTTTCAATAACTTCACGTGGTGGTTGTTTAAATATTATATATATTCAAATAAGTGTATAAAAATTTGTTTCCTCTTGTAATTAATAATATTGTACACTTTTCTGAGGACAGGATATTCTTCTAATTTTATTTTTTACAAATAATAGAAAAAAAGGTTTTATTTTGAATATAGAGTAAAGAATTTTTTTGTCAAAATTTAAAAAAATTTTAATATAAATTTTACACTACTAAATAAAATAAAATTTACTATGTAATTTAAAAATTTTATTTCTTTACAACATTTTTATTTCTTTGTTTTGAAGTATTTTGAAAATTAAATTTTCTTAAATTTAATTATTGTAAAAAACATTTAAAAAATGTAAATTTATAAAAGTTAATTATTTTCATATTCAATTATTTTGTTACGTGTATAGGATAGAGATATAATACTTTTTAACACTTTAGTTTAAAAAGCAATTTTAATTTACGTTCAAAATACATTTTTTCTTATTATTTGTTCAAAATAAAAATTGTGAGAATTTCCAACTCTGCACATTTCTTCATATTATGTATATTTGTACACTAAATTAAATTTCTGGTTTTTGAGAAATTACGTTCACAGATCTGAGAAATCATTAATTAGTTATTATTAATAAATTAATATCTAATTTGATAAAGAATAAAATATTATTATGTTATTATTATTATTTTAATAAATTTTAAGTCAATTTAATTTAAATAAAATACACAACTCAGTTCTGTTGATAAATTTCTGAAATAATCATCTAATAGTTATTAGTAACAATATATTAAAGCATGTCATGAAAATTTCTGCGCATTTTTGAATACAAATTGGATTTATATTAAAACTCAAAAATACTATGAAAAATGATGTTAAAATTTTTCTATAACGTTTAGAATAATTAAAAAAAAATTAATGAAATAATTTTCAAAATTGCAGAAGAAATTTAATTTTATTTAACAATTTTATTTGTTAAAATAAAAATTATAAAGTAAAAAAATTTACTGACTTGCTAATTTTTTGTAGATTCATATTTCGAAAGAGTACTTGCAACTCGAGCCAATTGGTCTTGTTTTTGTGTTCTTCTTTGCTCTTATTTTGGTCATCCAATTCACTGCCATGTTATTCCATCGATTTGGAACTTTGGCTCACATTTTGGCCAGCACAACTTTGAGCTGCAAAAAGGTGAGATTTTTTTACTATTTAAAAATCAATTATTAAATTATATAAATTTAAATCGTTGACAATTTTTAATTTTTAATTAAAAAAAAAAAAAAATTCAATTTTAGTTATTTAATATTTTTGCAATTTTGAAAAATAGACCAAAGATCTATCAGAGGAGGCACTGCTTTCGAAACATGCAGTGGAAATAGTGAGGGACTTGCAAAGATTAGATGGAATAGAGGGCGATTACGATGAAGGTAGCGGAAGTGGTCCTGGAAGACGAAAAACAATTAGAAATTTGGAAAAGAGTCGCAGAAAAACACAAGCGATAAATACTCTCGATGTTGCGTTCCGTCAACGATTTTTCAGTATGACAGAAGGCAATGGTAATAAAATATTTTTCTTTCTTAATCACATTTAATCAAATTTCAGTAAAATAGATATTTAAAAAAAAAAATTTGCATTTCCTTTTTTTTCTAAAAATATTTTCAAGTGTGATTTATGGAAATTATTTTATAATTCAAATATTCGGCAAAAAATTTAGAAAGAAATTTTTCAATACTGAACAGATTTACCTGGATTTACAAAAAAATTTCTAAGGTCAAAATTTATGGAATATTACCGAATCAAATATTTAAAAGAATTTTTGAATTAGAATAATTTTCAAGATTTTAATTCATAAAATTTTTTTTCAAAAATCTAACTCAAAAATAAATTGTTAAAAATCGAAAAAGACGTAAGCTCCATAAAATTAATTAAATCCATATAATTATTTTATTTATAAAACATTTTAACTAAAACTCTTTGCAAAAATTTAATTATTTTTAAAAATTTTGATTTCAACTCTTCGAAATATCAATTATTTCAAAAATTTTCAATTAAAATTCTTCACAAATTTATTTAGTATATAAAATTTTTTATTCAGTAAAATATTTTCAAAAATTTTAATTTTTAAATCTCCTAAAAATTATTTCTAAGAATCTTATTTAGATTTTACAATATTCAATTATTTTTGAAAAAAATTCAGTATTGACTGAAATTTGTAAAAAAAAATATTCATCAATTAAAATTTACAAAAATTTAAATTGAAAATTATTTATAATAAAAAAAAAATTATTTGTAATAATTTAAAATCTTCAAAATATCAATTACATATTTTTCAAAAAATTTTTTATGTATGTACAGTGCCGCTCAGCAGATTCTGCCCACCTTTGAGAATTTTACGCTTGGCGAAAAGTTTTATATTTCGGTTGCTAATAAAGATATAATAATGAGTGAGGACTTTTTTGAAAGCTTATATCTTCTACTTTTATGATATCTAAAACAGACATTAAAAAAAAAATTTTGTCATTGTTTAATTGCTCAAAATAAAAATCCAAAATTTCCGTTTTTTTTTGTAATTTTAAAATCGCTGCAGTTTTTAAACCAGTCATCACATTTTAATCGTTGATAAGCCATTTGAAAGCTAATTTTATCACCTTTAAAATGATTCCTTGTAAACTTTAATACGATAATTTGTAACAAAGATATGGACAATTGTTTAAAAAAACTGCACTTTTTTTCAACTAGTCATAACTCAAGAACGATTGATTTTTGAAAAAAATTGTTGAGAAGAAAAATGTGCCTTTTTATGTATAGAATTAGAAAAAAAATATTTAGACATAAAAAAAAAATTTTTTTTTTTTTTGACATATTTTGATTTTTTTGAAAATCAGCACTTTTTGTAATTAGTAATAAGTCGAGAACGGTTAGCTTTAGAAAAAAATTCGTAATATTTTTTTCTCAATTCTAAACATAAAAATACACATTTTTTATATTAAGAATTTTTTTCAAAAGCTAACCGTTCTCGACTTATTAGTTATTTAAAAAATTTTGTTTTTCAAAAAAACTCAAAATATGTAAAAAAAAATTTTTTTTTTTTTGACATATTTTGATTTTTTTGAAAATCAGCACTTTTTGTAATTAGTAATAAGTCAAGAACGGTTAGCTTTAGAAAAAAATTTTCAAGATAAAAAATGCCTATTTTTATGTATAGAATTAGAAAAAAAATATTTCGAATTAAAAAAAAAAAATTTTTTTTTACATATTTTGAGTTTTTTTGAAAAACAAAATTTTTTAAATAACTAATAAGTCGAGAACGGTTAGCTTTTGAAAAAAATTCTTAATATAAAAAATGTGTATTTTTATGTTTAGAATTGAGAAAAAAATATTACGAATTTTTTTCTAAAGCTAACCGTTCTCGACTTATTACTAATTACAAAAAGTGCTGATTTTCAAAAAAATCAAAATATGTCAAAAAAAAAAAATTTTTTTTTTTATGTCTAAATATTTTTTTTCTAATTCTATACATAAAAAGGCACATTTTTCTTCTCAACAATTTTTTTCAAAAATCAATCGTTCTTGAGTTACAACTAGTTGAAAAAAAGTGCAGTTTTTTTAAACAATTGTCCATATCTTTGTTACAAATTATCGTATTAAAGTTTACAAGGAATCATTTTAAAGGTGATAAAATTAGCTTTCAAATGGCTTATCAACGATTAAAATGTGATGACTGGTTTAAAAACTGCAGCGATTTTAAAATTACAAAAAAAACGGAAATTTTGGATTTTTATTTTGAGCAATTAAACAATGACAAAATTTTTTTTTTAATGTCTGTTTTAGATATCATAAAAGTAGAAGATATAAGCTTTCAAAAAAGTCCTCACTCATTATTATATCTTTATTAGCAACCGAAATATAAAACTTTTCGCCAAGCGTAAAATTCTCAAAGGTGGGCAAAATCTGCTGAGCGGCACTGTATTTGTGTTAATGATTGTAAAATATACAGTTAAATTGTAATAAAATAGAAAACAATATTTTATTAATAATTTTTGAAAATTATTATTATTTTTTTTCACTCACAGGCCTGCCACGAAATATGTCAACGAGAAGATCAACGAAGGCGTTCAAAGCATTCGAGGGACGTCGCAATAGTATCATAGCATTAAGAAGAAAATCTCAAATGCAAACATTGGGAGCTAATAATATTTATGGAGCTCCTGGAAATCCTCTTGGAATTCAAGGACGTCCAACAAGAAGTAGTCAAATTTCCGTAAAGGATGTTTTTGAAGGTCACAGTGGCCACGTGAACGCTGCCTATGAAGCTGACGATAGTCCTGGAAATAGTTTGAGGCTTCAACCCTTGGCAGGCCAGGTCACATGGCGAGATCCAAATTCAAATCTATAAAAAAAAACATACTCAATTTTTTGCAAAGAATTTATATAAAATTTTTACCGAATCAATATCAGAATTCCGTAAGAAAAAGAGAAGAACAATTTTATATTTAGAAAAAAATTAATGATTTTCTTTTTTTTAAAAAAAACCAAAAAAAAAAAAAGAAGACATTACTTTTAAGTCAGAGACTGAAGTTCGTTTTATAAATACTGCATTTCTTCATAATATTTTTCTTTATTTTCAAGATGTACTTAATGTATCACTCATACATAGTTGTTTAATTTTTGTAGTCTTGTAAAATACTTTTTTTTGGCGCTGTATGTACTTATATATTTTAAAGAAGCTCAATATTTTTCTTTTTAAAGAAAAATAAAAAAACAATTGGACAAATAAAAATTGTCAATTAATATTGACATAAAATTAATATATATATATATATATATATATATATATTTTTAAATAAACTTTTTTATTCAATTGAAAATGTTAAATTATTGAAAATTTAGGAAAACCATTTAAGTTTGTAAACATTTTTTTAGCAATGTTAAATAAATCGTAAAACTTTAATAAAAAAAAGTTAAATAAAAAATGTAAATAAAATGCACTAAATTGTACAGAAATTTTTATAAATGCTAAGGAATTGTGCATAATGTGAAAGAATAAAATAATTTCTTCTTCTCACAATTGTATGTAATAACGTAAATGTATTTAAATTATGATTGATTTGTAAATGTTTGTATGTGAAACAAAAAATGAAAATATGTGCGTGTTACTTTTCATGATAATCGACAATTAATTATAATCTTGTATAGATAATATTAATTTTAAGTAAAATAATAATTTGTGCGCAAGTTTGCTCAAACTCCTTTTTTTTGTCACTCTCTACATTGTTTTATAATTTCCTACTTTTGAATTAAAAATGTAAATACATTTTCTTTTTATATTTAATTATATTTAATAATGTTCTGTATAGAAAATAATTTGTCACTCACATATAAATTTATTTGTTAGTAATACAATTTGTCAATTTAATTTTATTCTCTTATTTAATTATTCATAATCTAATTCCTTTAAATAAAATGACTATTAATTCTGAAAATATATATTTATTATCACAATTAATATTACTTGAGTGATTTACTAAATTTTTCGTATTATTCTGGAAAATATCGAATAGCTTCAGTCATAAGAAGAATATATGCTGTGGTCATATAATCATTGAAACCAATTTGAATATTTGGATTCTTATCAAATTCATCAGAAGTCAAAGTTAAGATGGAAATAGTATAAGGCAAAAAAGCCAGTATGCAGAATGAGTTTCTTTTAAACCAGCTATATAAAATAGTAACATGTTTAAAAAGAAAATATATATATTTGAAAATATTTTTCTACTCTTACCCAAAATATCCTCCAATGAAAATCCAATAAAAATCAAGTGAATTATCTATATTTTTAGCGAAAATTTCAAAGAAACTTTGCACCTCCGTATTTTCTTGATTATATTTCTAAAATTGCATAATATTATTTTAATTTTCAATCATCTAAAATGATAAATTATATTTTCAAAAAAAGAAAAATTTCTAACACACTTACTCTAGCCTCTAAGGCACAAATAAATTCAACAATTGTCAATGACAAAACAAAAGTTTCAAAAATTTCACATTTATGATAATTGAAAACGGCATAAATTAATCCACCTTGAGCGAGTGTCGAGGAAAATCGATAAAATATTGAATAATTTCGAAAAGGTCTTTTCTTCAATTCCTCTTTTTTCTTCCATTCATCTTCTATTTCTTGAGGATCAATTGCTATAGAAAATAGTTTTCAGGAAATAAAATATTTATTATTTATAATTTATTATAAAAATTAATATATAAATAATTTAAATATTTATCTAAATGAAAAAAAGCAAAAAAAAACCTTGTAATTAGGTACTTACGATAGATTCGGAAAAATAAATTGTAAATTAATGAACTTAATGATCTAACACAAAATCCAAAAATACCAATTGACGCAGATATAAAAAAAGGTTTGACAGTAGAATATTGATCATGACAATTTTTTCCTAAAACGTAAATACTAGAACCAGATGCAAGCAAAAGAAAAGAAGTTGACAAAATTGATTCAAGGAACATAAGCCACTTTGTTTCTGTTTACCGATCAGAAACTTGAAACAACCTAAAATCAACTGGATAACATCATTTGTTTTTTTTCACATTTTATTATTTTTCTTATTATCATAATAAAACCATCAAAATATTATCTAAGAATTTATTTTTATTATCAATAGTGAATATTAGAAAAGAAAAATTAGAAAATTTAACTTTATTAGAAAATCAAAATTTAGAAAAAACAAAATTAGAAAATAATTTAAAAAAAATAAATGTGCCCTATTCCTTTAAAATGTTAAAAATTATAATTATTTACACTTACATTGAAAGACTTTTAAAATTTTAATTGTTATTTAATAATTTTAAAAAAATTTGAACTTTTTGCAATAACATTCATTCCAATTATTTGTCCGATCAAATAATAATTGTGAATAATTTTGAATTATGCAAAATTTAAATATTTTTTAGTGAAAATAAAATAAAATCCGATGTAATATATTATTATAACAAAAATTAAAATTATTGAAAGACAATAATAATTTCAAGAGAAAAAAGATTTTTATTATCAATATAAAAGTATTAATATAAATATCGATCGAACATTGGTTGATATATAATAATCATTGTTAGTTCATTGTAAATAATTCAACATATTATATATATTATAATTATATTATAATATTTACTGTATACACTTTCGTACTTTTGAAAGAGAATATAAACAGTTTTATTATATCACTTATCGATTTCATCACTTGATTTCATTTTGGGCAATAATTGTGCGACCTTTTTTTTTTTCTTTTTTTCTCTTAAAAAAAGAAATCCTTCACCTAAAGCTGTACCCATCATTTGGCACAAATCCTACATTTATATCGAAACTAATTTTCAAACTGTTATAATCAGTTCTAAACTTTTTCATCAGTACGAAAGTACAGTTTTTCTTTTAATAATTTTTACAATATTTCAAATTATTTAAGTTTTATATATAAGTACAAAATTCTAATCACTTTAATAATTAACCCATTCACAAATTTCTTAATTACTCTATTTATTATCATTTTTATTTATTCGTAAGAAATTTTATATTACTATTATTGTTATTATTTTATTTACGTTCTTAATTATTACTTTTTTGTCATTTTTAATTACGACAAATAAATAATAATTTTAACTTTTTTTTTAATATTCGACAAAATGTATAAAAAATTTCAAGAGAATTTGAGAACAGGTTAAAATATTAATTATTTAATAAAAAAAATTCCAATATAGAAATCAGTAAAATAATGTTTATCATTGATAAATATCATTAAAGTATATAGAAGAAAGAAATATGTAAAATATTTATATATAATATAAATATATATGATCGAACTTGCGTAAAATTTGAAAGCCTTAATGAAACATTTAAATATTGTTAAATATTATATTAGTTGATATAATTTATCATTCATTATTGTTTAATATTGTTATCAATAGAATATTTTTTCTGAAGGCCTTTTAAGAAACTTCAATTTTTATGTGTTTTATGACCATTTTGATTACAAAGAGGCAAAAAGTATAATAATTGTACCCGCTCAACGTTTTCTTTATATATATATATATATATATATATATATATATATATATATATATATATATTACATTGTGTATATATATATTTTTATATAATTTGTACCCCTTCTTTAGAAATCTCATGAAAACTATTATTTAGGCACAAAAAAGTGTTAAATGTATAAAAAAAAAAAAAAATTGTGTATAAATATAATTATTAATGTGTTAAAGTTTCTTTAAATGTCGCAATTGCAAAAATTTCAACAAAGCATAGGCTATATTGTGAAAGATCAATATAAGGAACTTCGAATCGATCACAAAAATCTTCAGAAATTAATCGAGCGACAATATAGGATGTGGCGAGACTTAAAATTGCAAAATTTCCATTATTTAAACAAACAATTGTCATTATTAATGCTTGAAGAGCAAAAATAATGTCTGTATAAAATCGATATTTTGAACGATCTCGTGTTGTTGATGTTGGTTCATAAATCATTGGAAGAAGTCCTAATGATAAAAGAAGTAATCTTCCTTCCTCTAAAATTTTGTATTCTAAAAGAATTTCCGTTGTAAAAAAAGCAAACGGCGCTATTTCCACAAGAACAGAAAACCAGTCGTAAAAGTTACGAAATCTTTTAGTGGTACTTGAAGTTCCTAAAAGTTAAATGTTCAGTATTAAACTAAGTTATGCATTTAAAATATTTTTTTGCTGATTTTATTCAGATTATTAGTTTATTTTCTATTTTTTACTGATAAGTTTCAGTTTAAAAAAAAAAAAAAAAACAACTCACCAAATCTAATAATTCCCAAAGCGGAGTGAGTAAGAAGAATTTGTAAGGCCCTCACAGCCCAAGCGTGATCAATTGCTTTGAATAAAAATCCATCTTTAAAGAATTTCATGCACGCTATTGTCACAATTAATTTCACCAAGTGTGCAACTACACTGCATGGATTGGCCATGATTTTTTTATTGAGACCTTTAGTCCAAGAATTATTCAATTATTTACAAGTATACTCCAAGTTTATAAAACTTCTATAAACTATAAAACTAGTAAAACACGCACTTTCATAAAAAATTTAATAAACGATTGTAGAATATTAAATGAATAATAAAATTAATATTTAATAAAATAATTTGAATATTTTTCATAAATATAAATAATGTACTTTTAAATATAAATATTTAATAAAATAAGATAAATAGTGATATAATATATAATTAAATTTTTAATATAACAAACATTAAAGAAATTGTTTAATTAATTATTTACATAATTTAACAAATTACTCTAATTATTTTTAATATTTCTAAAAATTCTTAATTATTTCAAAAATATAACTTAAACTGTGCATAAATTAATGTTATATATTTTAAAATTACATAATAATTAAGTAAAATATGTTATAAACTCACCTTTATTATTAAAGATTAGATAAGCATCTATTTAAATTTTTTTCTCTTTTCTTTCATTCTATTAAATTATTTGCAATTATTTATTCTTGTTTTAAATTGTAAAGTGTTATTTACTAGTTTTTTTTTTTTTTTTTTAAATAAAAATAACAGAAAAATCAAAAAAATACAGTGAAGGTGCGTTTATTTGTTTAAATGATTTTATATCAAAAATTTATCAGCCATTGATGTTTATTGACGTACTATATGATTTAAACTGAACACATGAAGAATAAATGATGAACAAAAACAAATTAATTGGTGATTAGAGAATGATAAGAGTGAAAAAATATGCTAACTCTACTACAAACAAGTTAACCTCATTTCTAGCAGACTACATTCAAATGTCAAATATATCAGGAGCGTCACGTGTTGCGCTAAAAAGAATTAATAATCTTTCAATTAAAAAAAAAATTAAATAATTTATCTTCAATTAAAAAAACATTTTCCTAATTAAAAAATAATTTACATAACTTAATTGTCCCTTTAAAGTTGTTCTAATTACTAGTCTTTTTAATGATATTTTTAATTATCCCTAGGGTACGAAATTGATTGATTCGCCCCTGAACTCGTGGTGTACGATATAAACACGGATAACACATGTGTCAATTCTTCTTCTTTAATTTGTTATAATTTATTATTACCGACAATTAATAGAATTCATTTTTGAACAATTTACACAAAAAAAAAATGGAAACAGTCGAAAGATTAAATTATGAAAATAAAATAATATTAGCGCCTATGGTTAGAATTGGAACACTTCCCATGCGTCTTCTTGCTTTAGAATACGGTGCTGATATTGTTTATACCGAAGAATTAATCGATTGGAAATTAATTCGTTCAGTTAGACGAGAGAATGGTAAATAAAATTATTTAAATTACATAGTTCAATAATTTTATCAAATTATTTTTTGTTATTTACAAATAGAAATACGTGTTTTTGTTACCTAACCTCAAAAATATTTCAAATGATATATATTTTTAAAAGGTTTAAAATATTTAGAATTATCAGAACAATAAATAAAACAAGTTGTAAATTCAGATGTCCATAACATGAACATTTTGCTTCCTCTTTACGATCAGCAAAAAAATTTGCTTCCTCGTGAAGAAAGCATTAACATTGAAATAAACATACAAAAATAATATAATATAAACATTTGAGTTAAATTTAAAGAATTAATGGAAGTTAAAATATCAAAAATTCAAGTTTTAGCTGAAATTTCTAAATATTAATGAAAAATAATATATAATTTATAATTATTTACAATTATATCGATTCGTTTCAATGCAAGGAACACAATTATTTTATATTTAAACTTGAATTTAAATAAATAAAAAATTTTTCAGCTAAAATGTGAATTTTCTATTTTTTAACTTTCATTAATTTATTAAATTTACCTCAAATGTAAATTTTATACATACCAATCGATTCGTTTTCATGCAAGGAATACAATTATTTCATCTATAAACTTAAATTTAAATAATCACAAAATTTTATAGCCAAAATGTGAATTTTTGATTTTTTAACTTTCATTAATTCTTTAAATTTAAATTAAAACTATACTTTATATATACCGATCGATTAATCTTGACGTAAGGAATACGATTTTAATATATATAACTTTAAATTTTTCTATTTAAAAATTTTTTCGATTAAAAAAAAAAAATTTGGAAAAAAGACGATAAAATTTTTTTTTGTTATTTTTTAAAATCCTTTGGTCAGTTTTGAGATATTAATATGATAAATAAGCCTACCAAATTTTATCTAAATCTATTAAAACCTGTTAAAGTTATCTTCTAAACAAAAAAGGGATCCACACAAATACATACATCCGGACAATTGATCAGGATCTCATATAACATGTTTCTATATAGAGAAAAATTTGTTTCCACCACTTTGAAAATTTTTATAAACGAAAGGACTACAAAATGTCTAAAAAATATAAAAATGAAATATTTTTTATTTGTAAAAGAATGTTATATTTTTTAAAATTATTTTTTGTCAATTTTAGTAATTTTTTTCTTTTTTATTGAAACTTGTTTTTAGTTGAAGATTTTTTTCTTTTACACAGAAAAACATATTTTTTTTTTTAATTGAATAAAATTATCAATATGAGATAATTCTTTTTTTTTTTTAACTTTTGCTAGATGTTTTGGGAACTGTGGATTTTATTGACAAAACAGATGGAACTGTTGTTTTTCGCACAAGTCGACGTGAAAAAAAACATGTTGTTCTTCAAATTGGCACATGTGATGTAAGTCGAGCATTAAAAGTTGGACAAATGGTGGAAAATGATATAGCAGGAATTGATGTCAATATGGGTTGTCCAAAAAGATTTTCCATTCTAGGTGGAATGGGCGCTGCACTTTTAGAAAAACCCGATAAGGCAAAGGAAATACTTGAAACTTTAGTGAATGGTCTTAAAATACCGGTAACATGTAAAATACGTGTTTTATCGTCATTAGAAAAAACACTTGAACTTTGTGATATACTTGCGTCTACAGGAATATCAGCAATTACCGTTCATGGTAGAACAAGAGATGAGAGACCACAACATCCAAATCGAAATGATATTTTAAAAAAAATTGCTCAACATCTTTCAATACCTGTTATTGCAAATGGTGGTTCAAGAGAAATTGAAAAACGATCTGATATATTTAAATTTAAACAAGAAACTGGATGTAGTAGCGTTATGATTGCTAGAGCTGCCGAATGGAATTGTTCAATATTTCGAAAAGACGGTTTACTACCAATGGATGAAATAATAACAACTTATTTGAAACTTGCAGTTGATTATGATAATGCACCAACTAATACTAAATATTGTATTCAAAATATTTTACGAGATCTTCAAGAGTCGCCGCTTGGAAAAAAATTTTTAGACACTCAAACTCTCGAGCAAATTTGGTATTTGTATACATAAATTAACAGGATTTTGTTTATTATATTTTATCATTATAAAATTCTTTAACTCTTTTACATTTTTCTTTTGTTGTTTTCCATTTAAAATAATTTTTAAATTATTTATTTTTAATTCTAAATATATTGACGATAAATATTTTTAATTTTTATATTTATTTAAAAACATTTTTTTTTAATTAAAATGTAATTTTCATTTTTGTTTTAGTGAGGTTTGGAATATGGATGATTATTGTAGGCAAAAATCGAAAGAATATCGAGAAAAAGGATTAATGGGACGATTTCAAGTTGTACCTGAGTCTTTTGCAATGGAAACTATTAATGCCAATGGATCATGTAAAAGAAAATTTGACGATGATGTAACATTAATGCAATGTGCATTTATAAGAAATAATTATACGAACGATGTTGATCTACCAAAAACTAAATTATTAAAATGGGTAAAGGAAAATAGGAAGAAAATGCCCATTTATGATACACAACATGCGGATAAACTTTTCCGTTCAATCGTCAGTGTTGATGGTAGAAAATATGGTTCATCTTTTTGGTGAGAAGATTTTTTTCTTTTTACTATTACCAAAGAATTTATAAAAATTTAATTTCAATTAAAATGAGTCATTGTATATGAAACATATGATAACAAAAGTTGATGTGGAATTTTTTTTGCCTAGTAATTAAATTATTAATATTTATTTAAATATTAATAAAAATTTTTCATTTTAAAACCATATGTTCAGAAAACAATTTTTTTTTTGTTCCGAAACTATATGTTTGTTAAATATTAAATATTTTTGTGACAGGGAAAAGAACAAAAAATTTGCTGAACAAGGAGCAGCTTTAGTATGTATCTCCTCATTGGGCCTTGTCGATCTAGAAACATTAACAAAAAATGGAAACATTCTCGCGTGATATTTACAGTTTGTTTCGAAAATATTATAATTTATATATTTTCGAATTTGAGATTATAAAATGTATATGAATGAAATATTACATTGTAAATATAACTGTATAATATATATATAAAGTACAAAATTTTAACTTGTACAATAATAAATTTAAATTAAAGTTTATTTGTTTTTATATATATATAACTATAATTTAATAATAATTAATAGAATCATACAATATAAATATAATAATAATTTTATTATATTAATGATTAACAGCATGTGATTGTTAGGTCCTCAAAATTAATTTTTTCGGGAACTTTACACAAAACCTCACATTTTCTAAAACTTTATAAAAGTATATTATAATAATAAATTCAACAAAATATCCCATTTTTTTTTTAATTTACTAGTTATTGTGATATGAAGATTAAAGTTATTGAAATTCTGGGAAAGATTTAGGCGCACTGATAAGCCATGAAGAGGGCGCACGAAATTTTTGTGAATCTTATCAATTACAATTCGATAAGATTAATATATTGATAGTAAATTGACCACATTTTGAGAATATACTTAGAAAATTAATTTTGTTGTTCATTGTAATATAAAGCATGTCAAATAATTTCACAGAAACTTTTAAAAGGGCGAACATTCGTGCCAATACTTTGGGAAATTACCAAAAATCAACTGTTAATCCTAATTTTCAAGAAATTCACAATGAGAGGTATTTTTTTATTTAAATAAAATTTAATTTCAAAACAAATATTTAAATTACGTTGGTTTTTTTTTATTATAATAACTGATCAAGATTAAATTATATTTACTTCTTGGAAAAATCAAAACAATTGCGTTATTAAACATATTCAAAATTAAATACATTCTTCAAAATTTTTCAGATAAAATTAAAAAAATAATTTTTAAATTAATTTTTTCTTTTTTTTTGTTAGGCACGAGAAAGAAATGCATCTGTGGGATTCATTTAAACAATTCCCTCCAAAACCTAAAAGTGGTTCAACAGTGGAACATAAAGGCTACGAACGTTTTATAAAATGTCTAAAAGTTTTCGTTTATTTAATTATTTTTTTAGCAATTCTCTTTTTTAGTATAATTTCAAAATGCAGTATTTTTTTTGCCACTTCAAATATTAATTTACAATTTGTTGATTTCTGTGGTTCAGGTATTTCATATATAAAATATTGAAATTAATTTTAATATTTAAAAATAAAATAATTAATTAAAAGAGAAAAATTTTATTTTAGATGCTCACGATTCTTCAAATCAACAACTTTTTGCAATTTTACCACAGAATGAACGTATTGCGTGGATGTGGTGCATAATAATGGCATTTATCATTCCAGAAGTGTTAGGAATGATTAGCGCAATTAAAGCTTGCATATTCAAGAGTATTAAAAAAGATGAACTTCCATCAATGAGAAATTTTTTGTTTTCAATATTTATTGAAATTTTACACAGTATAGGAATGTCTTTATTATTTTTAATTTGTCTACCGGGTCTTAATGTACTTCAAGCAGCTTCAATTATAAGTTGCGTCTGTTTTGTACCCAGTTTACTTGGTAATTATTTTATAAATAATTTTTATATTCATTATAATTTTAATATTATAATAATATTTCAATTAATTTTAAATATTAAAAATGCATTTCATTTTTTATGATTTTATCGTAAAAATATCATTGAAAAAAATTATTGTTTAAACTATATTTTTTACAGCTTTTGTGGGAAGTGGTACGAAATATTTCCATAATCGTGAGTTAAAAACTCTTTTTTCTGTTATGGCTGATGGTTTAGCATTTACTTTACAAATGACAGGAATATTAGCAAGTATTTTTTTTGAACATAAAGGAAGATCAGAATCAATGTATATTCTTCCAATAGCTTTAATTTTATCTTCACTTCGCTGGTGGCCAAATTATGTCTCCACTGAAGGAGTGTCAGGTACAATATATAAATATATATTTTTGTTCTAAACATGTTTTTTTTTTACTGAATATTTACAAGGTTTTCACTCATTTTTTTTTATTTTATTGCAAAATACCATGAGTTTTTTATGATTTTCAGGTCATAAGTAACATAATTTTTATAACGTACCAAAAACCAATAAATAAATATACAAAATGACAATTCGATTAAATGAAAAATGAATCAAAATTAAATTCTGTTTAAATAAAATTTTGACGAATAAAAATTTTATTAAAAATGCAAATTTGATTAAATGGAAATTCGTTCAAAAGAAAAATACATACGTCAGACAACAATTTGGCTAAAATGAAAATTTTGATCAAACGTAAATTTTAGTTTTAATGGAAATTTCGATTATATGAAAAGTTGATAAAATACAAATTCTGTTAAATAACAATTTGATTAAATTAACATTTGGTCAAATGTAAATTTAATAAAATATAAAAATTCAGTCAAATAGCAATTCATAGGATTCGAAGTGACACACTTTTTTACTTTTTTTTAACAAGGCTACTTTTTTACTACTAATTTTGGCAAAACGTCACTAAATGCTACTTTTTTCAAAAAATAATTTTAAAAATTACAGAATTCAAGAATTTTAAATTTTAGCGAATTTTTTTATTCCTAAAAGCGCGCCAAGTTGATGATATATTATTGGCCGCGTAAACTACTGCTTTATATAATTGTTTTTTACACGAATTTTTATTTTTCAAAATAGCATTTAACATAATTTCTTTTTAAACGACCTTTTACTCAATAGAATTTTTAATTTGACAAATTTTTTTGACAGAATTTTTATTTTACAAAATTTCTCTTTACCCAACTGTGTGTTTTTTTTTAAATAATTCTAATTTAACGGAAATTCAGACAATAATTGAATTTCAGAGTATTTTGAATTGAAAAATGTTTTAAATAATTGAATAATGCCAAGATCTTGATTAAAGTTATTAGAAATAATTATTTCAACAAAAAAAATTTGCATTGAAATTTTTAATAATAATTGAATATCAAGAGATTTTGAATTAAAATTTTTGTAAATAAGAATTGCTGAAAATTATTAACAAAGTTTCAAACAGTAATTGAATTTTACTGAATTTTTAATTTGAAAATGTTTTATTTAATTGAATTTTTGAATAATTGGATAAAATTTATTGAAATTATTAATTTAGCAAAGAATTTTAGATACAAATTTTAGAAATAATTGAATTTTGGAAGAGTTCGAGTTAAGATTTTTGGAAATAATTAAATTTTTGGAGATTTTTAATTAAAATTGTTGTTTTCAAATACTAAATATTTTATTTATAAGCTTCCGATACAAGTTCTAGGATTTAAAAATTCGAATTACTCAAAAATCTACTGAATGAGAATTCTAATAAATTAAAAATATAGATTAAATTAGAATTCTTTTCAAGAAACAGTTGGTTAAAGAGAAATTTTGTAAAATAAAAATTCTGTCAAATAAAAATTTGGTACTTTAAAAATTTTGTTGAGTAAACATTTATTTAAAAGAATTCTTTGTTAAATGCTATTTTGTAAAATAAAAATTTATTTATTTAAATCATTTTTATGAAATAATCATACTCTCCTACCGTTGTGACAGAAACAAAAAGTTAATCGAAATTAGTTTTTTTAAATAATCAGAAGAAAAATGATGTTTAAAAATATTTACACTTTAACGTCAAACTTAGAAAAATAATTTTACTTCATTTTAAAAATGTCACTTTTTTGATACTTTTTTAAAAAAATCATACTTTTCATACTTTTTTTTTTCTTAGTCTGTTACTACGTTTTGAAGCCTAAATTCAGTCAAATGTAAATTAATTAATTGAAAAAAAAATTAACGAAATCTAATAAAATTTATTGAATTTTCTTACAGAAACCTGGTTAAGTAAAATAAAAGAAGATTTAGAATCAACAAGATTCTGCTTGCAAGGTGTTATAGCGATAATTAGGATAATTGTTTTTCTAATGAGTGCTGTATTAATTGTTCATTGGAAAAAATATGATTTAAATGAATTTTTTAATGGATTCTGGATAAATGAATATATTATTCCTATTTTAAATTCTCCAGATACAGCTAATTCACCTATAATAACGTTAAATAAAAGTTCTTCGATGCAACTTCATTTTCTACTCGTACATGCATTCAGCAGTCTCTTCGCTTATGCATTTGGTAAAAAATTGAGGAAAAAATTAATAATAAAATTAAAAATTATTTTTAATTAGCTAAATGAATATAATTATTGAAATAGTTTTTTTTTTAAAAAAAGAAAAAAAATCATACTTACGTATAAATTTTTCCATTTCAGGTAAATTTGCGTGTAAAACTTTAATGCACAGATTTGGATTTGCATTACCTCTTGTATTAACTACGCCAACAATCATTGGCGTTCTTTATGCCGTTTACAATTTAAGGGATAAAAATACTTGTGCTTTTCATGGATTTATTCCTGATTATGTTTTTTTTGATGTTCCTAATTTGCAATCACCTGAAATGATAATTTCAGAATGGTATATTTGGTTATCGTTCTTTTGGTGGATTTCACAAATTTGGATTACATCTCACACGTGGACTTCCACATGCGAAAGATTAGCTAAAGCTGAACGTATTTTTGTTATTTTAACTTATGATTCTCTTGTTATTGATCAGTGTTTGGCGTTAAATCGAAGAAAGGAACAAAGTGAATACAAAAGTGTTCCATTAAAAACGGTCAGTATTTATTTATTTTTTTTTTATTAATTCGTCAATCATTTTTTTCCAAATTATATAATTTTCATTTTGTTATTTAAATAGAATTTGCATTTATTTCGTTAAAAAAAATCTACATATTAGTTTTTTTTAATAATTATTTTAAAAGATAATATGCAAATTTTATTGGAATAATAATGCAATTTTAATTTCAGGAAAATAATATTAAAGGCAATGAATGTCTGACAATTATTAAAGCTTGTGCGACAATGTGGCATGAAACTGAAAATGAAATGAATAAATTAATTAGCAGTATATTAAGATTAGATAAAGATAATTGTGCCATGCGAGTTGTTCAAGAACATTTTGATGTTCGTATTCCTGATTATTATGATCTTGAAAGTAATATTTTTTATTTATAATAATTAATTCTAATTTTCATTTACAATTATTGATAAATTAAGGTCAATTAATTAATTTTTTTTTTATTTACAGTTCATATCTTTTTTGATGATGCATTTCAGTGTGTACATAAATGCTATGGAAATTGTATAAATGAAAATGAAACCCAAGTAAATGAATATGTTATTAAATTTGTGAAAACAGTGGAAAAAAATTTAAAGAAAATGAAAATGCGAACGAGACCACCTGAAAAATGTCCTACTCCATTTGGTGGACGTTTGAAATGGACATTACCGGGTGGATGTAATTTAATTGTTCATCTAAAAGACAAAAATAAAATTCGTCACAGAAAACGATGGAGTCAGGTAATTTATTATTATTTTGTTTACTTATTTTATTTAATTTTTATTAAATATTTTTTTTTTTTTAAATAATATTACATTTCTTTTTCACGAATTCTTTTTGAAATAATTATTTATTTATTGTCAAACATTTTATAAAAACATTAAAAAAATTTTAAATTTACAATTAAGTTTTTTTCCCCTTTTTTTTAGGTAATGTACATGTACTATTTGCTTGGCTACAATCTAATGGAATTACCAATTGATTTAGATAGAAAAGTGAAAATTGCAGAGAACACTTATATTTTAACTCTGGACGGTGATATAGATTTTCATCCAAACGCTGTTAAAACTTTAATAGATTTGATGAAAAGAGATGAAAGTTTAGGTGCTGCTTGTGGTCGTATTCATCCAATTGGAAAAGGTAGATTAATTACAAAAAAAAATAATTAATGATCAATTTATTTGATATTATTTATTTCTATTTTATAATATTTTCTACTTCATAATTAATTGTATCAATTATTATTATTTTAATTTTATTATTATCATTATTATTATTATTATTATTATTATTGTTAATTATTATTAGGTCCAATTGTGTGGTTCCAAAAATTTGAATATGCCATTGGCCATTGGCTTCAAAAATCAACAGAGCATACAATTGGTTGTGTTCTCTGCAGTCCAGGTTGTTTTTCACTTTTTCGAGCAAAAGCACTTATGGATTATAATGTTATGAGAAAATATGCAACAGAATCGACTGAAGCAAGACATTATATTCAATATGATCAAGGAGAAGATCGATGGCTTTGTACACTTATTTTACAAATGGGTTATAGGGTAAAAAAAGTATTTATTAGATAAATTATTTTTTTCCAAAAATTAATTTAAAAAATTTTTTCTCAAAATTATTTTCGTATTTTTTTTATAAACTATTTTACATTTCATAATAAACTAAGAAAGTATTCAATTTGTATAATTTTTATCATTTTTTCTATAAATTTTTAAAATATATTTTAGAATAAGAAATTTTAAGATACAAATAATAATTTTTTTTTTTAAATACGTATATAGGTGGAATATTCAGCGGCAAGTGATGCTTACACTCATGCACCAGAAAATTTTAATGAATTTTTTATTCAACGTCGACGATGGATCCCATCGACAATGGCTAATATTTTTGATTTATTGAGTACATCTGATGAAACGAGACATTGTAATAATGATATTTCGTGGTTGTATATATTTTATCAATGGGTATTAATGGGTGAGAAATTTTCAAAATAATAATTTTTTTTTACTGGTTTAAATTGGTAATTTTTTTTCTATTTTATTTGCTAAAAATAAAATACTTAACGCTTTTAGTAAAAATAAAAATTTAATATATTTTTTTTTTGATTCGCTATAGGAGCTACTATTATTGGACCAGGAACGATTTTTCTAATGTTAGTGGGAGCTTTCGTTTCTGCTTTTCGAATCGACAATCAGACAAGTTTTTTCTTCAATTTCATTCCATTATTGTCATTTGTATTTGTATGTCTCTATTGCAAAGAATCAATACAAGTAAACATTTTTTGTTTCTTCTTCTAAATCTTAAAATATTTGTTTCTTATCTTATTATCATATTAATATTAATAATATATAATAAAAAATGTAAATATTAACGATAATAATTATTATATGTAAATTTATGTTTTTTCATAGCTAAAGATGGCGCAAATAATTTCATCTATTTATGGTTTAATTATGGGCATTGTCTTAGTTGGCATAATGCTTCAAATTTCTGAGGATGGACTTCTTGCACCAAGCACTTTGTTATTCTTCATAATAACTGGTCAAATAATAATAGGAGGATTACTTCATCCTAGAGAAGTGTCTTGTCTTATTTGTATAATTATTTATTACATTACTGTACCTTCTATGTACATGCTTTTAATTATTTTTGCTCTTTTTAATCTTCACAATATCTCTTGGGGAACACGAGACGTTAAACCACCTACCACTGTTGCTAATCCAGTGAGTATAAATTTAATTTTTAAATTTCTGTTCATTATTATAATAACCAAATCAGATAATTATTAAATATTTGTTATTAATTAAATAAATTGAACAAAAATTAAATTTACAATTTAGTAATAATAAAAGATTCAGTAATTATTCAGGAAAGAAAAAATCTAAAATTTTCTTTTGACAGTGAAATTTTTTTTTTAAAGAAAAATTAATAAAAGTGAAATTTAATTTGAATATTGAATTTTTAAAGGAAACTAATGAAGAAGAAATTGAAAAGAATGCAGATAAGAAAGCAAACAATACATTTTCAAGTATTAAAGATTTAATTGATTTTTCTGTGGATAAATTATTTAAATGTTGTACGCACAGTGAAGAAACTAAAGAAGAAATGAAACTCAATTATTGTATTCAAACGCTCTCTCGATTAGAGGAAAGACTGAAAATAATCGACGCGTAAGAAAAATTATTTTTAATATTTAAAAATATTTACAATTTACATATTTAATATTTAAAATATTGCAAAAAAAATAAAAAATTTCAGAATTTAGAATTTTTTAAAAAGTGGCAATATCTGGAACAAAAAATTGCAGACCTACATATATACATCAGGCTTCGAAGCGCGTAGTAAGAGACTAAGAAAAGTATGAAAAAGTATTATTTTTTTTAAAAAAAGTAAATTAATTTTTTAAGTTTGACGTTAAAGTGTAAATATTTTCTTGTCTAAAAGAAAAATTCTGAGGCATAAAATTAAAATAATTTTTTTCCTGATTTTTTTTTTTTGAAAAAACTATCTATTGTTAAATTTCGATTAACTTTTTGTTTTTGGGACAACGGTAGGAGCGTATGATTATTCCTTAAAAACGATTTTTCACATAAATTTTTATTTTACAAAATAGCATTTAAAACAGAATTTTTTTTAACGAATGTTTACTCAATGGAATTTTCAAAGTACTCAATTTTTATTTGACAGAATTTTTATTTTACAAAATTTCTCTTTAACCAACTGTTTCTTGAAAAGAATTCTAATTTAATCTATATTTTTAATTTATTAGAATTCTCATTCAGTAGATTTTTGAGTAATTCGAATTTTTAAATCCTAGAACTTGTATCGGAAGCTTATAAATAAAATATTTAGTATTTGAAAACAACAATTTTAATTAAAAATCTCCAAAAATTTAATTATTTCCAAAAATCTTAACTCGAACTCTTCCAAAATTCAATTATTTCTAAAATTTGTATCTAAAATTCTTTGCTAAATTAATAATTTCAATAAATTTTATCCAATTATTCAAAAATTCAATTAAATAAAACATTTTCAAATTAAAAATTCAGTAAAATTCAATTACTGTTTGAAACTTTGTTAATAATTTTCAGCAATTCTTATTTACAAAAATTTTAATTCAAAATCTCTTGAAATTCAATTATTATTAAAAATTTCGATTCAAATTTTTTTTGTTGAAATAATTATTTCTAATAACTTTAATCAAGATCTTGGCATTATTCAATTATTTAAAACATTTTTCAATTCAAAATACTCTGAAATTCAATTATTGTCTGAATTTCGGTCAAATTAGAATTATTAAAAAAAACACACAGTTGGGTAAAGAGAAATTGTGTAAAATAAAAATTCTGTCAAAAAAAATTTGCCAAATCAAAAATATTCTATTGAGTAAAAGGTCGATTAAAAAAATATTATGTTAAATGCTATTTTGAAAAATGAAAATTCGTGTAAAAAACAATTACATAAAGCACTAGTTTACGCCGCCAATAATAAATCGTCAAGTTGGCGCGCTTTTAGGAATAAAAAAATTCGCTAAAATTTAAAATTCTTGAATTCTGTAATTTTTAAAATTTTTTTTTGAAAAAAGTAGCATTTAGTGACGTTTTGCCAAAATTAGTATGTGGTAAAAAAGTAGCCTTGTCAAAAAAAAGTAAAAAAGTGTGTCACTTCGAATCCTATGAATTGCTATTTAATTAATAATAATTTAATTAAAATAATTAATAGTTAATTTAATCAAATTGTTATTTAACAGAATTTGTATTTTATCAACTTTTCATATAATTGAAATTTCCATTAAAACCAAAATTTACGTTTGATCAAAATTTTCATTTTAGCCAAATTGTTGTTTGACGTATGTATTTTTCTTTTGAACGAATTTCCATTTAATCAAATTTGTATTTTTAATAAAATTTTTATTCGTCAAAATTTTATTTAAACAGTATTTCATTTTGATTCATTTTTCATTTAATCGAATTGTCATTTTGTATATTTCTTTATTGGTTTTTGGTACGTTATAGAAATTATGTTACTTATGACCTGAAAATAATGGAAAACTCATGGTATTTTGCAATAAAATAAAAAAAAATCAGAGAAAACCTTGTAAATTTTCAGTAAAAAAAAACATCTTTAGAACAAAAATATATATATTTATATATTGTACCTGACACTCCTTCAGTGGAGACATAATTTGGCCACCAGCGAAGTGAAGATAAAATCAAAGCTATTGGAAGAATATACATTGATTCTGATCTTCCTTTATGTTCAAAAAAAAAATACTTGCTAATATTCCTGTAATTTTTAAAGTAAATGCTAAACCATCAGCCATAACAGAAAAAAGGGTTTTTAACTCACGATTATGGAAATATTTCGTACCACTTCCCACAAAAGCTGTAAAAAATATAGTTTAAACAATAATTTTTTTCAATGATATTTTTACGATAAAATTATAAAAAATGAAATGCATTTTTAATATTTTAAATTAATTGAAATATTATTATAATATTAAAATTATTTTTTGAAAAAAGTAGCATTTAGTGGCTTTTGGCCAAAATTAATAGTAAAAAAGTATAACCTTGTCGAAAAAAAGTATCAAAAAAGTAAAAATAGTGTGTCACTTGGAAGCCTGATACATACATATAGACACAAATTTTTTTAAAGCCATGTTTGGACTTTTTATTGTTCATAGTGACAAACTATTAATTTTTAAATACAATAACAAGTAATTATTAATAAATTTTCAAAATTAAATTATTTATTGTCTTTTTTTTTCTTAAATAAATTTTGTAGAAAAATCGATGAAAATCCTGCGTCACTTGTAGAATGTATGAATTCGATAATAACTGAAAAGGAATGTTCAGTTAATTCAGCACCATGTAAATCAGATAAGGACAGTGTTATTGATATTAATACAGAACAAGAGACATTATCGGATAAAGGAAGTTCCAGTTATAGAACACGTATAGAATCTGGCTATGAATTTGAAGAGTCTGATGATTGTTCATCAGAAAGTGAGAGTATCAATGAAGTGAAAAACTATTCAGAATCTGTAAAAAATGAGACTGACTTTAATGTTAATCCTCCATGGATATTTGATGCTGAATTGGGAAAAGGAGAAGTGAGTTTTATCACCAAACCAGAAGAAACATTTTGGAATGACTTAATTGAATCTTATTTAAAACCAATTCCTATGGATGAAGAAACTAAAAAGAAAAATGTTAGTAAAAAATAATTTCCATCAAGAAATTTATTACGTTTTCAAAATTTTTTTTATAATTAATACTTTATTCAGTAATAATAATTTAAAATTATAAACATAATTTTTTTTTCTTTTCTTTATTTAATGTACTAATTGTGGTTTTAGAAAAAAGTTGCAAAAGAATTGAAAGATTTACGAAACAAGTATGTTTTTCAATTTTTAATGATAAATGCATTATATATACTAATGATTTTTGTGATGCAATTGAATAAGGATAAACTTCACATTGAATGGCCATTTGGAGCAACTTACAATATTACCTATAATATTGAAAATCCATTTGTATGTATAATTTTATGAAATAATTAATTATTAAACTTTTCAAATAATAATGAATAATTCTCTAAATTTATTCTAGATTGTCAATGTTGAAGAATATTATTTACGCCTTGAACCAATTGGTTGTCTTTTCATCGTTACATTCTTTAGCATTATTTTTATTCAATTTATAGCAATGTTAATTCATCGATTTGAAACATTTTCTCATTTGTTGGCTCAAACGTCTTTGGATTTGTACTTCTTCAAAAAAGTAATTATTCTTTTAAATTCAAAATTTTTTTAATAATAATATTCTAATAAATTAAAAAAAAAAATTTTTAAAGAAAAATTTAAAAATTAAATATTTTTTATATGTGTTGATAATATTTTCATTATTTTCAATTTACAGACTGGTCTTTCAGATGAAACTATTGTTAATAGATATCACGATATATTTTCCAAATATCTTCTAAAAGCTTACGATAAAATGCTTCACGGTGATGAAACAAGAGCTATGAAACCACCGGGAACTCGAAAAACTATTCCTGACTTTACCGAACGCAAGGAATCATTTATAATAGACAATTTTGATAAACTATTTCATGAATATTTGGATAGAAGTGATTTAGCTGGTACGAATTTAATATTTAATAATTATTTTCAAATATTAGTATTTTATTGTTTAATTAAAAATAATTGTAGATTGTAAATTTAAATTCAATTACATTTTCAATTTTTAATTATAAGAATATTAACAAACAAAAATTTTTTTTCAGAAAAATCTGGAAAGTTTAATAAAAGTGCTATTAATGTTATGAATCATCGTTCTACTATTCATAGGACACAAAAGAAAGAAGAAAATTCGAGTCCTATTTATGAAAGTGCATATGATTTACGAAAAAGTACACCGAAAGAAGGAAAAGGAATTATTGAAAATAATTCTTTTGACAATAACGGCTTCATTTCAGACTAATTTGCTCATTATATTTATATATTCAAACAATTTTCACCTATATAGGTGATTCTCCGTAAAATGGGTAATTTCATGTCTTTGAATTATATCTTCTAAACATCTTAACATTTAATTATCAACATTGAACGAAAATATTGTATAAACATTCCTTAACTATTATACCTTATAAAATACTATATTTTTGTACATAAATTTTGTGTAAAACAATATTTAATAGGTGGAAAACAGCAATTCAGTATGTCCTAACTTCTGAGTACCAAACTTTAAAATGCTATAACTCATAAAAACCGTACTATCTTTAATTATTCAATTAATATTCTTAAAGTTTAACTCAAAAGGTTTAATTTTTATAAATACAATTTTTCATTACATTAATTTAATTACTGATAATTATTGGAATAAGTGTCTTTGAAAATCTTCATTCCAGCACGACAAAGGATAAACGTGTATAAATATACTACAAGACTTGCACTTTTAGACTCAAAATTATATGTAAATCGAAAAAAAAACATGTCACTCCTCAAATCTTTAAGAGAAATTAGAAAATGAACCCAAAGAGTGGGACTTTTATAGCATCCCCTACGGAGTTGAAATTCAACTCCTTTTTTTTACAGTGTATTATCAAATAAATATTTATTTGTATCAAATAATTACTATTTAAATCAATTAAATGGTATTTGTTTTAAATACAGAAATTATTATTGGTTCAAATACATTTTATTTAATTCAAATAAAAATTATTTGGTTCAAGTAAATATTTATCTGATAATAATAGTCAAGTAATCGAGTATTTGAATCAAATAATTTTTTTTTTCAGTGGAGGTATTAGATTTCGTAATATTTTTTTTATAGTTTTAGTAAATTTATAGTAAAATCGACTACTTAAATCTTAGTGTAATTTCTTTAAATTCAATTAAATTAACTTGAAAATTTCATTGTATCAAATATATTCTTAGTTGCTTCAACTAATTTAATGGTAGTTAATACAAGAAAATAATAAAATGTCGCCTTCTTTTTCTAGAGATTGTTTATTTAAATTCATTATGAGTCATGTATTGAACTTGTATTTCTTATAATTAAAATTTTAGTACTTTAAACCTTATTTGCATTTAACATTGTATTAATTTACTTAGTAATAGTGTAATTATTTTTTAAAACGGTGAAATCCACGTCAACTCATAACAAAATTTTCTTGATGAAATGGGATTTGGCTATAAACTGGCATAAGTGATACAACTATAGTGACCAAAATTTTTATCAAGTATTTTTTCAAAATTTTTAAAAATGACGAAGGCAAGAGACTTTTAAATTTCAAGCTCAATTTGTTTCTAATTCGATTTCAAAGTGTGAAATGATTTGTTTTAAGGTTTTAACATATATTATCCAAAAAATGAAAATAAAAAAAAATATAGGTATATATTATTTTGAAAAAATTTTTTGACAAAAATAAAAATTAAGATCTTTAAAAATTAAAATAAAGAACGGGGTCCAAAAAAATTTATGAATTTTCAGAACTTGTAAACTATCCTAGTATAGTTTCAATTGACAAAAAAAAATTTCAATTAAAAATGACGTATTTTCAAAAACGCAAATAAAAATTTTAATTGTTTAAAATTTAAAAAAAAAATTGAGCTTGAAATTTAAAAGTCCCGTATCTTTGTCATTTTAAAGAAATTTTAAAAAAATTCTTGGCGTGAATTTTGGTTACTACTCAGATAGCACGTAAGCTTGCAGCAACTTTGTGACAAGTATGCCGCGCAATATTGCCAACCTTACACGGAAAACTTGCCGCAAGCTTACTACAAGCTTCAAATGTCCCACCTGATCCAAGCTTGCATGGTAAGATTACCGAAAGATTGCAGTGTCAGGTTACTGCAAGATTGCACAATAAGATTATTGCTCAGTAAGCTTGCACGGTACGCTTGTGGCAAGGTTGATGCAAGGTTGCCAAATAACCTTGCTTTAAACTTAAAAATTTTTTTTTAAATGTTTCGTCTAATTTATACAATAAAATTTTATAAATTAAACGAAAAATTAAAAAAAAAGTTTTTTAAGTTTATAGCAAGGTTATTTGGCAATCTTGCACCAACCTTGCTACAAGCGTACCGTGCAAGCTTACGTGCTATACGGGATATAGTTGTATCACTTATATCAGTTTATAGCCAAATCCTATTCCATCAAGAAAATCTTGTAAAGAATTGACGTGAAATTCACCTAATAGTTTTCTATTAATTCTTCTTATTATAGTAAACGCATTCCATTTTTTATTACTGATGGAAATTTCAAATGAGATCTTTGAGTAAAATTTAAGCATAAATCAAGAATTTTGAGAAAAAAAAATTACTACAAATTTATGTAATTTTTCCGTCTCATTTCTTACGTTCGTGAAGATCATAAAGTTTATGATCAGCGATTGACAGAAAAAAAAATTTCATTATGGTTCGAGAAATGTTATAAAAATTTGTTTAGACAAAAAATTATAATAATTTGCATAGAAAAATATTTTTTCTACTAAATCGTTGATCATAAACGTTGTAAATTTTCATACCGACGTCATTTCTTTTAAAGAAAAAATTCTTGATTGCATCACTACTTTTAATTATAAATCAAGAATCTTGAGAAAAAAAATTGCTACAAATTTATGTAATTTTTTCGTCTCATTTCTTTTAAGAAAGAAAAAAATTTTTAATTGCATCACTACTTTTATGCCGCTGAAATCGAAAAAATCACAGACCCACAGCATATAAAAGTTTCTGCAGCGATATAAACTTGTTCTATTAACATTAGATCTCAGAATTATTATTTTTAAAAAACAAAATTTAAAAATTTTTTATCTTCAAAACAAAGCAAAATCATCGTTTCTACGTACAGAATAAAAAATAATTCATGTATTTAGTAAGTTTTAATATCTGATAATTAATGTCCTGAATTTCCTACTTTTGATTAAAGTATCTTAAAACCCATATTGTGAATTATAGTTCATTATTATTTATATAATTATTTCTACTCACTCATTTGTTGTTATTTCACAATCTAGGAGTCACTGGCTGCAACTTCTGGTAACGTCTAAAAATCAAGAACATACATTGTTGTTTAAAAATTTTATTGGACATGCTAGTCATTGTTGTCGACATGAAATTTGAATACCATTTTTGTATTTCATATCTTTAATTACTCAATATTTTTCAACATTTATTATATTTTACATTCTATTCATATATATAAGTATATTTATATAAGATGTTTAATAACTGAAAATTTTAAATTTCCAGTTGCTTTTGTTAAGAATGTGAAAAAATTATAAAACAAAATTAATTGGTACTTTTGGATGAATTTAAATTTTAAATTACAACTAAAAAAGTATATAGCAAACAGAAGTAAAAATTGAACACCATTAATTGAATAACAAGAAAACTAATTAATTAAAAAAAAATGGAAACAAAACTAACGGGAGATGAAATAGTGATATCTGGTATAGCAGGAAGATTTCCGAACAGTGATGATATTAACGAATTGCAGAAGAATCTTTTAAATAAAATAAACTGCATTGGCGACTGTATAGCTCGTTGGGATTACGGTATGGATTACGTTTAAATTATGTATAATAATTACTTATAAGCAAAAATTTAAAATACTTATAAACAAAATTTAACGAATATCACAGGATAGATTCTAAATATTTAGTACTCTCAATAAACAATTTTAGAATTTATTCTAAGCCTATGCACACAGGAGCAGGGTTTTTTCACTGGAATATTTTTTCCGTTTAGAACATCCTCAAATTCCTCAGCAAATCGGTACTATAAAAAATATTGACAAATTTGATCGTGTATTTTTTGGAGTTCTCGAAAAATTGGCAAATGCAATGGATCCAATGTCAAGAATAATTATGGAAACAACATACGAAGCAATCGCAGATGCCGGGATTAATCCAAGGAAATTGAGAGGAAGTAAAACTGCAGTTTTTACCGGAAGTAGTTTTTCGGAATCGGAAAAAAATTTCTTCTTTGAAAAATCACTGGTACAATATTTTTCTATATTATTTTATTATTTTTTTCAATTTTTATTTTAAACTGAACATCGATGCTAAAATTCATATAACGTTTATGACCAACGATTAGAAAAAAAATTATTTTTTAAGACAGAAAAATATAAAAATTTGTATCTAAAAAATTGTGAGACGCATGAATATGCACTAAAGCTAATTTTTTAGAATTATGTTTTAATCGAATTTAATTCTGTAGAATATTATTTTTGCAGAATAGTAATTTAAAAGAATTTTAATTTTGCAGAAAAATAATTGTACAGAATTTTAATTTTGCAGAATATTCATTTGTTCGAATTTTCATTTTACAGATTAAATTATTAACCGATTATCAATGTTGCCTTATTTTTATTTAGACGAAAATTAATTATCCAGAAATTTAATTTGATCGAAACAAATTTTTGTCATATTGAATTTCGACCATTTCCACTTTCTGTAAAATGAATATTCGATCAGAAGAATATTATGTTAAATTAATATTCTTTCTAATCTTCTTTCTGAAAAATTAAGATTCTTTTGAATTACTATTCTGAAAAATGTTGAATTTTATATTTTTTTTAGCAAAATGGGTACGGCCTACTAGGCCTATCTCGCAATATGTTGGCAAATCGAGTTTCATTTTTCTTTGGTTTCAATGGACCAAGTTTTAACATTGATTCTAGCTGCACTGGTGGTGCGAGTGCATTACATGAAGGATTCAAGGCGATTAAAGACGGACGAATCGAAAACGCCATTATTGCTGCCAGTAATATTGTTTTACATCCAAAAATTTCACTACAATTATTTTTGTCAGGTACTAGTAGTTTTATATATATATCTTTGGTTATTAAGTTACTTAATGTAGCGGAAGATTAAAAAGAACAATATAATATATTTTTTCCAAATCAATTCTAGGACTTCTATCGCCTGATGGCAAAACAAAATCATTCGATGATGCAGCTGATGGTTATGCTCGCAGCGAAGCAACTGTAGTTCTATTTCTTCAAAAGGCTCGAGATGCAAAGCGCATTTATGCGGAAGTGAAGAATACAGGCATTTGTTTTGGAAATATCAATAATGACAAATCGCATTTTTATCAGACCTATGAATCTCAAGCCAATCTAATGAAAAACACCTTAAAAGAGTGTGGTCTTTTTGCTCAAGACATTTCATACGTAGAAGCCGACGGTTCAGGTATTAAAGATGTCGATGCCGAAGAAGTAAAAGCAATTGACGAAGTTTACAATGAAGGTCGAAAATTACCCCTTTCAATTGGATCTGTCAAATCTAATCTTGGCTCCAGTTCAGCTGTTAATCCACTCAATGGAATTATTAAGGTTTTAAAAATTATTAACAATTTTAATAAGTACTAATCATTTAAAAATATCACTTAACGCAAAAGCAAACAATTGTACTGACATTACGTACCGTTTGCATTGATTTAAATATACTACACACTAAAAATTTGACATCTGTTAATTTTGTAAGGTGATCACTGCAATGGAATCAGGATACATTCCACCAAATCTTCATTTTAAAGAGGCATCTAACAAAATCCCTGCTCTTAAAGAAGGTCGATGTAAAGTTGTAACAGAATTAACTCCCTGGACTGGAGACTATGCAGTCGTTAATAGTTTATCATTATCTGGTACTAGTGCTAATATTATATTAAAAGATTTCAAAAAGAACAAGAAAAATGGAGGAAAACCTGACGACAGTCTTCCAAGATTAGTCATGTGTTCAGGTTGTACGGAAGAAGCTGTTGACTACATACTAAGCGATGTTAGTTTTACACTATTATTGATTTTATTTATCCATGTAACAAACGAAGAGATCTTTAAATATTATAATATAATGATATACTTTTTGAGATATGAGAAAATAATGTATATACTTTACAGCTGGAAAGCAGACCTGTCGATGTAGAAATGCTTCAGCTTATGTATGACATATTTGAAACTGAAATTCCAGCTCATACATATCGAGGTTATACAGTAGTCCCTCCATATGGATTAACAAAGATAAAAACGAGAAAAATTGAACATTACTCGAATATTAAGAGAGAAATTTGGTACATGTTTTCCGGTATGGGTTCTCAATGGGCCGGAATGGGTAAGATTCATTGAATAGCACCAAAGTTGATTGTGTTAATACATTATGTTACACCTGAAAACGTTTGTTATAAATGCAATAATATTGATTTTAAAAACAGGAGAAGCTTTATTGCAATTACCTGTTTTCAAGGAAGCTATAAAGAAGTGCGATAGAGTCCTTAAGACGCGGGGAATCGACATTGTCCGTATCATTACAGCTAAAGATCCAAAAATATTCGACAATATTGTTAATTCCTTTGTCGGAATTGCTGCTATTCAGGTAACTCACGTAATCATTATTTCTAACAATAAATCATTCAAATGTAAATTAATAATATATTACAAAAATAAATGGAATTAGTAGAAAATTTTTTAAACATGAATAATATTTTTTCAGATTGGTTTAGTAGACATCTTAAAATCTATTGGACTGAAGCCAGATTTCTTAATTGGTCATTCAGTTGGAGAATTAGGTTGTGCTTATGCTGATGGATGTTTTACAGCAGAACAAATGGTTCTTTCTGCATTATGCAGAGGTCTAGCATCAGTAGAGACAGAAATGCCAAAAGGTTCTATGGCAGCAGTCGGCCTTGGTTATGAAGAAATAAAAAATCTTTGTCCACCCGATATTGATGTAGCTTGTCATAACAGCGGAAACAGTTCCACTATCAGTGGTCCTATAGACTCTATGAAAGCCTTTGTAGCACATCTAACAGTTAAACATTTTTAATTTCTAAATAAATATTTTAAAGGATCAAAATAGGTTGAAACTTTTCTTAAAAAAATAAATTTTTTTCTCAGGCGAATAAAATTTTTGTCAAAGAAGTGGCGTGCAGTAACATAGCCTTCCATAGCCGATATATTGCTCCGGCTGGTGAGAAACTAAGAAAATACCTTCAAGAAATAATTCCTAATCCAAAACATCGAAGCAATCACTGGGTAAGCAGTTCAGTTCCACGTGAAGAATGGAATTCTGCTAGGGCTCGACTATCATCTGCAGAATATCACACAAACAATCTTCTAAGTTCTGTTTTGTTTGCCGAAACTGCGAAATGTATTCCACCGAATGCAGTTGTTATTGAAATATCCCCACATGGTCTTCTACAGGCAATCGTGAAAAAATCATTGCCAGAAAATGTTCTTAATGTACCGTTAGCCAAAAGAGGTGATTCAGACAATGTCTCATTCCTTTTTGACGCTATTGGTAAATTATACAATGCTGGTTGCAATATTAATGTGTCCAATCTTTATCCTAAGGTCAACTATCCAGTAACACGAGGAACACCTTCAATTTCATCTTTAATCCGCTGGGATCACTCAAGTAACTGGTAAGAAAAGAAATGTCATAACAGAGGCTTTTATCAAATAAAACATTTTAAAATTATAATAGTAATGCTTATTATGTAGTAATCTGCTATTGAACTATAGGTACACTAACTTTTTTAAAAAACCAAAAGAAGATAACAAAGGAGAGATGAATTTTATAATTAATTTAAACGACGAGAAGTGGAAGTATTTAAAACACTTTAAGATTGATGACAAAGTGGTTGTACCAACTGCTCTATACTTGAAACTTGTCTGGGAAGTTTTACATTCATTAAAAGATGATTCTAAAATCTCACTTGTTTACCAAAACGTAACAATTCATAAGCATCAAGTTGAAATTCCAGAAGACAAAAATATCATATTAGTGGTAATGGTTCAAAAAGGTACATGATAAATACTTTTAAAAAAGATAAACTATTATTAATTATTATTGTAAAATCAAAAATCTGCAAATAAAACTAATTATTTAATCTGTAAGTACACAACTTGGTAAATACTAATTTGATACATTTTCTAGGTACTGGTTCCTTTGAAATAACAAATAATGGAAATTTACTCTGTTGCGGAATTTTACAAACGAATAATACTTTTTATCAGAAATGCAGTCTATTCCCTAAGAAGGCTGATAAAGATTATCAGGAATTAAGTGATACTGATATTTACACTGAACTGCAGGTGCAAGGTTTAAAATATTCAGGTCCCTTTAAAAATATTCGTAAATCATCAGCCAATGGATGTAATGGAACTTTACAATGGAAAAATGATTGGACAACGTTTTTAGAAGGAATGATCCAGATGTATTTACTTGGAAATGAAATGAGAAAAGCACAAGTGCCAATTAAAATTAGAAAAATTGTTATTAACTCGAAATTGCAGGAAAAAACGATAAAAAAGTCGTATGGTGAGAAATGAATTTGTTTTGAAAAATATTATATTTTATATCATATTGAAATTAAAATATCTTATCGATTCCAACTGAAAAATCGGCTCGAATAGGTACAGTGTTCAAATCAGTTTTCATTTGTTGGCTTAAAATTTAATACAGAAACTACACAAGAATTAACAGGTCGGTGAAGTTCACATCGATTACGATTATCGAAATTTTAAAAACCGTGATACTGCATAAACACAACAAACAATTACAAAAAAATTCAAAAAAACATTATACTTAACAAAAAAAATTAAGTTCTACCCCAAATTCATTAGAAAAACACTAGAGCTGTGCAAGTTTTTAAAATTCGAACCGCTCCATAAGAATTAACATGGGCTCGAATCGAATATTCGATCCGAACCCATACAAAATTCGAACTTTTGCACAGCTCTAAAAAACACCCATAGTATAATCCCCAACATTGACATTTTTCAAAACATTTAAATTTCATTACACACACACAATTTTATTGCAAATTCTCGCACAAAATACACATAAAAGTGTAGAAAAAAATTGACACCCCCATTGTCTGTCTAAGAAAATTTAAATTTTTTAGGAATTTTTTTTATAACAGGGGTTGCCTTAAGGATGGTAATAGGGTCTTTCCCCTACTTGTATCAGAGTGTCAATTTTTCTCTATACTTTTAGGTGTATTTTGTGCGAGAAATTGCAATAAAATTGTCTGTCTAAGAAAAATTGCATTTTTTGAGAATTTTTTTAACATAGGGGTGGTAATAGGGTCCTTCCCCTACTTGTATCGGGGTGTCAATTTTTTTCTACACTTTAAGGTGTATTTTGTGAAAGAAATTGTAATAAAATTGTGTGTGTAGTGAAATTTAATTTTTTTTTGTTAAGTATAATGTTTCGTTGAAGTTTTTGTAATTTTTTGTTGTGTTTATGCAGTATCTTGGTTTTTAAAATTTCGATGATCGTAATCGTAGTGAACTTCACCGACCTGAATTTACTTGTCGCATAACTTACTATCAATTATTAATAAGTAACTTATTTATTTTTAGAAATTCCTGTCACAGTATTTAGGGAAATTAAAACTGTGACTGCAGGTGGTGTACAAATGGAAGGAATTGTTCTTAAACCTATTCTTCAGAAATCTTGGAAAAATAGTGTTTTTACTAATAAACTTCAAATCGTTCCAATCACGGATGGAGCACAGTCTAATTTAACAGAGATCTTGAAAATAACTCTTCAAATTCTACATGAAAATTCCAAAAACACAAATTTAATTCGCATCATTAGAGACGAAACTGTAGATGTGAAAAATATAAAACAACTTTTGCAAAACGTTCTTAAAGAATGTCTAGAAATAAAAAGATTTAAAATTGAAGAAGTATCGTCATCTTGGCTATTAAACAATAAACAAGAATATAAGAATGTTGCACTTTTCGTGCTTTATAATGTTATGCAACATACTCAACAAGCACTCTTAGGTCATGTCTTAGAAGGATGCTTTCTAATAACATTTGCAGAACCAAAAAATGTAAATGATGTTTTAAGAAACGCATATTCTGCAGGACTAGGTCTCGTACTAAGAAAATATACCTCCAAGAATCAAATTGTATTACTTTTGCGTCGAAAGCAAGCTATCAATAAGACCAGTATTTTGGACATCAATGACGATCAAGATTGGGCCAATAAAATTAAATCAGAACTTCACTCAAAAACTTGTGACCGTCTTATAATTACAGTCATGTCAAAACAATGTTCTTATAATTGTAAAAACTTTGAAGTTCTTTTAAAAGAAAAAAAGAAAGATAAAATTCAAATTGTCTACATTCATGATCCAAAAGTCTCGAAATTCTCTTTAGAAGATTCTTCATACAGATCACATATGGATCTCAATTTGAAGACGAATATTCTTTTACCAGGTAAAATTTGGGGAACATATGGGTATTTCCCAATCGCCTCAAATATTCGATATGCGACTTATTGGGTGGCTAGACAGATTAACAATTCGGATCTAAAATCAATTTCCTGGGTCGAAGAGTTACCTAGAAATACTGCCAACACAATTAAAGTCGAGTATTCTGCAGTTAATGAAGCAGATATTCTCTTAGCAACTACTAAAAGAGCATTAGAAAACACTTTGGAAAATACACTAGAAATGAAGCCTTTTGGACAAGAATATTCTGCAATTAATTCAAAAGGAAACAGAGTTATGGGAATAGCTGCAAATGGTACATTTTCAAATTATATAACAGCTGATACTAATTATACGTGGAAAATACCTGACAACTGGTCTTTAGAAGATGCCACAACTGTACCTTTAGCATATGCAGTTGCATACTTGGCTTTGGTGATAAAGGCAGATGTACAAAAGAACCAATCTGTTTTTGTTTACGACAGCGCATCTTCCATTGGCCAAGCTGCCATTAATGTAGCATTAAATATTAAGTCACAAGTATTCGTTGGATACGTTAATGATATCGACAAAGAAAACTTAAAAAGTAGCTTTTCAAATATTCACGAAAACCATTTTATAAATGCATCAAGAAATTTCGCCGATCAAATCATGGCACATACACAAGGCAGAGGAGCAAACCTAGTAATCTATAATGGAGATGATTTAAGCAAAATAGATACTTGCATGATGTGTGTGAAAAATAAAGGAAAGGTTATTATCATTGGAAATTTACAAGATACATTTAGTAAGTCCGTAAGAATGCAACATTTTTTGAGGTATACTTCTTTGTTTTCAATAATTCCAATGAAAATAAACAATCTTGATTTAGTAACGAAAAGAAAATTATCACTAATGATTGAGAATGGAATAGCAGAGCAAACTATAAAGCCGTTACCTAGACGTACCTACTCTAGGGATATGTTAAAAACTGCTTTTATTGACGGAGCTTCAAATAATGTTTTTGGAAAAGTAAATTTCTGTTTCTTTCATTTTTTACATTTTGCTTATTGGTATTTAAAGCAAACATTTAATATATTATCTAAATTCATTTCTTACATTTACAGATCATTGTTAAAGTACAGCCGGAGGATGGAAGCGATGAAGCTCTAACAATACCTCGATTCTTATGCAAAAGTGAAGGATCTTATTTGATAATTGAAGGATTGAGTGACTTTGGACTTGAACTTATTGAGTTTTTAGTTGTAAGAGGTGCCAAAAATATTATTATAGCTTCCGAATCGAAAAATACAAGAGCTTACAGTGAACACAGAATAAATTTGTGGAGACAATATGGAGTATCAGTTGTTGTTCGTGATAAAATGGACTTTACCCATCAACAAAATGGAAATGATCTTCTAGAAGAAGTTAGTACACTTGGTACAGTAGATGCTATTTTTGATCTTCAGCGTATTGATAGTTTATCAGCAAGCACTTCTAATTCGAAATATTTGTTTACCAAATATATTTTTGAAGAATCTAAACAAATATGTCCTGATTTAAGACACTTCGTAGTTTTTTCAACATGTAAAGATGTCAGGGAAAATGTCGATGAAATTTTGTTAAGACAAATCGGTTTGACAAAAATTTGCACAGAAAAATCAAAAGCAGTTACTTCGGGACTTTTAATTCTTTTAGATCCGATTTCTGGAATTGCGGAAGATTCAACTGAAAATAAGAGTAATGTACCTTTGTTGATTTCTTCTAGTATTATGGAACAAATGGATAATTTAATTGGATCAAAGGCGTCCATTGTATCTGTTCATTATAAATCATTAGTAGTGGACTCTGAAAAGGTGAGGCAAATTATTACGTTAGATTTTCTTGTCAAAATCTACTGTTCACTACAATAATTAGTGTTTTCGTACAAGACAATTTGGGATTGGACAATAGATTCTTTTCAAAAAATTTTAGTGTCTTTTTAATTTTTTAAAGCTTGCTACAAGTTTTCACTGCATTCTTGCACTATAAGATTCCAGCAAATTCTTATTTAATTGAATAAATATTAATTAAATTTTCAGGTTGAAAAAGATATCGACACAGTTGAAAAATCGCCAAAGATGAAATTCGACAAGTATATTAACACAGTTCAACCATTGGCAACATCCTCTAGGTTTTAAATTACAGAAGAAAAGCAGTATTAAAATTAATTGTTATTTTTAAAGGAGCATCTACAATGGGTAAAAAGAAGGTTTATATACACATGTGACCACTTATACGCGTTAAGAAAGTTCTTGTCAACTGTCCAAAAGATTATGAATGTTTTTGTTAATTTTGTCACGTTCCATGATTAACGATGAAATGTATGTTAATCTAATTACGTCTTAGCATAGTAGATATTTATATGTTTAAAAACTGTGAAAATGTCAATATTGACGGAATATATATATATATATATATATATATATATATATATATATATATATATATGTATAAATATATTTCAATTAGCGGATGAAAAATTCTTAAGTTGTAGAAAATAAAATAGAAATTTTAAAAAATTAGATGTTATAATTGATTGACGAGAATTTATGGTACTTGACAGCTTCAATAGAAAATGATAAATATTTGTTTTCTATAGTTTATAATGCCAATAAACATATAAGTATATCACTTTAATCTCATTAGATTAAAACAATAAAATTGAAATAAATAATTATAAAATAATAAATATGTTATTATTTATTAACTACTTGGTGCACGCTTATTTTATCAAATATGATATATATTTAAGGTCAAAGTCAAAGGTCAAAGTTGTCCACTAGTTCTTCAATTCCGAATGCAACTTATGAAAAAATAGTATAGGAATACGTGCACTGAAAAAATAAATTGATTCAAATAATCGGTTACTTGACTATTATCAAATAAATATTTATTTGTATCAAATAATTATTATTTGAGTCAATTAAATAGTATTTGTTTCAAATACAGAAATTATTGGTTCCAATACAGTTTATAATTATTTCAAATAAAAATTATTTATTTCAAGTAAATATATATTTGATAATAGTTAAGGAACCGATTATTTGAATTAAATAAATTTTTTTAAGTGCGTGTAAATGAAAAGTCCGATACCGATTTTAGAAAATTTTTGGCTTTACAGAATTTTCTGTTTTTTATTTAATTTTTAAAATGCTGTATCTCGGAGAATAATAAATTGATTTTAATTATTTTTTCCAGAGATTTCCTCAATATTATATTATTAATTATTCACAAATTCTTCAAATGAATTTTTTATTTTGCAAAGACAAACAAAAATCACTACTAATAATATGATTAAAATGAAAAATTTATACTCTAATATAATATTGAGGTTTTACATTCAATAAAGTAGATGATTATTTTAACCCAAACTCATATGTGAAAATTCACTCTCAAACCAAAAATGTTACTTGCTGTGAAATATATACGTATATTATATTTCAATAAATTCATTTTTCCGAAGGAAATATGCAAAGATAAATAAATTTTATTTCCTGGAAATTATATCATAATACGTCAAGAAGTTTATATATCGGGTGGGGAGTGAAGAAAGAAATTCTAGCGTGTGTGTCATTTATGAATTAGAAGGAACAGTTGCCACCGCGTGTTCATTCTTGACAGGCGATTGCAGAAAAACGGCAATATTATTATTTCCAGTAGTCCTATTTAGAATATTGCCTTAATTAACTAGAAATTGTTGTCATTTTCCCTATAACATTATAATAATCCCCTGCAATGCACAAAATTATTAAATAATAAATTTGAGGATTTTAAATTAATTATTTAAAATATTTTTAATCCCAAGGATTGAATAAATATTTTTAAACATCATGAATAATTGTATATTTAAAACAAAGGAGGAAGCGATGAGTGCGTAATTAAAAAATATATTACCTTCTTAAAATTTTAATATAAAAATGAAGCAAATATTTTATTGTACATTTCTTTTAATATTAACAAAAGAAGCCTTATTGTTCTCTAAAGTGAGAAAATGTTGCCAACAAGAAGAAAGTTTACAACATCTAGATAGAGATCTTTCATGTATAAATTCAACACTCTTAGTTGAATTAAATAATTTAAATCCAAATTCAATAGGACTTCCAGACTGTCAATTGTTAGGAAAACATTTTTACCTCTCTCTAAATAAAATACATGATAATAATCTTTACATTTCATCCTCGGCTTGTTTAGATCATTTATATAACAATCAGACAAAATATAATTCACCAATTATTGTATATTGTGATCAGGATGCAGGAGACCTTTATGATTCAAAAAATTCACTAATTTTAAGAACACCGCAAGTTCTGAGTATTAGGAAATGTTGTTCAAATGGAGAATACTTTGACGTAAAAAGAAAATTATGTGTTTCTTCAAAAGATGAAGTAAATTTTAAAACATTTCTTAATATCTCGAATGAAGTAGATTTAGTAGTTGTGGATATAAGTGCACCCTTATGTGAAAAAACTCTCGTCAATTATGTGATAGAGTCATCAAAAATTTACAAACATCAAGGAAAAATACTGGTAAGAGTAACTTCTTCTCATCACTTTAACTTTTAAATAATTTCAAATTATTATAATTTTTTTCAATCCAAATGAATTAATGTAAATAAAATAATAATAATAATAGAGGAAGATAAGCAAAATTAAAAAATATAAATTTCATAGTATTCAATTTTATGCATTATTATACATAATAATCAATCAATGCCACTAGTCATATCCTGTGATAAATTTTTAAATGTATGGCCAAGTTTGTGAAAACAATGCTTATAATCAAAATCAACTTTTCGAGAAAAAGGCGTTTTTGAAGTATATAAACAAGTCAAAGACATACTACAATTTTAAAAATTAATCAGATTCGCTTGGAATTTGTTATACTCGAGAGTTTTAGTGGTGGCTGATTTCGAATCTGATATCAGATGCTCAAAATAAAAAATGTCAGATAACACAGCCCCACAAAAAAAAAAAAGTGTCATGTACTTTTGACCGGAATACCCTAACCCTATGTATTTTGACGCGCTGAACACGAATCCGAAGTCCGTTTTGCTCCATCACGTCAGGATTTTTTTCTAACCTCAAAAAACATGTCGGATTTTGAGAAGTAGGCGATTTTTAAAAAAATTGATGTATTACCTTCAAACTTGGCATCTGGTGGTTTTTTGTGTCGCTGATTACGAATCTGAAGTTAGATTTTCAAAATCAAAAATGGCGGATCCAATATGGCGGACGAATTTTGAAAAAATTTTTAGATTTACTTCAAACTTGGTATCTAGGGGTTTTTTGGGTCGCTGATTACGAATCTGATGTCAGTTTTCAAAAATTGATAATGGCGTATCTAATGTGGCTGATAGGAGCCCATGTTGGATATGCCATTTTGAATTTTTGAAATCTGACATCAGATTCGTAATCAGTGACCCAAAAAACCCCCAGATACACTATTGCACATTAATTTTTGAAAAATTTCGTAAAATAATGTCCCCCTACCAAAAAAAAATTCAAGGGGTATTCCCCCCCATAAATCAGCTTTTGGGGAAAATCAAAACATACGTGTCAAATTGTTTTCAAAAAACTACAAAACTGCCAAGTTTCTGAAAAATCGGCGTATGGCACTTCCCTAGTGTTACTTGTCAGCAACTTAGAAAACCTGTAGATACCAAATTTCATAATAATCTGACAATTTTTTAAAAATAATTCCTTAATATTGAATCAGACATATCGAATTTCGGAAATCTGACATCAGATTCGTAATCAGCGACCCAAAAAACCCCTAGATACCAAGTTTGAAGTAAATCTTAAAATTTTTTCAAAATTCGTCCGCCATATTGGATCTGCCATTTTTGATTTTGAAAATCTAACTTCAGATTCGTAATCAGCGACACAAAAAACCCCCAGATACCAAGTTTGAAGTTAATACATCAATTTTTAAAAAAATCGCCTACTTCTCAAAATCCGACATGTTTTTTGAGGTTAGAAAAAAATGCTGACGTGATGGAGCAAAACGGACTTCGGATTCGTGTTCAGCGCGTCAAAATACATAGGGTTAGGGTATTCCGGTCAAAAGTACATGACACTTTTTTTTTTTGTGGGGCTGTGTAATTAATAAGGCGGACTTTTCTTTAAGTTTATCAGATTAGCCTAAAACTCGTTATTCAGGGCTTTCGGGGTTGTTGATTACGACTCTGATAATAAATTCGTTCTCAGTGACCTTAAGGGACTCACGAATTTTCCGCCATTTTGAATTTTGAAAAACTGATGTCAAATTCATAATTCGCAAACCCAATCAAAGTTTTTATTTCTTTAATACTTTTGAAAGTATTCTTTGTTACTTCATAATAAGAGGGAAAAAGCATTTTTATTGTTGTACAGGCAAAAGTACCTTGGATGGAAGAACCGATAGATATAACGAGGCTGAATGACGTTGAAAATATCTGTTTGGATATTGATAATTCACGTAATATTCTTGTTGCACGAATTTGTAAAGATCGCGTCTATTGTAATAATAATTCATGTCTACGAAAATGTTGTCCCGAAGATGAGGCATTTTTGTCTAATACAATTTGTACAAAGTATTCTGTGAATAATGTTGAAGATGAATTTCATTCAGCGCTTGTCAACGCAACAAATTTATCAAAATCTAATTTCGATACAAATGGTAAGAATAATGCACTACACAAAATGAAACACCTTTAATATATTTACCTATATAGATTTAGTATTTTAAGAACGCATTTTAAAATGCTTTTGATAAATTTTTGAAAATGTATTTTAAAAATTAATACTATATATATTTTATTAAGATTATGGCCTTCTTGTTGGGATAACTTGCAAGCACAGCATGTTTGCCCTTAATTCAACAGAAGGATGGTCTGTGACGCCGGAAGGATATATTAATATTGAATTGTACGATAAATTTCACTTTCATGATGAATATTGCTTGGAGATGTTTTATAATTATTCTGACAATGGTAATGAAATTTTTTCATTTTTTTGCCACGATGAAATAATGAATGAGACACCAAAAGAAATGTAAGAAATAGAATTTCAATTCGAAATTACTTTATAATATGTATTTCTTTTAAATATATATATATAGTAAATAACATATATTTTGTTTCTTTATTTTTTAGACGTATTCTTGAAGGAGTACTTCAGTTAATTAGTAGCTTTTTTCTTCTAATAACACTATTGGTATACATTTGCATACCTTCTCTAAGGAATTTACATGGTAAAACATTAATGTGCCATGTTGGTAGTCTTTTTTTTGCCTACGTTTGTCTATCTTTGGTAACACTTGACGTAGCAAAAAGTCACGAAGCTGGAGTTAACGAAGATCCACTTATAAAGACTTTGTGCTCAATTCTTGGTTTGTATTTTTTAATGTGCATGTTTCAATTATTGAAAAATATGAATTTTTAATTGCATTTTGTGAAAAGTAAAAGAAAATTTGTTTTTTCACAGGAAATACTTTGCTGTTTGCTTTTATTTCATCATTTTCGTGGCTCAATGTTATGTGCTTCGACATTTGGTGGACATTTAAGTAAGTCTTTTTGTTTTTCGTTGTTAATTAAAATATAACCCAAAAAATGACTGAGTGAGTAGCCAAAAAATATTTATCCTATACATCAAAAACTGAGTAAATTTTTTTTTTGCAGAAGTACAAGATTACGAAAAGGTACTACTCAAAGTAGAGGACAGAGAAAAAGATTTATTATTTATTGCGTTTATGCTTGGGGTCTGGCCTGTTTAATAACATCTCTCTGTATATTAGTGGATTATACTGATATTTTTAAATACAAGAATCGTCCTCGAATTGGTGTGGATAAATGCTGGTTTATAAGTGAGTATTTTAAAAAATTAATATATTTTTCTGAAATTGTGATTTCATTAACTTCATGTTGGTTAGAGTCATAACAAAATTTCTACACACGTTTATTTAAATTGAAGAAGTTATTAATGTGCTGAAATTATCAATATATCATTCTACTGTTGGTGACGTTCAACAATTATCATTTTCAGGATTGTATATTGTACATACGCGTTACTGTTTCAGTTCCGGTATACACGTTGTTATCATTGTATTATCTATATTTTAGAATCGCATTTATATGAAAAACGTGTAAATTCTTTTACCTGACTAGCTGATTAAAAATTATTGTTCCTAAATATATTTCTGACAAATATCCTTAAATCAAATGTGTACGTGTAATATTGGGACGAATGAATCTTCCACAAATCCCATTTGACCTAATGACAATTAATCGAAATTCACTTAGCCGAATCACCGCGCAGTTGCCATAAGTTATATTAATTAGGACTATTTTTTTAACCGAAATTTCATTTCATCGAAATCTCATTCGTTATAAATACCATTGTCTCGAATTAATCTTTAACAGCGTATTAACTTTTTACCTAATTGGCATATAAACTACATCCTAATTGTTCTAATGTTCATTTAACAGAAATTCACTTACCTCGAAATTCCATTAAGCAGAATGTTCATTTGGCCTAAAGATTATTTAACCTAATTTTCGTTTTGCCGAAATATTATTTCACCTAGTTTTAAATTGTCCTATTAATTATTTAACATAAATTTCTTTTACTTGAATTGTCGTTTTACAGAATTATCTAAATCAGAATTAACACATTCTCTAATTCCCATATGACAAAAATCTCATTGGGCCTAAAATTAGGTTCGTCAATATTATCATTTAGCCTAATTTTAGGCCAAATGGGATTTTTGTCAAATGCGAATTAGGGAATGTGTTAATTCTGTATAACGACGATTCGTGCAAAAGAGATTTATGTTAAATAATTAATAGCACAGAAAATTAAAAGGCATTAAAATAAGCTGCAACGCTTATTATTTTAATCCAATTTTGCTTATTTTAATCCATTTTGGTATTAAAATAAGCAAAATTGGATTAAAATAATAAGCGTTGCAGCTTATTTTAATACCTTATAATTTTCTGTGAGGACAATTTTAAAGTAGGTGAAACAATATTTCGGCAAAACGATAATGAGATTAAATAATCTTTAGGCCAAATGAACATTCTGCTTAATGGAATTTCGAGATAAGTGAATTTCTGTTAAATGAACATTAGAACCATTAGGATGTAGTTTATATATGATAATTAGGTAAAAAGTTAATACTGTTTTTTTAATTTACAGGTGGACTTGGTAATGGAGAGCTAATTTTTTTCACAGGACCAGTGTCGGTCATTTTGTTGGTTAACTTAATATTTTTTATTATGACTTTAAGAAATTACAATAAAGTAAAGAGTCAGATTAAAAAGGTTATGTTGGAACCTATTGATCAGAAAAACCGACTGTTTGAAGCTGATAGGGACAGGTAATTATGATGTATTGATACCGCACAATGAAAAAATAATTTGAGAGCGTTCAGTAGCTTCTTTACTTTTAAAAATTAATAATTTATATAAAATGAACAATTTTCTTAAAAATGTTTTTTTTTATGTTTTCAGACTAGTTATGAACGTGAAACTCTTTATTATCATGGGAATAACTTGGATATTTGAAATAATATCAAATTATTTTAATATTTTATTTCCATATCAGTTGGAATATAAAATCCTTTTAGTCTTCGATATTGTGAATTGTCTTCAGGGTGTTTTTATATTTATTCTTTTTATAATGAAAGAAAGAGTGTACAACATTTTATTCCAGAAATTATTTGACAAAAATTTTACAAGTAATACAAAGAACACAAGCAATAATAGTAATCAAAAAAATATAAAGAATTCAAGTAAAACAACAGTAATGACCACTTTTACCATGTTTTGTAATGTTAAATAATTACCGATCGTATTAATCATTTGAGAATCAGATTTCAAATAAAAAATTTTTTCCGTCCGTTATTTTTAATCAGACGGCAAGGACCTACTTTCCGCCCACTGTATAAGCACATGGAATATCGCGTTTATCGTGCATGTTGGACAAAAAATATTTTTAATGCTTACAAGTCTATCATTTTAAATTCATTATTATACTAAGTGAAAGACTTTTCGACATGGACACAGAAATTTTTTTCTTCTCTTAAATTATAACTAAAACAATTTAAATATAATTCATTAATCTCATTTTTTTTATAAGTTGTACATATGTACAAAAGTACTATATTTTCTTAGTAGACTTTGCCAAGTGCCTATGGGATATGAGGAGATCCTTTGGGACAAACATTTCCTACCTTTACACGTAAATGAAAATACCTTTTTTATAAATTGCTTTTCAATATAGCTTATAAGTGCTTTCTTTTATAAAACTCCTTTGGGAGTAATAGAATCAAATGGCCTTAAAATCGAAAGCGCTTCCAATTAAGGGGTCTTGACACTGTTATATATTGGTCAAAAAAATATATTTTTTTAAGAATCACCAAATTTTTGAATTTGAATATGAAAAAATATACAGTTCTATTTCAGAACCGATTTTAAACCTTGTTCAGCAAACAATGTATGTTTTAGAAATTATAATTTCTTATTTTTGGAAATAAGTCTCGAATTATGTATTTCAACCTTGATCTCCAACCAATGTAAATTTACGAAGTGAATATATTTGAAAGCAGTAATAAATTATTTGAAACGAATTTCAATGTAATTTTAATATATCTGAATTGATCAAGTAATGCATATATTTTAAAAAGAATAATCCCTCTTCGAAAAAGATGATTTTGCATCTAGCAGACGTATGCGTGAACTCAGAAGTAGAAAAGTAAAAGTTTTCATGAACTTAAACAGTAATTTACTCCTAAAAAAGTGTATAAAAAAAGGAATATTATTAATTGTATAACAAGAAAAATAATCCATTTTTTTGTATCTAATTTAAAAATCGAATAAAAGGAAAATAAAATTTTTAAAAATGGCATCAAAATTGACGGGACACGAAATAGTTATATCCGGTATAGCTGGAAAATTTCCAAATAGTGATAATATCAACGAATTGCAGAAGAATCTTTTAAATAAAATAGACTGCATTGGTGACTGCAAAGCTCGATGGGACTACGGTATGAATTATGGTTTGGTTTTATATAGATAGCTAACAATAAGTTTTAGTTACGGTAGCTCATAATTAACTGTCAGAGAAAATATGTTAACTGTTAATGCTAATTATTATATATGTATTAGCTATGAAAAATTGCTATGCAATAGCATTGGATTTAGCTAAGGTAGATAACTTTTTTTCTCCGTGCGGATAAATCCAACAGGATGTGCAATAGAAGATCAAATAAGAACATACAATTAATTAATTTAAAGTAATAATTAATTGTAAACTTTACAGAACATTCTCAAGTTCCTCAACGAATCGGTACAATGAAAAATATTGACAATTTTGATCGTGTATTTTTTGGAGTTCATGGAAAAATACTAGATTGTATGGACCCTTTGATAAGAATAACTATAGAAACTGCATACGAAGCAATCATAGATGCTGGAATTAATCCAAACAATTTGAAAGGTAGTAAGTCGGCAGTTTTTACTGGTAGTAGTTTTTCAGAGGCAGAAAAATCATTATTTTATGACAAATCTATGGTATGTGAATTTTTATGTTTGTAAAATTAAAAAAAAAATTTCTCTTATTTGATAAAAATATAATTCCCAAGATCGATTTAATTCAAAACTATATCAATACGACTTGTTTTTAGTAATATTACCGTCACCATACTCATCAGTTACATTCAAAATCACACAAAAATCCCAAAAAAGAAATTAGAAGTTTTTAAAAGTACTTAAACAGATAAAATAAAATTAATTTTCAGCAAAAAGGCTACGGTTTATTAGGAGTATGTCGTGCTATATTGCCAAATCGAATTTCTTTTTTTTTCGACCTCAATGGACCAAGTGCTAACGTCGATTCTAGTTGCTGTGGAGGTGCCAATGCTTTACACGAAGGATTTATCGCAATTAAAGATGGACGAGTTAAAAATGCCATTATTGCTGCCAGTAATATTGTTTTACATCCACAAATGTCACTACAATTATTTTTGTTAGGTATTAGCAGTTTTATATATCTTTGGTTATTAAGTTACTTAATGAAGCAGAAGATCAAAAAGAACAATATAACATATATTTTCAAAATCAATTTTAGGACTTCTATCGCCTGATGGCAAAACAAAATCATTCGATGATGCAGCTGATGGTTATGCTCGCAGCGAAGCAACTGTAGTTCTATTTCTTCAAAAGGCTCGAGATGCAAAGCGCATTTATGCGGAAGTGAAAAATACAGGCATTTGTTTTGGAAATATCAATAATGACAAATCGCATTTTTATCAGACCTATGAATCTCAAGCCAATCTAATGAAAAACACCTTGAAAGAGTGTGGTCTTTTTGCTCAAGACATTTCATACGTAGAAGCCGACGGTTCAGGTATTAAAGATGTCGATGCCGAAGAAGTAAAAGCAATTGACGAAGTTTACAATGAAGGTCGAAAATTACCCCTTTCAATTGGATCTGTCAAATCTAATCTTGGCTCCAGTTCAGCTGTTAATCCACTCAATGGAATTATTAAGGTTTTAAAAATTATTAACAATTTTAATAAGTACTAATCATTTAAAAATATCACTTAACGCAAAAGCAAACAATTGTACTGACATTACGTACCGTTTGCATTGATTTAAATATACTACACACTAAAAATTTGACATCTGTTAATTTTGTAAGGTGATCACTGCAATGGAATCAGGATACATTCCACCAAATCTTCATTTTAAAGAGGCATCTAACAAAATCCCTGCTCTTAAAGAAGGTCGATGTAAAGTTGTAACAGAATTAACTCCCTGGACTGGAGACTATGCAGTCGTTAATAGTTTATCATTATCTGGTACTAGTGCTAATATTATATTAAAAGATTTCAAAAAGGACAAGAAAAATGGAGGAAAACCTGACGACAGTCTTCCAAGATTAGTCATGTGTTCAGGTTGTACGGAAGAAGCTGTTGACTACATACTAAGCGATGTTAGTTTTACACTATTATTGATTTTATTTATCCATGTAACAAACGAAGAGATCTTTAAATATTATAATATAATGATATACTTTTTGAGATATGAGAAAATAATGTATATACTTTACAGCTGGAAAGCAGACCTGTCGATGTAGAAATGCTTCAGCTTATGTATGACATATTTGAAACTGAAATTCCAGCTCATACATATCGAGGTTATACAGTAGTCCCTCCATATGGATTAACAAAGATAAAAACGAGAAAAATTGAACATTACTCGAATATTAAGAGAGAAATTTGGTACATGTTTTCCGGTATGGGTTCTCAATGGGCCGGAATGGGTAAGGTTTATTAAACTACACAAAAATTATGTTAATAAATTATATTACCTAAAATAATTATGTTAATCTAAAAACGTTTGTTCATAAAGTGATGTTTAATTTAAAAAAAAAACAGGAAAAGCTTTGTTGCAAATACCAGTTTTCGAAGAATCTATAAAGAAATGTGATAAAGTCCTTAAGACCCGTGGGATTGACATTATGCACATCATTACAGAAAATGATCCGAAAATATTTGACAACATTCTAAATGCTTTTGTTGGAATTGCTGCTATTCAAGTAACTGAAACTTTTAACAATCAAATGTAAAATAAGATATGGTTAAAAATCTCAAGAACTTTAGAAATATACCTTGAACTGAGTAAATGGTAAACATTTTTGAATTATTATTTTAGATTGGGTTAGTAGACCTGTTAACTTCGATTGGACTGAAACCAGATTTTGTAATTGGTCATTCAATTGGAGAATTAGGTTGTGCTTATGCTGATGAATCTCTTACAGCAGAGCAAATGATTCTTTGTGCCTCAGCTAGAGGTTCGGCTTCTGTGGAAACAGATTTGATAAAAGGATCAATGGCAGCAGTTGGTATTGGATATAAAGATATCAAAAATTTTTGTCCGCCTGATATTGAAATTGCTTGTCATAACAGCGAAAATAATTGTACTATCAGTGGTCCTACAGATTCGGTAAAAGCATTTTCCACACAGTTGAAGGTAAAAATATAATTTAATTATTTATTTTTCAAATCAAATTTTCTAGTCGAACAAACTTTTTTTGTCATCTTAAGAAACAAAATTTTTTTACCAGACGAGAAAAATTTTTGTCAAAGAAGTTCAGTGTGGTAACATAGCCTACCATAGTCGGTATATTGCTCCAGCAGGTGAAAAATTAATAAAATACCTTCAAAAAGTAATACCTAATCCAAAGCCTAGAAGTAATCGTTGGTTAAGCAGTTCAGTTCCACGTGAAGAATGGAAATCTGCTAAGGCTCAACTATCATCCGCAGAATATCATACAAATAATTTTCTAAATACTGTTCTGTTTGCTGAAACAGCAAAATGTATTCCATCGAATGCAATTGTTATAGAAATAGCTCCCCACGGTCTTCTACAAGCAATCGTGAGAAAATCATTGCCAGAAAATGTCCTTAATGTACCGTTAGCCAAAAGAGGTGATTCAGACAATGTCTCATTCCTTTTGGATGCGTTAGGTAAAATATACAATGCTGGTTACAATATCAATGTGTCCAATCTTTATCCTAAAATCAGCTATCCAGTATCACGAGGAACACCGTCAATTTCATCTTTAATTCAATGGGATCACTCTACTAAGTGGTGAGCAAACTTTAAAAAATTAAACTAGAAATGATAAAAATGGTTAAATAGATTTTAACTATAACCTGCTTTTGTGAAATAATTACTAATAATAATAAAACTTCAAATTATAGTATCAAATTAATCAAATAATAATGCAAATTATAAATTAATATTTTATTTTAACCACAGGTGTTCTAACACAATCAAGCAAGATGATCAATTTAAGAAAGGAGAAATGAACTTCGTAATTGATTTAAAGGATGACAAGTGGCAGTATCTAAAAAATTTCAAGATTGAAAACAAAATTGTGATTCCTAATTTTTTGTACTTAAAACTTGCCTGGGATGTTTTAAAATTGTTCCAAAATAAATGTGTACTCTCAATAATTTATCACAATGTAACAATCCATCAGCAGCAAGTAGAGATACCAATTGAAGAAAATATCGTTTTATTAACAATGGTTCAAAAAGGTATATGATTTATTATATATTTTTTATATTTGTTCTATATGATCAAAAATTTATATGCTAATTTATTACTTTTTCCAGGCACTGGTTTCTTTCAAGTAACCAATAACGAAATTGTACTATGCTCAGGAATATTGGAAGCAATTAATGCTCCTGATGAGAACTGTATTCAAGTTCATAAAAAGGACGAAAAAATTTATCAGAATTTAAGTGAAAGTGATGTTTACACTGAATTACAGATGCGAGGTTTACAATACTCAGGTCCCTTTAGAACGATTTGTAAATCATCAACTAATGGGTCTCAGGGAACTTTAGTATGGAAAGATAATTGGACAACATTTTTAGATGGAATGTTTCAGATGTATGTCTTTGGAAATTATGTTAGAAAAACACAAGTGCCATTTAAAATTAGAAAAATCATTATAAACTTAAAACAGCACAATGAAATTATTAGCAAGTCACATGGTGAGTATTGCATTTTATATAAAAATTCTGATTTTATAAAAATATTACCAATAAATATCAATAATTGATTAAAACACTATTTTCAGAAATACCTGTATCAGTTGATAGTAGATTTAAAACTATTAATGCAGGTGGTGTACAAATGGAAGGAATTGTTCTCAAATATATTTTGCATGAGTCTTCGAAAAATAGAGTTGTTGCTAAAAAAATTAAAATCTTTCCTGGAACGGATGGGGCATTATCTAATTTATCAGAGATATTGAATATGACTTTACAATTTTTAAATGAAAATACAGAAAAATCAATTCCAATATATATCGTCGATGATGATACTACTGATGAGAAAAAAATAAAAGGAATATTATACACTATTCTTAATGATAGTCTAGAAGGAAAATTTAAAATCGATATGATACCTTCTTTCTGGTTGACGGAAAATAAAACGAAATCAAGTGATATTGCACTTTTAATACTTTTCAACATAATGCAATACACTCCTCAGAGTCTAGCAAAATTTCTATCAAGCGGATCCTTCCTATTAACTTTCGCAGAACCAAAAAACGAAAGTTTAGTTTTGAAAATGTTGTATTCTGCAGGATTTGGGCTTGTTCTTAAAAAATATTTTTTGGACGATCGAGTTGCATTGCTCCTTCGTCAAAAGCAATACGTCAATAAAACTACTATTTTGAATATCAATGATAATCAAAATTGGTCCAATCAAATAAGGACAATAGTCAGATTGAAAGATTGTGATCGTCTGATAATTGTTGTCAGATCTCAAGAATATTCCAATCTTGGTCAAAATCTTGTAGTACTTCAGGAAGATGAATACGGAGATAAAATTCAAATTGTAGACATTCAAGATCCACATGTTTCAAAATTTTCTTTAGAAGACGCTTTCTACAGTTCACAAATAGATCTAAATTTGAAGATGAATATTCTATTGCCAGGTAAAGTTTGGGGAACGTACAAACATTTTCCAATTACCTTGAACCTTCAACGCATATTGAATTGGAGAGCTGAACAGTTGAATCCTTCTGAATTAGAATCTATTTCTTGGGTCGAGGGATTCCCTAGAAAAGTTGGTGACACAATAAAAGTCGAGTACTCTGCAGTCAATCAAGCAGATATTCTGTTAGCAACTGCTAAATTGGCATTAGAAGACATAGAAAATAGACTTGGAATGAATTTATTTGGAGAAGAATATTCTGGAATTAATTCAAAGGGAAACAGAGTTATGGGAATAGCAAATGGTACATTTTCAAATTATATAACAGCTGATACTAATTATACGTGGAAAATACCTGACAACTGGTCTTTAGAAGATGGCGCAACTGTACCTTTAGCATATGCAGTTGCATACTTGGCTTTGGTGATAAAGGCAGATGTACAAAAGAACCAATCTGTTTTTGTTTACGACAGCGCATCTTCCATTGGCCAAGCTGCCATTAATGTAGCATTAAATATTAAGTCACAAGTATTCGTTGGATACGTTAATGATATTGACAAAGAAAACTTAAAAAGTAGCTTTTCAAATATTCACGAAAACCATTTTATAAATGCATCAAGAAATTTTGCCGATCAAATCATGGCACATACACAAGGCAGAGGAGCGAACCTAGTAATCTATAATGGAGATGATTTAAGTAAAATAGATACTTTTTTGATGTGTGTGAAGAATAAAGGAAACGTTATTGTCATTGGAAATTTACAAGATACATTTAGTAAATCCGTAGGCATGCGAAATTTCTTGAGATATACTTCTGTGTTCTCAATAAATCCAACGAAAATAAACAATCTTGATGTAGCAACGAAAAGAAAATTATCACTAATGATTGAGAATGGAATAGCAGAGCAAACTATAAAGCCGTTACCTAGACGTACCTACTCTAGGGATATGTTAAAAACTGCTTTTATTGACGGAGCTTCAAATAATGTTTTTGGAAAAGTAAATTTCTGTTTCTTTCATTTTTTACATTTTGCTTATTGGTATTTAAAGCAAACATTTAATATTTTATCTAAATTCATTTCTTACATTTACAGATCATTGTTAAAGTACAGCCGGAGGATGGAAGCGATGAAGCTCTAACAATACCTCGATTCTTCTGCAAAAGTGAAGGATCTTATTTGATAATTGAAGGATTGAGTGACTTTGGACTTGAACTTATTGAGTTTTTAGTTGTAAGAGGTGCCAAAAATATTATTATAGCTTCCGAATCGAAAAATACAAGAGCTTACAGTGAACACAGAATAAATTTGTGGAGACAATATGGAGTATCAGTTGTTGTTCGTGATAAAATGGACTTTACCCATCAAGAAAATGGAAATGATCTTCTAGAAGAAGTTAGTACAGTAGATGCTATTTTCGATCTTCAGCGTATTGATAATTTATCAGCAAGCACTTCTAATTCGAAATATTTGTTTACCAAATATATTTTTGAAGAATCTAAACAAATATGTCCTGATTTAAGACACTTCGTCGTTTTTTCAACATGTAAAAATGTCAAGGAAAATGTCGATGAAATTTTGTTAAGAGAAATCGGTTTGATGAAAATTTGCACGGAAAAATCAAAAGTAGATACCCCGGGACTTTTAATTTTTTTGGGACCAGTTTCTGAAATTGTGAAAAGCACAACTGAAAACGAGAGGAATGTTCCTTTGTTATCAATTCGTAGTGTTATTGAACAAATGGATAATTTAATTGGATCGAAAGCGTCCATTGTATCTGTTTCTCATAAATCATTTAAATACGATTCTGAGAAGGTGAGAAATCATTGAACTTAACTTTATTTTTCAATTTTTATAATTTTATTGAATAAATAAATATAAATTTTAATTATAATATATAATTTTTGTTTAAATTTGTATAGGTTAAAAAAGTAAACGATACTACTGAAGAAACGGCAAGGTCAAAATTTGACAAATATATTTCAGAAGATCAATCCATATCAACGACTTGGAGACTTCAGATTTTAGATGAAAAATAATTCTCATAAAATATTGTAAAAGATTGAGCTGAGATTTTATGAAGAAATTGAATGTATTCGTTATTAACGTTCCACGGTCAAGAAAAAATAAAAAAACAAAAACAAATTAAATATAAAATTGTAAATTACAGAAAAATAAACCTAAAAGTTTTGAAATTCTCTCGGAAATTCTCTTTAGAAGATTCTTTAAACAAATTTCACATGAAACACGTCGGTGAAGTTTACAACATTTATGTTCAACGATTTAGAAGAAAAAATATTTTTCTATGCATATTATTATAATTTTTTGTCCAAAAAATTTTTATAACATTTCTCGATTAACATGAGCCAAAAGTTCAGAACGTTTAAATGAACAAAATATTTTTTTCAATCTATAAATTATTAAAAATTATAATGTCAATGTAAAATAAAACAGTGAATTAAACAATTATTAAATTAATAACATCTTTTTTAGATATTTTAAACAATATTTTGTAATAAAATTCGTACTTAAAGAAGTTGCAAAAACAATTTTGTTAATATGAACGTTCAAAACTTTTGGCTCATCGATTAACAATTGTTAAAAGAATTCTTGTTTAAATAACGAGAAAATGTATTATAAAATTGATAATAGTTTAATATATTTTTAAATAATTATTTCTACTCACTCATATAGGATTCACTGCGGTTGTAACTTCTGGTTTTATAAGCAGAAATACCATCGAAAAGATTTTTTTGTTCAATTTTCCACCTGAAAATAATAAGCGTTTGATTTAATTTAAATAGTAAAAATACTATTTATTACATTTTTTACAACTACACCATTAATTGCTAATTAATTGATCACGCCCAAAAAAAAAGGATTTCATAAAATTCTCGTACCTCAGAACAGAATGGAGTTACAGCAAAATTATAACTAAAAAGTTAAATTCTTAAACGGTATTAAAGACTTTTCGAAATCTGTTTAAATATATAATTTGTAGACTCAAAAATGTTTTTCATTAATTAAGTTCCACTTTCATCTATTTATAAGAAATAAAAAAAAATTTTATAATTGAAATATTTATACCAATAAGAAAATTAAATAAATTAGTTATTATTAATTATTATCTAATACCATCGAGTGATAAATTCACAGTTGAATTAAATAATATATTTATTTTTAATAATACGATTTATATTTATTTAATTAATCAATTTTGTTTTGTATAAAAAAAACCCCGCACCATTTACATGGGAATTTGGGGTCCGGTTAAATTTTCTGCAACTTTGTAATTTTGTAGTTTTTGACCTCCTGAACAAAAAATGTAAATGTCAAAATTCCAAAAAATGGACAAATTCTTCAATAATTGAGGTTTAAGTTTAAAAAATAGTGTTTAAAGCGAAAAAATTTCAAAAATGAGTAAAACCAAAAGAACTAAATAAACTTTCTTAAAAGTTTTTTTTTTTGTTCAGGAGGTCAAAAACTACAAAATTACAAAGTTGCAGAAAATTTCACCGGACCCTAAATTCCCATGTAAATGGTGCGGGGTTCTTTTTATATTTAATAAATATTCAGAAAAACGACGAATAAATTCAAAATAATGCATTCAAAAATAATATTTATTTTCGACATTGTGACCAAAATTTTATGTATATTTTAATTTGAAAGTCGATAAACATGTCTTTTATTAAAATTAACAATGATTATTTAATATTAATGCATAGCGTAAATTAAAATACATATATTTAAAAATTAAGAAAAAACAGATTACTCAATTTTTTGGAATAAAGAAAAAAGTATTGCATTTAATGTCATAATTTTTTTTTGAATTACAAAAATTCATTTGAAGAAACGAGTAATAACTAAATAATTGTTTTAAATGTGAATGTATGGAAAGAAGTTTTCTACAATTTATGAAAAACAAGCGAGCTAGGAGTAAAGTTCTTTTAGCTCAATTAAATTTAGGGCAAAGCAAAAGTATTATGTAAATGTTTATATGTCTTCGAAACATTTAAAATAATAATAAAATGCTTATTTTTGCAGTGTACATACTAAATATTTGTATTGTTACGAAAAAAGAAATTGTTGTTCATGTCACTTTATGCCTGAAGTTCTAAACGTCCAAATAATGAACACAATTTTCTTGGTCTATAATTTTTTAAAAATGACTGAAAAATTAAAAAGTATATTAAGCATTTAATAATTTATTTTTATATAAGTTTACGGACAATAAAAAAGCAATTATTTTATAATGAAATTTGAACTTGAAAAGTAGTGAACAAATTTTTCGTTCATTTAAACGTGAAGAAATTCAAACACACATTTAATACCACTCCAAATTGTCCCCCCACAAAAATATATATTTATATAAACAAATAATACTTACGAAATACCATAGAAGACTGTTTTTTTTTTCAAGAAAACTATCCCAAAAGATATTATTGTTCAATGTATTGTCACTGAAAATGCAGCCGCAATGTTTATGCATTTTATAGGTTATGTTTACTTGCAGATAATTTTTCACATTTTTGACCAACACTTTTATAAATTTTCCAATAGTTTACAAACTTCATAAATGCCTAAATTTACGATTCTTAAGAAAAACACAATAATTCTGAAATATTATACAGGATAGATTGAAATACTTTTACATTAGATACACTTTTAACATTTCTTCTATGTAATTAGAAAAGACATAGAAAAAGGGAAAAAGTGAAAGATGGTCAAAATTTTGTAAATTTAGACCGTAGCAACACTTGAATTTTTTATGCTATTTTGAAAATTCGAATATTATGGATATTAGTATGTTATAAATGTCACTTTATATAATAATTATAATATTCTATTTAAAAAAATATTTTTTTTTAATAATAAAATATTAAAATTTAGCGCGTTGATAGATCGGAAATACTCAAATGAGATACGCCACCTTTTGACAGATTTTAAAAATACATTGATAACTTCCTGTGTTCATTTCTGTTGTCTGCTATTTGCACGTGAACCACGTGAACAAAGCATTGTTGTTTCTTTTTACATTATTTATAAACAGTTTGTTCTTAAAAAATACATATTTTTTTTAAATATAAAAAATGGAGTTAGATCAGTCAGCCAAAGAAGTTGAAGATATGGATACAACAGACGTGAAAGAAATGAGTTACGAGGATAAACTTGAATTTGTTAATGCCATCTCTCAACCCATGGCTCCAAAAAAATTATCAAAAAAAATCTACAAATGTATTAAAAAAGGTATTGATTAACAGTAATTTTTAAAGACCTTAGTGTTTTATTTAAAGAATGTGATTTTAATATTGAATTAAAATTTTTTTTTTACTATAAAATTTGGTAAATACCGCTACATAACCTTAAAAGTATGTTTGAAACATTTATACATAATATTATGAGTATTTTTAATATAATTTATGATATCTTTGTTGCATTTTGTTTATTAAATATATATCAACAATTACATTTTCATTAAATCGAAATTAACAAGTTTTCTTGACAAATTTGCTTTTAAACAAAAATGCATTGATTTTAAAATACTTTTTTTTTGTCCAATTAAAACGATAAATATATTTTACAGTGATTTAATAAAATTTATCAACCAAAAGTTCTGAATGTTCAAATGAACAAAAAAAATTTTTCAATCTATAAATTATTAAAAATTATAATATGGCAATGTAAAATAAAACAATAAATTAAACAAATATTAAATTAATAACTTCTTTTTAGATATTGAAAACAATATTTTGTAATAAAATTTGTACTTAAAGAAGATGCAAAAAAAATTTCGTTCATTTAAACGTTCAAAACTTTTGGCTCATTAAAATTTACCATTTAACAACATTTATGTTGTGTTTTTTTTTACATATGTATCAGTTCATTTTAATATTGCTTAAAAAGTGTATAACTTTAATTTTGTAAAGTAAAATTATGTTTTTATTTTACTTTTGTTTGTTTCTAGCATCAAAGCATAAAACTTTTGTTCGAAATGGACTAAAAGATGTACAGAAATGCATTCGAAAAGGAGAGACAGGGTAAATAATTTTATTACTAATTTTATTAGGGAAAAAACCTGAAATTAGGCAGACATTTTTCCTTTAAATTCTCATTTTTTTAGGAATTTCTAAAATTCGCAATTTAATTTCTCCTCATCTTTCTAAAAATTTTCCTGTTTTTTTTTCTTTTTCAATTTTTAGAAGTAAAAGTTTTAAATTAATAAAAATTTATGCAAAAATATGATAGATTTTTATTATTAGTAGTTAAAAAGATTAGATATTTATTTATGCTTAATTTGTGATTATTGAATATTTTTTTAGGATAGTGATATTCGCAGGCGATGTTTATCCAGTAGAAATAATGTGTCATTTACCAGTGGTTTGTGAGGATAAAAATATTCCATATTGTTATACACCTTCGAGAACTGACATTGGATCAGCAATGGGAGTTAAACGTGGTAGTCTAATGGTTCTTATTAAGGAACATCCAGAATATAAAGAACTTTATGACGAAATCAAAAGTGCTATGGTAACACTTTCTACACCACTTTAGTTTATATAAGAATATATTTACATTTTGTTAATATACATAAAATTTACATTTATTTTTAATGTACAAAATAACTACATTTTATATAAATTACAAAAAATTTTCTAATTAAATTTCTTTCAATTTTTCATATAAAAAAAAATTGTCTTATTTCTTATAATTCCTATATTTTCAACATTATCTTTTTTTTTGTTTATCAATTTTGATTTATTAACTTAAAATTTTTTGTATAGGTAAAAAAATTAATTTTAATTACAAATATAAAGGATTTAGTGAGGAAGGGTATTATTGTTCATAGACTGGTTTTTAAAAATTTTATCAAATATAATTTATATCATTCCATAAATATATATATATGTATATAATTTAACATTTTACAAAACATTAAAGCCACTGCCTTGGTTTTGTTTTTTTGCAACATTGAATACTGTTAGCAAATAATTGCGCGAATCAGGACTAACATAAAACGTTAGGCTACTTTCTGGTGGCGGTAATATTGTTTTGTGCGTATCTGATTGTGAATCGCTATTTGTTGATAAACTAGCGATACCCGTACTGCTCGTTCGCAAAAATTCGGCAACTCTTGCTCTCATTTCTTGATTCATCTATACGATAATTAATTTATAATATTAATTAAATTTGAAGATAAAATTAATTTTTTTATTTTATCACATACCTCAGTATGTTCCATTGGAGAAATATTTCTCGTTGGATGAGTAACAGGTGATGGGCAAAATAAACGTAACATCGTCGAATCAGATGGATGATCAGCACCAATTAATTCTTTTAGGGAGAATATTTTTTCTACACTATCTTCGTCGACATTTACTAGTAATAGTGCTTGTCTTGTGAGGACCAATATCACAGCACGATTACTGCCCTGATGAACAACATGATCAGCACTCGCCACATGTAAAATGCTGTCTCCACTTTTTGCCAAAAGTGGCATTAATCGCCAAACATATCGCAATGAAGCAGCATTACAACCAGGCGTAGAATATTGCACAATTGGTCTCTGTCGAGGCTGAAAAGTGACATTCACTTTAATTATTAGTTATTAAATTAATTAATATTACAAATGTAATAATTTATCTTTATTAATTATTGATATTTCTAGATTTAAAATTATATTTACCGATGGCAAAGAATTCCATCCTGCACCTTGTAAAAGACCTTGTCCGGTTCGAGCAACTAATTCAGCAGCTCCACTTAAAGGTTTAGTAACTACTCCAACGAGTCCTAAACCCACACCGGTAACAAGACCCATTGTTGTCGATTCTCCAGACCAAACTTGTTGAAGTGGATGATGTGCCAAACCCGCAACAGCGGCTGTAATTTAAAAATAATAATCCCTTTTTGATTCTAACAACAGCAAAAAAGTTAAGAAATTTTTGTTCCGATTTTTTCTATTTAAGAAATATAATGGAAGCAGAATTAATTTATTTGGCTAGTTTTTTTTTTCATACCAAGAAGACTCATTCCAAATCCAGTGAGACCCTGATAAAGTCCTTGAGCCATTCCCTGTGGTCTCACTCTTCTTGCTTCCTCTTGTCGTTGAAGATGTTCTTCATCTAGTGTCAATCGATCCAAATTACGAGCGACACTCGATGCTAATTTAGTGACCGAATTTACCGTACCTGAGAAAAAAAGAAACAAAAAAAATCATTTTTAAAATTATTATAATCGTTTGAATATATTTTTTAAATAAAATAAAAACTTTACCTGCTGTAATATGCCTCATAAGACTAGCAGATCCATGTGTTATGCCAACAATAAAACCCCAAGGTCCTTGTAATAATCCTTGGAAAGGCAATGCAATAAAATCTTTAAGACCAGAACCCAATGCTTGTGCTAATCCACCTGGAGATCCTAAAATTTCCAAAGAGCCAACAACCCATCCTAAAAAAACAATATTTATTACATTTTTTACGTTTTTTATTTTTTAAGATTTTGACAAAAGTTTTATTGTCAATTTTTTGCAAATTCAAAATTTCAGAAATTTTCAAATGTCTTTTTTGAGATTATTGTTATATTTTATTAAAATTCTTCACTTTTAATGATATATTTTTTGAAAATTGCAAAATTACGACAGTTTAAATACAAAATATTCTTTTGCTTATTTTTCTTTGTAAAAATAATTTTTTATAAAAAGAAAAGAAAATTGATCAAATCTATAATTAAATGAAATAAAATAATATTTTTCTTTTATACCTGCTCCAAATATGGCTCCAGATAAATAATGCATGGTAAGTGCATTTCCCAATCTGTAAGGTGTTGTCAAGAAATTCTTCTTTTCAAATACATTAAAATACAATGGCGAATGATCTAGTGCAACATAAAGATGCACCGAAGTATGTACACTTAATAAAATTGATAATGGTTCAATAGTAAAAATTTGTAATCTTAATGGTGAACTTAAAATTTTTGCATCAATCATTATATAATCTGGTATGTACACATTTGATGCTCCAGTTAATTCTTGAATTTTTTTTCCCCCATCTAAATTAATAAAACAAGGTGGCATTAATGCTGCCGCATAATCCAATAATTGACTAACATAAGTGTCTTCGATGTATGCACTAATTGGCGCTAATTTTGCACGAAATTCTTTACAAGCTGTAAAATTTTAAACTAATTAGAAAAAAAAATTCTCAAAAATAATTTTTCTTTTTTAATAAATTATTACCTCTTTTTCCTCCATCGAATTCAAAATTTAAAATAATTGTCACTAAAGAACCCTGAGTAATATGTTGTAAATTGCTCTTTAAACAATTGCTGAAGTAAAAAATTTTCTCCTTTTTAATGGGTGTTTTTTGGCTTATTAATACCACTGGAAAATCATAACCACCCTGCTCAAACATTTGATTGTCAAATTGTAAATCGCCAATATAAATATTCATATCCATGAGATTTTGTCTTGAATCAATTGAAAGAATTGTATCGTTCATTGATAAACTCGCGACTTCAGTTCTTTGTCCATTTTCATTAATATCGTGCATCACAATTATGGTAATTCCTTGAAAATGAATTATTGCAAAACCATTTGGTTTGTTAATTTCATTTGGCCTTTCAAGAGTTTTTAAAGTATCATAATTTGGACGTGATTTTACATTTGATTTTAAATTAACACTTAATTCTTTTGTATTCTTCAATGATAAACCTGTGCACAAATTATCGTCTTCAGCTGAGAAGAAACTTGTCACTGAAGTGGAACTTTCTGAATTCTATAAAATAAATTTTGCTATTTGTTATTTCAATTTTGCAATTAAAATTTAATTAAAACTTTTAAGAGAAAAAATATTTTCTCAAAACAAAATTCATCATAATTACATATTAAAATTTTCATTAACATTATAAAATATTTACTTGTACATTTTCCAAGTCCTTTTCTTCTTCTCGTATCGATAGCGTACGGTTATAAATTACTTCAGTTTCTTGCAATTTATAATTAGTTGTCTTACACAATTTACTTCGAATATCTCGCGCTGATACTTCCACCTGTGATGTAAATTAAAAACAAATGTTCAACATATTTTTTCTATTTGATTTTAATTATAGAATATAATTTAAATAAAAAAAAAAATTAGAAAAATTATTCTCACTTGTGAAATAGGACCAATATGTAAATAGGTTGTATAACATCGAGTTTGCATGATTACTTTGACATCTCCATAATAAGGAAGTCGAACAAATTGCTCCGATGTTTCATTAATTGACGGAGACAAACTTATACCACGAGACCATCTTAAAGATTTATTATCTAGAATTTTTATTTTTTAATAAGGTTTTAAAAAATATTAATTTCCAGCTAAATAGAAATCCTGATAGATAAAAAAAAATTTCTGAAATACCTTTTTCACTGAAATCATCATCCTCAGTGGGAGGTGTTGAAAACAATAAAATTGAACTGACATTTGTGGGTGAAGAATCTGGCATTCTATTAGCAATTGTCGGTACTGTATAATGACACAAACTTCCACTTTCAATTTTACACATCCAAGAAAAATGTTGAGTGTCTTGCACAATTCCGTCTACAAGAAAAATAAACGGAAATAAAATTACGAAAAATAAATTAAGCTTCAATTATTACTCTTACCTGCAGTTTCATTTGCTTCGCCGATGAAAATTTTAAAAAAGCAAGCATTATCGATCATCAATTGAGGATGTTCATCTGGATGAATTAAAATGTACATTGTTCCTTTATCTTCTTGTGTTGTGACAACAACTGGTACAGTTGAATAATCATTCTTTAAAAAAAAACGTTATTATTAATTTTTTAATTACTTTATTAATAATAATTTTATTATTAAATCCTACGCTAAACAAAATAATGGGAAACAAAAAATATTAACATATTAAAATTTCTTACCGGAACAGCAACAGTTTTTCGATTGATATTTTGATCAACTCTTACGGGACAAGACCATTGATGGCCCAAACTAAATGATACGTACAAAACAACTGAATCGAAATTTGATGAATCAATTAAATGCCACTGTGTTATTGGCATCGCTTGCCTATTAAATAAAAATTAATTCTTAAGAAAGTATTATAAAAGTTAATCCATATATTTCTATTATAATATTAATTATATTATTTATTACATATAATAATCTATTATTTTAATAAAAAAAAGTCTGATTTTTAAAAATTAAATAAATTAAAAAAAAAAATTATTTTTTTAATACACTTACTTTTGATCTTCCGTTGGTAAAATATTTATACTATAAGGTGTGAGATCATATGGCAATTGAAAATTAGTTAAATCTTCAGAAACAGCCAAAGTAGCTACACATAATTCTTGACTCGTCATATTTCCAATGACATAACTGCTACAAATTCGTACAAAACGCATATCTTCAAGCATGGAACTTTTGATATTTAAAATGCAAACCTAAAAATATGAATTTTTTAAAAATAAATTTAAAATTTATTTTTTAAAAATTCTTTAAATTTCAAAAATTTCTTACACTTGAACCACAATCAATGTAAGTTTTCATATTTCCTTCGAGCGGAATTAATCCGCCAATTTTGGGCATATAAAAACTTTGACTCCAATCAGGTCGAGATAGTTGAAGAGCGGAAGATGTATAATATGTATCTCCAATTCCAACACCCAAATTAAATGTACCCTAAGTGGTAAAGATTTAAATTGAATTATTTTTTTGTTGATTTAGAATAAAATGAAATTATAAATTAGTTTTATTAAAACTTTTAAAAAATTATTCTGTAAAATTAATTTTTCACCTCTAATTTAGGAGGAGCAACAATTCCAAAATGTGGTAAAGAACAAAGTTCAACGTCCTCAGCCACTAGGGAAATATGGCAACCGGATGAATTTAAAATGAAACACCAAGGTTGCAATTCCAAAAGCAATGTACTTGAGACTAATCCAGCATCTTGATATTTTACCTGAAATTACACAAAATACAAGCATATTTACATAAAATATTCATAATTTATAAACTTTGAAAATATTAAATTCGAAAATAAAATTTAAACAAAATAAAGGCACATGTATTTTTTAAAAATTTTATAACACTTTTTTTTTGCATTTTTGTTTTGTTTGTGAATTTTTTGTTTCAAATCTCGTAAGTAATTTTCACAATTTTCAAAATTTTCAGTTACTCTTCAAGTTAATTATTTTTCTTTTTTTATACTTTTCAAAAAAATATCATGTAAAAAATGAAAAATTCATTTTTTTTTAATCAAAATCTTATAAAAATCGTTAAAAATTAGATAGAAAAGTGAAAAAATTTTCAAATTGATCGGTTAACAAAAAAATATTTAAATATACTTGTAATAGGATAAAATTTTTACTTGAACGTGCGTCTGAGGTTGTTCAGCAGCGATCCATTCAAAAATTTCATCATTTTGAAAAGGCCATTGCAATTCATTTTTCGATGATTCTAATGCTTTTAAAATTTCTTGTATATTTTCTTTCTCAGGTCTCTTAAAAAATATTCTTTGATCCACAGAACTGTAGGACAATGGAACATATGGATTCGATGCTGAAACTCCACTTCTGCAAAAAAAAAAAAAAACAAAAACATTTTTTCCATATATTATATTTAAATTAAAATATTACGAATGTTTTTAATGTATCACAAAAGAGGAGGGGAGGAGAAATTCAAATAAAATTTTGTACGACACTTACTCTAATTGAAAAGTGAGTTGATGAAAATGTTCGAAAGTACCAGGACAATATAATTGTTGTTTTTCTCCTCGACCTTTGACAGTCGTGTGAATTAATCCTTTTAAAGAAGGAGTTTCAATTTGAACCTTAGCAGGAACTGGTAAAAATGATCGAATCATGTACAAAGGACTCAACACAGCCTGTGTGAAATAAATTATTAGTTATAAGGAAATCTATAATGAAGTAAAAAAAAAAAAAAAAAGAAAAAAGAATTTTGAATACTCACGAGAATTTTAGATTTTCCCTTGTCTTCTTCTTTTACTATTCGTACCCAAATACTGATAAATTGACCTCTTTCTTGTAAAGGCACTACAAAAAACAATTAAATTCATTTTTCAGTAAAAAATCGAATAATAATTTTTAATCATTAGAATTTAAAATTTTTCTATTAACCTTTAACCAACCAAGGTTGACCCCATTTGGTATTTGGTTGCAATGGAATATCACCAGTCCATGAAAGATTTGGAATACTCGAAAATCTTAAACGCATTGTCATATTTGAATTATCGCCCAAGACAATTGATGAGGGTTGACTTTTTCCCGGTACAAAATATAAATCCTGAAATGTTCCTGATTTTTCCTTTGATTGCAATTCATATTTAACTAATTTCATTTGAAAACAATCTGTCAATTGATTTGTAATGATAAATTGTCCCGCGAATGTAACCAATTTTTGTGTAGCTGATATTGATGTAACACTAATGGAAATTAAAATATCCGATGAATTTCCAAAATCAACATTTTGCACACCATCTCTATTGACAGCAAATGATTTACTCCAAATCCAATTATTATTATCCTCCAATGATATTCTTAATGATTGATTATTTGCATGTCGCCATGAATAAAAATAACATTCTCTACTTTTCAATAAAATATTATCGTCAGTGTCATTTTGTCCAAAACGAATTGAAATATTACAATCGTTTGCAATTATAAAACGTGTGATAATAATTGCCAATTTATTTTCATCATCAAGAGCAATTGACCATAAATTTGCAGACACTGCCAATGTGTGACTTAGCGCTGGACTTAATTTCAATGAAAATGGATTGCATGTCATTGAAATGTCAATTTTCTCACTAATTGATATTTGTAATTTTTCATACATATTGTCAATGACCTCTTGAAGTATTAATAGGCCATAATCCAAAATATGAACACGAATTATTCCACTGACATCAATAAGTGCCGAATCATCGTGCCATTTATTGAAAATAAAAACAGCTTCCTTGTGCTCAACACACATGAAACATTGCATTTCAGGAATCATACCATTTAGTGTATATTCAGTGAGAGGCGGTGGAAGTTTATCGTAAGCATTTGGTGAAATATAATTATAGAGGGCTAAATTAATTGAACTAACATTCAATGCTGCCTGTATATTTGGAATGATGAGGGAATTAAAATAAGAATCAATTCGTAAACAGGCAATTAATGCACGAGTTGGAACAAGAGTTTTTGAAATTGATGATGAATTCGATGATCCCAAAACAATTCTCCAAACACTTGCAACTGCACGTGCTGGCGTTTTATCAGGTAAATCTAAACGATAGCTGTCCGTCTCGGATAAATAGAATTCTACATATTTTTTATAAACACTTTGGCTCTCACTCCAATATTCAATAACACAGTGAATTCGATCTTCGGTGTCATCCTCACTCCACGCCTGAATATTCAAATTTAAAGATTATAATAATTTTTTTTTTCAAAATTTAAACATATTTTTGTTTAAATTATTATATCAAATAATAATTTAATAATAAAGAATTAGAAATATTCACCTCAAATGGAACAGGAGAAACATGTATTCTTGTTAGAGCTCGAGGATGTGGATATCTCCAAGCCATTGCTTGTTGAGGGAATGTAAAAAATACAACCTAAAAAAAAAAATTTCAACATATTCAAAATACACAGAAATAAAATATTTCATTATTTAATTAATGTGATATTATTATGATAATTAATATATTTTAATTTATAAATCAGGGCGTCTACATTACAATTTGTAAATTTTTTAAACATAATTTCTAAATTAAGACTACAAATGACGAATAAATTCAAAAAAGAGCCAACACCAAATTTAATGGAAAACAGTACATTTTTTGTAATTCCAATTCCAATTTTTAAAGTTTGGACATACTAATATATAATAATATAATAAAAGTTTACCTGATAAGGCAATGGAAGATCATCGGCGGTACCATCCACAAATTGAAAGACACCCGATTTTAAATCATCTTTATAATGTTGTTCAGTAATTGTCGACGACGATGATGATGATGATGAATTTTTCTGTTGAGCTTTATAATCTGATGATTGACAAGTGTTTCGATTGAAAAATTCTTGTAAATCAAGTAAAACAGTTTTAATTATTTGTAAATGTTGTGGACCACAATTCAAATGAATACTATCGCTGTCGGCTTGTATTTGAATTTGAGGAAATGAATTTGCATCTTGCCATGATTCCCATAGTAAACATATTGTCACATTACAGCACCATGGATTTAAAATAACTTTCATATTATCACGAAACGAGCCCGATATTACAAATGAATCTAATGTCACATTTCCATAGATTCTTTCGGGTCTTATAACATTTAATACGCTTCCAGCCAATGAAGCTAAACTAATTATTATTTCCGCTCCTGATTCAGATGTGAATGAAAATACAATTTGTTTTGTAATAAGATTAAAATCAGGTATTGTATATTTAATGGAACGAGGTGATGATTCCTGGGGAATATTACTCAAATCGCTGGAAGACTTGGTGGATAATTTTATGATACTTTGATCTTCTACGAAACACTCTTTTACCTAAAAAATTATTTTTATTATTAATAAATTGATAAAAATTAATATTTGATCATTAATTTTACTAATTTTATACCTTGTCAATGATGGAATTAACTTTTTTTTGTCTCTCAAGAGAAAAATATATTTTAGTTGGACGACTCATATCGAGAAAGAATTGTGGACTTTTTCCTGGTAATGTTTCACATTTTATTGTAATAAAGGAAGGTGGAATTCCAGTATCTGGATGACGTTCTCCACTTTTTACTTGAATTATAAATACTTTAAAATCTTCACTTGTTGGCATTGAAGTATAATCTCGACGCTCTTCATTTCCCAATGAAATTGCCATATCGAAACAGGAAAACTGAGTAATGATTTTAATATAAAAATGAAATTATATTTTTTAAACTTTTCGAAAGATAGTAAAATAAATTTTTCTCTACCTGAATCTTTTGGGTTAAATGCTGTTGAGAGATGTACAAATTTGGTTGATCAATCATAAAATAAAATAAAAGCTGCTTATATTGACTGTTATCGTCTTCAAAATTATCTTCATCCTCCTGAAATAATATTCATTGGAAAAAAAAAAAATTGAGTGCAAATTAGTTTTTTCTATAAAAGTACATTTTTGTTAAACATACAAAAAAAATAATATTTAGTTAAATTAAAATTAAATACTCACAGATGAATAGAGATTATCAATTGTCTTTTGTAATTCATAAAATATAAATGTGATTTTTCCACAGTTTACTAAAAATTCAAAAGGAGGAAGCGTAACGACTCCTTGTACAAGAGGTTTTCCCTAAATAAATATTGGAAAATATTACAAAGTTATTTGTGTTAATTATTAATTTTGTTCTTCCATTATTTAAGATACTTACAATACTTGTTGAATTCATGCTGGCAGTTTCAAAATCAAATGACAAATCAACTTCTGATTCATTTGCTTCATTAATTTTGCGAGGTGAAGATTTAGTATTTATTGAACAAGACTTTGCAATTTCAACAGAAACATGAGAAACAGTTGGTTTGCAGAGATTAGAAAATAAATTATTAAATTCAGCATGAAGAGCAGATAAAAGACGTATTTGATGTAAATTCATTGTCACATCAATGTCAGTGAGACAATTTATTTCGACAGCGCTTCCACATACAATTATTTTCGGTTCAAATATAATAGTTGGTGCAATTATAATACACAGGTCAAATCTTCGAAAAATTAAAAATTAATATACTATTAATAATAATAATAACTATAATAATAATAATCTTGAGTAATAATTATAATTTCTATAAAGTTTAAGTAAAGTTTACGAAATTAAAATTTAAAAAATAAAATCTAAAAAAAAATTTTTTAATCATAAATTTTTGTAAAATTTACCTTGTTATTATGGGAAAAGTAGAAAAATGAAGTTCTAAACTGCTTCCATTTCCTAATTTATTCCATTCAACAGCTGGATTTTCATGCATTGTGTAAAGATAAGATTGAGACATTCTCTGAGAAAAATATTATTATTTATTATTAATTATTAATTAATTTAAAAATAGAATTCAAATTTTTGTAAATAAAAATTTTCACCTTCGTTATACTTTGTTGATAATTTTTCCAAGTAGTTGTATAAGTGGAAATTCCATTAACATTAATTTGATATTGTCTATCCTCAACAGCAGAACCTGGAATATTTAAAATATTTGCTTGCGCCGCAAGTTGATAAACATCCATTCGCAATGGAATTCTACAAATAGGATTTTCTGCCCGAGGCGAAATTTTAATACCATCTAACTGTTAAAAAAAATTATTATTATTATTATTATTACTTTTTTTTCTATTTTATATATGGAAAATTTCAATCAGTATTTAATAATAATAAATTTTATTTTAAACCTGAAACATTAAAAGATCGTGCTGTAATCCTTGCACAATTGTCGTTGAAACTGGTAGCATTAGACGAATTCCTTTAAAATCCAAATAAACAAGTGGAAGTGTCTCATTTCTTAATTTTGTGATACCAATTAAAGGTGGAATGATAGTGTTTTCTTGTAAACTTGAATTCAATGTGACATTATCATGAAAATTTAAAAATGGTTTAACTAATTGTACAAATTTTCCCATTACACTAGGCGGTAAAATAAGATCCAACATTTGAATCTTTACGTCCACTTCTGTTATATAACTACCTGAAAGCTTCATTTCTTCAGCTCGAAAGTCTTTCTGATAAATGAAAACGAAAATTAGAATCATAATTAATAATAATAAAATTACTAAATCATGCAGGCAGTTCGATGGTTTCTACTTGGAAAATAAAGAAACATGTATTTTAAAAAGTTTTCATACCTAACATATTCTATTTATTAAAATATAAAATAAGAACAACTTTGGACTATTTGAATTTTTTTTTCTCATTTCTGAAGAATTATATTTTTTTGAAAGAAAAAAAATCCACAAGATTGATTGTTTGGAATCGTGAAAAAATTAACATTTTTCACTTTTCATAGAATATTTTTTTTAAAAAAAGTATAAAAAAACAAAAATAAAACTCTACTAGTAGTGGCAAGTAGAAAAATCGCTTTTCTTTATTTTTTAAACAGAAAAACGTATTTTACAGTAAAATAAATTCATTATCCAAATGCCTCCATAATTTGCAAAGAATTCGATTTGTTCCATGTTTAAAAAAAAAAAAAAATACCTTATGAGACTTATACTGTTTGTTGGCACCCCAGCGAGTATGAACATTTCCCAATTTTGCTTTTGTTAAAGTGAAATTTAAAAATCCAGTGTCTTCACCTTTTTCAAAATTATCTTCTCGTCCACACATCAATAAACCAACATATTCACCAAAATCCCAATTTCGATTATTTAAAGATCTAATTTAAAAAAATAATTTAATATTTCAGACTATTTAAATAACAAACGCAAATGGAATAATCGTAAATGATAAATAAATAAATAAATAAAAATTTCATTCCTAATTAGAGTTTAAAATAAAATTTATAAAAATTTCCATTTACCTTGAATAATGGAAAATAGTGGCAGTTGTTATTTTATGAACCAATTTAAAATAAACAGGTTGTATATCTGCTGAAGTTATGATGTCTTCTAATTCCAAAACTAATTTTAAAAGAGCATAATCTGGTTGTTGAGATGTGTAAAATTTAAATATAACTTTTGTTATTGTCCACTGAACCCACGCGGACAAAACTAATCCATTTTTTTCTGGAAAAAAATCGTTAATATATAAATACAACAAATTGTGATAACAGTAAGTAAAAGAAAAAAAAACGTAAATTTTTTTTTTTTTTTAAATTAAATATTAAATATTTTTGCATTAAAATTCACATTACCTTGATTTAAATTATCTTTCGATACAGACATTGTTGATGTTGTAGTTGTATCTTCTGGATATGCAAATTGTGATGGACTTGAAGGAGATGGCATAATAAGAAGAGATTCTTGATCATTTTTCATAAGTGTCGATGAAGTGTAAATATTTTTCTTCATTTCAATGATATTTTGTATTGTTTTTGAAATATTCGTTATTATATCTCTTAAAAAAGTTATCTATAATTTTTTGAATTATAAAGAGAAGAAAAAAATTGTTGTTGAGGATAATAATTTTTAAAATAATTCAATTTATTTAATTAAATATTAAATTGGATATAATATTTAAAAAAAAAAAATTTCAATATAATCAAATTTTTTTACCTGCTCCTCTGATGCTGAAATAATAATTGGCGTTGTATCGATATAAATCGATAATTGCATCGATGAAAGTTTAATATTTGATTCGGATGAATTAAATTTTGTTGTTAATGCTATTGTTGCATTAAAGGAAACTTGTTTAATAAAATTTTTCCTTTCACCTTGTTTAAGAGTGTAACATTGAAAATCTAAAATTTCTAATTTCCAGGGAAAACTTTGATGTTCTGTTAATAGATTAAATTTTATATAGATACTGTTTGGTAAAATATGAATTAATAATAGGTATGTAATAATAATTAGAATAATAATATAATTAATTCCTTTTTCCTTTTCTTTTTTCCTAATATTAAATATTGAAAAATTCTTACTGTATGTCCATATCGATTTTGGTAAAACAATTGGCAAATCTTGGAGATATTGATTCAAAATATCAGCTTGAGCACCGGCTGAATTAATAATTAACATTGGCATTTTTACCACCAACACTTGTAGATTTTCATTATTTCGTATTGCTCGATCTTTTGCCTCTTCGATACCTAGACAATATTTAAAAAAATTATAAAATTTTTATTTATTTTTAATTATATGGAAAATTGACTTTTAAAATTTTGAATACTTGAAAGTTATATAAAAAAAAAATTGATACCATTGGCATCGATTCCACTCATTGTATTAGTTGGTATGTAAATGGTAATATGTCCGACATATCCACTTAATACAAGGCCATGCCACCAAGGATAAAGATCGATTAATCTTTCCAATAATTTTGGTTTCTCTAAATTCTGCAATTGTAAAGTCACTTTATTTACTTTTTTATCGTCTACTACTATTTTATGAAACAATTAATTCACATAAGATGAATAGTAAAAAAAAAAGAAAAAATAAATTACTAATTAAATTAATTGAAATTAAAGAGAAAAAATAAAAACAATAGCATACTTTTTACCTCTTGTTTGGTACTTTCGTTACTTGGTTGATTTTTTTCAGTCTCATTAATTTTATAAATAGTGGGCGATTTTTCCGTTAATTCATCATGTTTCCTCTTTTCTTTATCCGACGAACTATGAACACTTTCATGTAGACTAGGAAATTTTCGTTTCTTACTTCCAGTATTTGATGAGCGTTCAGAAGATTGTTGCCTTGTTTCTTGTTTCGCTGAATAGAGAGTATCTAATTTATAATATTTAACACGATACTCTAGCCATTGTAACAGTAAAGGATCGAGACATCCTTTTACTGGTCCTACATGGAATGACATGACAGTTGGGAATCTTTGATTTTTCGAATCTTTGGAATATTGTATCACAGCCGATAAAAGAGAATTACACTCCAAATTTCTATTTAAAAAAAAGAAAAATTTTTACATTTTAGTTTATTTTCTCCCCTAAAAAAAAAACTAGAATCTTAATTTAATTTTATTAAAATTATAATTTAAATAAAATAAATAGAAATATTTATAGAAACTAGTAAAATAATTACCGTTGATCTTCTATTTCTGGACCCGAAAGAATGAAAGCTTGATCGGTTTCATTGTGAGCAAAAATTTTAACAGAGCCTATATTAACATTAGTGGACTGAACTGCCAGTGACTTGATATTTCGAAAATTTATATTTTCTAAACACAGTTCAAGATAGGTTGGCCCTAAAAGAAAACAAAAAAATATATAAAATAATAGAGAAAATAATTTAAATATGTTTTTAAAAGTTTTTTTAAACCATAAATGAAATAATTTAGTGTCTATTAAAATTTGGGAATAAAATTAAATACTTTTTCCAAGTTTTGAAAAAAATTTTAAACTTTTCCAAATTAAGACCTAATTATTTTTTTAATTCGATTATTTTTCAAATTTAAATCTTTTTATTTGTTATTTATGTAAATTTAATTATTATAAAATAAAAATATCTAGTAATTTAATTATTTTGAGAATTACATTATTTTATAGATTCAATTATTTATATTTTTATTGAATTTATTTATTATTTATATTATACTAAATTTTTGGAAAAATATTATTTGATAAAATTATTTTGCATAACTTTTGCTTTTTCATAATTCTGTCTAGAAAATTTGTTTCATTATTAAAAATAATATTAATAATTAGAATACTTAAAATTATTTTAAATTCATTTTAAAATAATTTAACAGTTCAAGTTCAATGAATTGTCACCTATATTATGATAAAAAAATTGAAGAAAAAAAACCTACTCTTTTCATTGCAAGCGTCGTCAAAGAGAGATGAACATACAAGAGCATTTGTTGTATCGTCTGGTTGAAAAATTGATGAAATTATAGAACTTGCAACCATAATTTTTGATTTTGTGCCAGTTATTGTGATTCCATCCACTTCAAAATTATAGGAACCATGAATTATATCTGAACTCGTCCAATATTGACGGTAAAGTAAAATTGTTGCATTACAATTAACTGTACAAGGCATTATTATTGACGTATGGCAAGTGGGTTTTAAAAAAAGTTGAAAATTTAGTCCCTGCATCTGTAAAAAAAAATGAAGCATTAGTAAAATTATGAAAATATTCTTTCTTTCTATTTTCGAAAATTAAATTGTAATTTTACAAAATTTGCTCTTTACCAGTCCTTTAACTTCTCTATGACATTGATTAAACATATCTTGAGGTAGATCAGTTTGTTTAGAAGCACACGCTGCCACTCTAAATGGATAGATTGGCTCTTTCACTTCAATTTTTATCTCATCCCATTCAATAGTTGTATAAGGATCGTCTGAGAGAGCTGGCGTTAATGGTTCCGTCTATAATATCAATTTTAAATCTCTATTTTATTAAAATATTTATCAAATATAAGAAATAAAAATAAAATAATTGAAATTATTTTTGTCAGAAATATTTAAACAAAATAATTAGATAAAATTTAGGACAAATATAAATAATAATGATGAAAAATTTAAATTTTAAATGATCATTTACTACTAGAATTAATTAAAATAATTATCAAAAAAATAAAAATTAAGTCAGACGATAATTCAGATATTAAAAATTTGTCAAATTCAAAAAATGTCCAATTATAATTAATGAAAATTTACTCGAGACTCGACGTATTTTCGTTGTCTTTGCAAACCCGTGATTCGATGATCGGCCAATTGCAATTGAATTGCCCCTTTAATCATAAATAATTTGATTTCCATTTTGGAAATATTTTCTCTTAATGCTTCATATTCTTCTACAGTTACTGGTGGTAATTCATCAATAGTTGGCTCTAAATAATAAAAATAATTTTAATTAAAAATTTGTCTACTTTATAATTGTATATATCTTTTAAAAGAAATCATAATATAAATAAGTGAGAAAATTTTATACCTGGCTTCGGTACAACGTATGGGGCATAATCATATTTTGAAGCTGCTTGAATTATTGTATCAGCACGATGAAATACTCCAGAACTCAAGCGAATCATTAAATCACCAATGGCAAATCTCACCACTCTATGTTCTGGGAAATTGCTGCATAAATATTAAAATATTTAAAAAATAATTATATATCTTTCAAAAAAAAAAAAAATTTGAACTACAGTAACTAAACTGAATTTAATATTTAGAAGAAAGTAATTTAAATTAATTAGAAAATCGAAATTAAAATCTTGAAAAATTTGAAGTATTTAATTTAACAAAATTAAGTATTTTAAAAAGATTAGAAATAAATTCTTTAATAAAGTAAAAATTATTTTATTATAATAATAAAGTAAAAGTATAGACAATAGAGTCGATAAAATTCAATTCGTTTAAAGATTATTTATATAATCACAAAAAAAAACCTGTATTCAAAATTTGATCCAAATTCTAATAAATCCTCAGGAGTAACATCTTCTGATAGTTCCATGTGATGAGCATAATCAATCATAAATGCTGGACATCTCTCTAGCATTTTCTCCACTAATTTTTATTTTTAAATGAAGATTATTTTTTTTTTAATGTAAAAATTAATTTTCTTAAAAAATAAATATTTTTATAGATTTAATTAAAAAGAATGAATCTATATTGATACCTGGATAAGCAGAAAGATGATTGTCAATTCCATGTTTATAAATTCTCTTTTTGCCTTTATTTTCTACAGCTTCATCATCAAAAAGTGTGTCTTTCAAATGATCAATGGTTGATTTTCCAACCATTAAGTACAGAGGAGGCTAAAAGAATTTTAGGACTTTTTAGAAAATTTTAGAATTCACTTTTTTTAGTTTTAGTAATAATTTATCATTAAGAAAAAATATATTTTTTTATTAATTCTTAACTAATAATCTAAATTACCCTGACTCCGTCAATAACTTCGGAATGACCACAACTACAAGAACCTCTAGGATACACATGTATACTTCCAAATCCCATTTGAAAATTAGTCATTGATACACCTTGAAATAAAGCATCAAGTACAGCGCCAGTGAATCTTAAAGATAGAAATGATTTGTACTTGATTTTTCGTGGCTTGTAAAATAATTGTTCCTTGATACTCTCTGTGACCTAGTATAACAATTAAAGATCTTAAAACATTAGCAATTTTTAATACTTTACAGTAATAAACGTTTAAAAATATCAACATTAAGAAAATAAAAGAATTTTATTTAAATTTTTGTTATTTATTGTAAAATTATTATTGATATCATAATACAAAGAGTCAATTATTTTTTAGAATTTTTATATTTTTGTGAAAAAAAATATATACCTTGAAAGTTAGTGTTGCATCATCTATATAAATTCCAAGATGTACTGTGTGTCCAGCAAAAGTCATTGCCTGTTCATTTGACCATTCATTATCCCAAGCAACTGGAAAAATAGAAGACATTGTGTTCCATGCCCATCCACCCCAACCGACAGCTTCGGTTGATGTTCCAGGTCCTGAATTAGAATCTTCTGTAAAAGAATAATGATTTTCATCAAAAAATTTACATTTACTTAAAAATCAATTTAACAAAATCTGATAAATCAATTTTTGAAATTTTTTTTTGCAAACGCGATTTCTATAATTTTACTTCTCATATATTTGAAAAAGTCAAATAAGCAAAAAATAATTGTGAACCTTGAATAATATTTTCTTTATCATCAGCAGAAGTCGAAGATTTGTCTTTCTTTTCAGGAAATTGTTTTGTTTTCAATGCCATTAATAGAGCTGTTAATCTTAATAGCATTGGTACTTGCTGTTCAGTTGTGCTGAATTCCATTTTTTCACAGTGAAGATCTAATCTCGTGACTGAAGCTCGTTTCGATGTGTTACTATGATAATTCATTATCATTCGAATTACCATTGAACATCTATATAATACAGGATCCTGAAATTTAAAATGTACTTATAAAAATAAATATATAAATTTGATTGAATAAATAAACTACAAATTTGACTTATTTTATTATTGTCTTACCAAGTTGCAATATATTAAATTTAATTTTTAATACATTTTTTTTTTATTTATTTTAAGTATCAGAAACAAAATACATACTTGATAAATTTCTATTTTTCCCGAAGTATCCATTTTATCCAAACAGAGAGTCAAATCCTGAATAGTTATAAGTTTTTGCAACATAACTTCATAGCTACTGACGTCTAAAAAATAAAGAACTTTGTTGTTGATTTGTAAAAAAATATTGAGTGTAAAATAAATTAATAAAATTAGTTTATATCTTCTTCTGTCTAAAAATTAAATTATTTTTTAATTAATTCACCTGTAAATGCCGGTTCCCATTTGTTGTTAACAGTTTGCATGCTCAAATATCGAACATTAATACTGAGAACAATGTCTTCTTCAACGTATTTTAATATTAAATTATTACAAATTATTGTTATATTATTTATAACTTTCGTTACAATACTTTTAATATATCCAGGTGGTGTTTCTTCCCTAAAATTTAAGTACAATTAAAAATTAACATTTATCTAATTAGTTTTTATTTTTCAACAATTGACTTATTTTTTTAATTATTCTAGGGGTTTTTCTTTTTTTTTATTAAAAAATAAAAATATTTACACCGAGGGGGAATTTACTCAGGTAGTCAAGTGTACACTCTTCCTGTAATACTTGTGTAATAACGTGTAATACCGTGTAATACCGTGTAATAATGCATTATTACGGTGCTGTAATAACGCAAAAAACTCTGTAATATCTCTGTAATAATGTGTAATACTCTGTAATAACGTGTAATAACTGAGTAATAAGGGTAATATGAGGTGTAATACCGGTAGTCAAGTGTACACGTTTTTAACTAGTAAATTCCCCCTCGATTTACACTAATTTGATTATAAGGAAATTTTAACATGTTACTTACTGAACAACTTCGCTTTGTCTTTTTTGAGAATATGTAGAAGAATTGTCGCTGTGAGACTCATCCTTAAGTTTTAAAATGCACTCTAAAATATAACATTTTATTTAATAGTCAAAATATTTATTTATTTTTATTAATTGTAATATTATTGTAAGAAAAAAAAAATAGAAATATAAAATTTTATACCAATTGTATTAATAGTGACAACAATGGGTTCCGATGTAATTTTAACCCACGGTACATGAATTAATAATTCATGGATATGTCCACTGACGAGGCTAAATGGAAGATTTAATTGTTCTTCTAATACTTCTAATCGCAAATCAAGATTCTGAAAAGATGCATCTCCACCCCATAAGGATACCTAAAATAATAAATGTAAATAATAAAAAAAAAATTAACGTTCTAAACTTTAATAATAAAAAAAAAATTTACATCTATAATAATAATAATAAATACCTTAATGGCAAATACTAAAATAACTATGATATCTAATCAACAACAATGATAATAATTACCTGCGATTGTTCTGGCTTGAAGTTTTTAACATATTTTTCCACGTAACTCAATATTACTGGAGTTATATACGATTCTAATTTAAACATAGTGAATTTTAAAATATTGGAACATCCTTTAAATTAGATTTCTCTAATATTTATCAACCTTAGACTCGGAAGAACATCACTGTTAAATAAATTAAATAATGATAAATTTATAAAAACAAATTCGTTATATAAAACAATAAATTACATACTTCTATATAGCATTAGCCGAAAGTTTTGAACGTTCATATGAACGAAATATTTTTTTTAATCTATAAATTATTAAAAATTATGATGACCATGTAAAATAAAACAGTAAATTAAACAATTATTAAATTAATAACTTCTTTTTAGATATTTTGAACAATATTTTGTAATAAAATTCGTACTTAAATAAGTTGCAAAAAAAATTTCGTTCATATGAACGTTCAAAACTTTTCGCTCATTATATAGCTGAAAACAATAAATAATTCTGTACATAATTTTTTTTCGATAAAAACATTAATAAAGTAATACAAAAAAATGTATTACAATATGGTAAAATAAAAGACAAAATGTAATTTACTTAAAAAGTAAATATTTAATTACTTTATATAAATTACTAAAATAGGTAGTAAAGAAAAATAAATAAAAAATTTAGAATTATTTTTTTTTTAATATTTAAATAAGATTGTAAATCGAATGAATATTTAGAAATTTTTGTTATTATTGATAAAATAGAGCAATATTTTTGTTATAGTTAACAATTTTTTTTAATTAAAAATAAAAATTATCTACACTTATAAAATAAAAATTATAGGTTATAATAATGAATATTTTTTATATTAAAAAAAGAATTTATTCACCTGTTAGTTGTGCACTTTTTTGATATAAAAAAAATATAATTGAGTGCAAATTTAATTAATTACACAAAATGTCATTTCATTTTTAATTACAAAAGATTTTAAATACTTTTTTTTTAAATATACATAAAACACCACACATTCACATATGTCATTTGACTGACAAAATTGTACACTGTAAAAAAAGGAAAATTTTTGATAAATTATAATTGTAAAATTATTAAAAATTTTTTGCACTTTTACTATATACTTTAATTGCGGTAATATTGCAAAGTTGCGGTTATGTTTATGTGGAAGTGCCACTGCCATGTAAAATTGTAAATTTATATAAAATGACGTCACACGTCAGATGACGTATTAAATATATACATGGCAGTAGATGTTTTCTTCAATCATAAGTAACAAATTATTAAAAATATATGAATATTAATAAAGACGTTTTTTTCTTAATTAAAGATTTTAAATAAAAATATGTTATTTCATTAAATAGTTAAAATTAAAATATAATTTAATTTTCAAAAATTTGTCAACAATTGGCGCATGCGTGAGACGCCATTTTGAATTTTTCTTTCTTCCGGTTTCTGTTTTCCGGTGAGTTGTGTTTGGTTATTTCTCAATATTCATCAGATTTTCAATAAAAATCCGTAAAATCTACGGAAATCCGACAAATTATAAATAAAATATATCTCGTAAGAAACTTGTACATAAAATTACTTTCTTACTTTTTGAATATTAATAAAATGAATAGAGAAATTTTATATTATTAACTTTGCATAACCTAAAAATAGTTCGACAGTTTTCAGTGACACAAACATTAATTAACTTTATTTATTATTTATTTTTACAGTAATCAATAATACGTGAAAAATGGCCAAGTCCAAGAATCATACCAATCACAATCAAAGTAAGTATTATAATTTATTTGGAAATTTTAATCTTTAACAAGAGAAAGGTATTTTTGTTGTGTTTACAAATTTGTTTCTTCCACGTTTCTTTTAATTTTATTTAAAAACAAAGAGTTAATTTAAATTCATATAAGTATAATGTGAAATTGATTTATAAAGATGTCAGTATGTTTTTTTTTAAACTGTATTTTCGTTTATAATATGAGTTTACAAAACCTTCGTTTATGACTATCAACGCTTCACGAAAGTCAATGAATAAGAAAGCAAAAAGATGTCATTAATTAGTGGCACACGTTTTCTTAAATATTTTCTGCAAAATGTAAGATTTTTTCATTTAACATTTTTAGAAAATGCATTACTTGAACCAAGCAATCTCCATTATTTCAACTGGTTTTAAATTTAAACAAATATTTCAATTCGGCATTTAAAATAAATTTGTTTATGTATATTGTTTTGTAGCCCGTATACATGTATATAAATTTTAAAAGTGCATGATTTTTATTTTAAAAATGTTATTTTCAGACAGAAAAGCTCACCGCAATGGAATCAAGAAACCCAAACGTTATAGGCATGAATCCACCCTTGGTGTAAGTTTTCAAAATTATTTTTTTTTTTTAGTTCAAACATTAAAGTTTATAAACCCATTAATATTAGAAAAAAAAATGCAAAAACATTTTTTAAAATGCATGTTTTCCTAATATATATTATAATAATTTTATTTAAGAAAAAATTGAATGAAACTTTAAAAATCTTTAAATAATTCAAAATTTTTCATTAATGAAAATTCACGATTTTTTTTTTAAATTATTTTACGACAAAAACTATATTTAAAAAAATCAATTTACAGATGGATTTGAAATTCTTGCGAAATCAACGATTTGCAAAAAAACACAATCTAAAACCAAAAGCACAATTAAAGAGGGCAACCGAACGTAAAGCTTTACGTGAATCTAAGAAATAATTTCCCTTATATAATTATGTACTTTAATAAAAAGATAAAAATCTAATTTCACAGTCTTAATTTATTTAATTTCTCTAATCTAATTTTTCATTGTGGTTCGAGTTTTCTATTTGAAAAAAAAAACATTTTAAAATTTGTGATTTTTTTCTTTTTTTTTAATGTTATATATTTTAACAAATATGGAGTATTGCAAGGATCATATAAATTTTTAAAAATTAAAAAAAAATTTATTAAATGATATATATATATATATTTAAAAAATTCAATTAAACATGACAAAATGAATATGCAAAATGTGTTAATTAACTGAATAGTAATTTAAGTAGTGCATAAATTATGATAAATACTTTAAGTTGCGTAAAATGTCGCGAGTCAAGTAATTTTTACAGAATTATCAAGTAAAAGTTTTTTCAAGTTCATAAAAAAAGGGAAAGCGTATTCTAATGAGAGCAGAAGTGGAATTCAACATGGCAGCCGTGAGGAGTGATGATTATTGTCAAGGAATAAAAAATATAAACAATTTAACAACACCTGAGCATATATTAATTTTTAGTGGCAAGAGAAAATCAGGAAAAGATTATATTACGGATAAATTATTTGAAAGGTAATTTTTTAATCTAAAATGAAAAGGAATTTTCTATTTTTTTTCGTGCATTTAGAAAATTATCTACCTTTGACCTATTTTTTTTTTTTTTTGTTAGATTTTCATATACATTTTCTTTGAAAATACAGAAAAATAATAAACTTTTTTTTCATATTAGTACATTTTGTATTGAAAATTAAAATTAATAAATTATGTCTTTTTTAGACTTGGAGGTGAAAAAAGTGTTATTTTGAAATTATCAGGTCCAATAAAATCTCATTGGGCAAATTCTTTAAACCTCGACTTAAGTCAGTTACTTGGAGATGGACCTTTCAAAGAAAAATACAGACTTGAAATGGTTAAGTGGGGAGAAGATACTAGAAATAAAGATTATGGATATTTTTGTCGAGCTGCTATTGAAATGTATGATGGTACGTTATGGAAATTGTGTGATTTAAAAATAACTTTCAATTTTACACTCGTAATATGTTTTTAACAAAATATGAAAAAACGCATTTTTTTTCCTTCATTTTTTCAGTTAAAAAGAAACCTATTTGGATATTAAGCGATGCGAGAAGAAAAACGGATATTAAATGGTTTTTAGAAAATTATGGGAAAATTTGTAAATCCATTCGAATTAGCAGTAGTGAAGCTGTTCGTATTAAACGAGGCTGGACATTTACACCGGGTAAAATAAATAATAAATTTTAATCTCAATAATTCGCGTTATAAAAAAATATTTCAAATTATCAACAATCAGTTTAACATAATTACAATAATTTAAAGAAAATATAAATATTTCATCATAAAATTTAGGAATTTCAAACTAAAAGTTTTTAATGCTTAATTCTTTGATTTTATTAATTTAAAAATTATTATTTCTATAAATTTTAATTATAAATAAATTTAGTTTAATAATTATGGAATTAAGTTGATCAATTAAATACATTTTTTTAAAAATAGATTGTCGTAATTTTAAATGTTTGTGACATTTTAGTAAAAATTTTATTTAAAAATGATTTTTAAAGAAAATATTTTAATAGGTATCGATGATCAAGAGACAGAATGCGATTTGGATGATGTAAATAATTGGGATCTTCATTTACCTAATGAAACAGAGGATATAGAAAATATATTGCAACAAATTTTGCAACTTTTAGAATAAATTTATAGTTATTGAATTATTTTTAGTACCTACAAAATGTAATTGTCATATAAAATTCTTATTTTAATTTAAAAAGAATATAAATTTTTTTAAATTTTAAATAATTTTTTAAAAAAATTGTAATATATATAAATAAAATATATTTGAAATAATTTTAATTGTTATTAAAAATGACTACCTATTTTTATTTTTAAAAAAAGGTGAAAATTTAAGAACCAATCAAAACACTACCGATTTATACGCATGCGTAGTATACTCAAAGGCAAACTCTGCAACTAATCGAAAGTAAGAGGGTACTTAATTGATAAAAAGAAAAGTGTACAAATATAATTGTTTATAATTCAATAGATTTATATTCGTATTTTTTTGAGATATTTCTTTATCTCATTATTTAAAAGGAACACAAAAAAAAACCATTAATATGTCGGAACACTCTATACCCTTATATATTCTTGACGACTTGAGCAGGTTAGTTTTTGTCAACTTTTATATATATATTTATATATTAAAATTTTATATTCCTTGTTATTTCAATAAAAGATCTAAATTAATAATTTGTTATAATAATTACATTTATTTAAATCTGTAATTTACACTATCTTCTAATATGTTGTAATTTTGAGGTTAGGAATATTTTATTGTTTTGTTTTGTTTTACATATGATGTTTAATTATTTCAGTCGTTTTATAATAAACGTACCTGAAGAAGAAAGAAAAGATCTAGTTCGCATTTGCTTTCAAATTGAATTGGCACATTGGTTTTATTTAGATTTCTATTGTGTGGAGGAAAACACAAAACTGAAATCTTGTGGCATGAAGGAATTTGTAACGCATATATTTCAGCATATTCCATTTTTAAAACCCCATTTAACGAATATCGATTCAATTATTGAACAATGGAGAGAATATAAACAAAATGTGCCAACATTTGGCGCAATTGTTTTAAATGAAGATATGACAAAAGTTCTTCTCGTCCAAAGTTATTGGGCAAAAAGTAGTTGGGGTTTTCCTAAAGGCAAAGTAAATGAGGACGAAGATCCTTCACATTGCGCTGTTCGTGAAGTTTTAGAAGAGACAGGTTTCGATATTTCTAATTTAATTGATAAAAATGAATACATCGAATCTGTTATTAATGATCAACTAGTGAGACTTTATATTATAAGTGGCGTTCAAAAAGATACAAAATTCCAGCCATTGACACGTAAAGAAATTAAAAATGTTGAATGGTTCGCATTGGCTGATTTGCCCAACAACAAAAAGGACATGACTCCAAAAGTGAAAATGGGAGTTGGACCGAATTCATTTTTCATGGTCGTTCCATTCGTCAAGTGAGAAAATTTATTTAAAGGAAAAATTAATGAATTTTTATAATAAATGTCATAATTATGTTTTTTCTTTACAGACGAATAAAACGTTGGGTTCAGGAGAAACAGCAACGCGAAAAAAATGTACCAGGACGTAGGCATCGGCACAAGTCTGTTGGAGATGTTGAAAATTCATCGAAAAGTAAACGACAACAACAAATGATCTCTCAAGTAAACTTTATTTTTTTTGACTTATATACAATATTTCTTTTTTTTTTACATTATTTTTTAATGTTTGAATTTTTATTTAAAGAACGAAGTGTCAGACTTGAGAAACGCTCGACAGCCAAACACTTCTCCAGTTCGAAGTCGTAAGAGTACTCACGAAAGTAAAAATTCCACAACAAAAAATGCATTTAAACGTAATTTATTCGGCGATTCAAATAGTGATCAATCACCGGCAGTTCTTGCTAAACAATTAACGGAGAGTCCTCTACGTCATCAAGTTTCAATGTTTAATGACTCGTCAATTCATTCTGCCAAAAAACATCCAAGTGGAAAAGAAATGAAAGGTAATTTTTGTTTTTTTTTTACTTGAATAACTTTTAATTAATATATTTTTTTAAATCAATTTTTCGTTTATATTTTGAAAAAATTATATTTATATATAGATTAAAAATTTTGACCCTGTTTTTATTTTTTAAATGAACGTCTCGCAATTATATTTTTATATTTTAAATTACATATTTGGACGAATGGCACAATTTTTTTTATTATACTAGGACTTAATAGTTAAATATCTATTTATTGAGAGTATTTAATATTTTCTGATAACTCTTAATATTGTATTTTTATAAAGAAATTGTTTCTTTAATTTTTTGAAGGTTTATGTAAATAGCAAACTTTTAGATAAATGCAATTATGCAAAGCAAAATTTTTGTCTATGAAATTAATTTTAAATAAAAAATATTTTCGATTTAAAAAAAAAAAATTTCTTTACAGGCGACAAGGGAAGTTCAAAGACACATATTTTTGGAGAGGCGACACGAAAATTGAATTCTGATTCTAAATGTAATCAATCGCCTTTTTCCACTGGTACTCAAGGATCTTCATCGACAAAAGAATCGTCTAATATCTGCTCGAAAGATGAATTTCGAACTAAAATATGGTCTCATTTTAAATTTGATAAGAAGATTATTCTTAATTGTCTATAAATCATTGTTCGTCGAATTGAAGAAGATACCTGTGATCTACAAATTTGTAGTGATATTAATATTATTATTATTATTACGTTTTAAAGCTTTGCTTTGTCGAGATTAATAATATTTGAATACGATTTCAAATTTGATGTAAAGTACATTTTGTTGACAAGTATATGAAGAGAACGTGTATGAAAAATTATGTTATTCTTCGTTAATTATTATTTGAGAAAGATTTATTTTAGGTAAAGACTTGCGCTTTTGTCACAATGGTACTTTTATTTATTTTTCTCTCTTTTTTTTTTTTAATTATGTAATCAATTATTATTGTAAAACTGTAAGTTTTACTCGTGATTCTTGACGGAAAACGATTGCTAATTTTAATGTTATATTTGCTAAATTCCGTGCATACGGTGTGTGTGTATAATAACATTTACGTTAAATTCATTATTTGTACACTTTTATATTACATTTTGGGAACAAATGTCACTCATTCATTTAATAAATTATTTTTCGTACTTTTTAAAATTGAGCTATTATTCAAGTTGTTGCTATAAAGAAAACAAAACCAATCGACATATTTGTGAGAGTTTAATTATTTAAATTTTTATGTTGAGAATAAATAAAAAAAAAAACTCTTTTTGTTTTGATTAATATATAAATAAATTTTGTTCATAAAAGAATTTTGAAAGAAAATTTAACTTTAAAATGCAAGTACATCGATTGATCGAAAACTTTGTTTTATATGAAAAATAGCAATAATTTATTGGTACTTAAGGAAGTTGTGCAATTAAAAAAATATATTTACAATTTAACAGGAGTTATTTGTAAAAATTTCTTATTTGAAGAAATAGAGGAAGACAAGAATTGCAAAAATGATAGTACCAAGGAAGTAGGAGACTTTTTTTAAAATAACCGATCCAGCGCCTCTCACGCTTCTAATTAATTCGTTATTAAGTGTATAAACTATTTTGCTCTCTTCGATTAATTTATTTTTCGTGTCCTCGTCTAATGTCTCCGAGATTCGATTCATTGTCGAACGCATTTCGTTTTTTAATTCAAATATATTGTACTCGCCAAAATCGGTGATGTTGTTCCCATCTTGATTATCATTTTTAAATGGCGAAATCTTTTGTACAAGTTGTCGTTTGTGACGAATAATTATTCCTCCACTCAATAAACCCATGTATAAATGATAAATATACGCCATTAAAAGAGATGGATCAGTGTCCTCGACTTCTCTTAAACGCAGCAAATATTTAACAACACTGTTTCTAAAATGAAAATTAATTATGTCACTTTTTTTTTATACTTTTTCAATTAGATTTCTCTAATCTTAATTGTTCTTTCTAAAATAATCAGAATAATTTTCATTCGACAATACTAACAAAAATTAAAATTTTTACTTGTGTTTAGAAATAATAATTGTCCAACAGAGGTTTAAATATTATAAATACCTTGGAGTATAATTTTTAATCCATCCTTTTCCTAGATAATAGTTTAAATCCTTCTCGAATGCCTCAGTTCTTTGAAGACCTGGAATATTTAGAAGACCAACTTTTGTGTTTTTTAATCTATCCATTGCTCCTTCCAGATATCGAAAAATTTCATAGAAAGCTAAAAGACCATCGGCCCATACTGTGTCATCGTGAAATGCTGTTTAAAAATATAAAAAAAACATTAGATTTCTGTTTTCAAGTTGACAATATTATATATTTAAAGGTATTAAATAAAACACTAAAAAAAGATTTTATTTTCACATTTTTAAAAAATAAAGAAGTTACGCGCTTTAAATATCGCCATCTGGCAATTATTTTATACACTGCTATTACCAATAACAAAAGAGATGTCAATTTTTATTATTAAATTACATACATCTACTTTGAGAACAATAGCATAAAAAGAAAATTTGTAAATTAAAAAACCCTATTGGATAAAAGTAAAAAAGAAACAATTGACAATGAAAGGAAATTATCAATAATGAAATAACAATATGTTATTTTTATTTTAATAATAGACAAAAGAAATATAGGTTAACACCCTTCTAATACAATACTATATTTTTTAATAAAAATATTAAAAGAGACACAAAAAAAGAATCGTAAAATTCATACCAAAAACTAATTTAGCGTTGACTAGAGCATCACTGACAGCGTGAATTTCTTTCGTAGCTTTTCTCAATTTTTTGCAGAAGTTCTCATTATCGTAGTCAGTCATTTTGAAAATGTTTTTATAAACTACAATTTCAGGGGTTTTTTTCGTTAGAAAATACTTATCTTTGTATTGGTTTTTTACTAAAATCCTGTCATTTTATCGGGGGGTTTTTTTTTTGTTTTGTTTTGGATTATCGAAATGTCAAATTTTAGCAGACAAACAAACCCACTCGCGTCGAATCGCTGCTGATGACGTCAGATGACGTTTGACGATCGCTAATTTCGCAATCACGTGCTTAAATCAGTTTAGATATGTTTCGTCAGATGGCATTAACGTAGTTTACCCGCGAAAATTTAAATTGCTTGTAAGATAATGTTAAATTTTCAATAATTATAGTAATAATAATAATAAAAATTAATGTATTTTTAATAATTTTTGATTTACTTAAAAATTGAATATTGCTCTGATGTGACACAACTTTATTTATTTAAAATACTATTCTAATTTGTCTTACTTAATTTGAATTAAATTTAAAAATAAATTAACAATATTAAAATTTGAAAAAATTAAATTTTTTCTTTAGCAAAAACACTTTTTCTAGTTAATTAAGAATAAAATTTCATATATGATAAAATAAATATTGTCATCGTGTTTAAAGTTTATTTACTTAAAAATAGACTTTATCTTGAAGAAAATTGTTTTTTCTGATGAAAAAAAAAATGAAAAAAAAGAATTTGTTTCTTTATATAAAAGCAATTATATAGTCCTAACAAAACATCTTTTTTAGAGCTGTGCAAAAGTTCGAATTTTGTATGGGCTCGGATCGAATATTCGATTCGAACCCATGTTAATTCTTATGGAGCGGTTCGAATTTTAAAAACTTGCACAGCTCTAATCTTTTTCTATCTTAAAAAGTATTTATGTACTTTGCTATACTCATAAAACAATATTACATATTATTTTATTTGAAAATAAATTTTTGCTGTCAAAATTAATTACTTCTTCTACAAAATAGATTGAATCTTTAAAAAAATTACCTACTTAAAAAAAATTGTTATTATTCTTTTGCGGTCATTTTTTTCAGTGTAGTTATTTATTAAGTTATTTAGTTATATATTTAACTAATTCAGATTTAAAAAGTATTACATTATTTTTTGAATCTAAACCATTTGTGTGAAATTTAAAATTCCTTTCTAAAATTTTTATATATATATATACAACTAATGTTTTCAAATATTTTTAAATATTTTTGATAAAATGTTTTTTTTACTTTTATTTTTTTTTGGGACTTATAGCTTAATAAAAAATTTTAGACCTAAAGAAATTCTTTTAAATAAAATAAACTTTTTAAAAGAAATTCTTTTATAATTAAAATAAAATTTTAAAGTGTATTCTTTTTAAAAGATATATTTTTAAAAGAAATATTTTTAAAAGAAATTTTTCAAGAAGAAATGATTAAAAATAAATTTTATTCAAAAGAAATAAAAAATTCTCTCTTTTTTAAATTAAAAATTGCTATAAATTCACATGGCCTGCTTTCCCCAGTACGGTAATACATTTGCCTCTCTCGGTGTTGTATGTATATATATATATATATATATATATATATTTTTGCAGTGTACCACTATCACATTGAGCTTCAGTGCCAAGTGTAATATATTTCTACAGTCTAACGGAGGTCATTGACCTTCGTTAAGGACGTGCCCATGTCCCCAGGCCGGGTCACACGCAAGTCTTGCGATCGCAGGCGAACATGATCCAGAAAAGTAACTCAGGCACGTGGCAGCTGTCGCTCGAAACTATAGTCAAGCTTTTCCTTATACCCTGGTTTCAAGTATTTGTTAAAGGCGGTACAATGGTACGAGAGAGACTCCACCCATCACCTGTTTCAATCAAAAGCATTTCATCTAATTTAATTATAATAATGCAAATATTATACGTCAATATATAAAAATTACATGAAAAAAAATATTATTCTATTCCCTTTTTTTTAAATATATATTTTTATTTTATTGCAATTATACAAGCGAATATATAAAGTCATTATTCTATACATATTAAATTTGCAAACATTTTTCCGATTATATAGCTAGATTTTTATTTATTTAAATAGAATAAAATATGAATTTTTAAAAATTTCGATAACTATGATAGAAGATGAATTATTATATAAAAATTTCTAAATTCGGAAAATCCTTTCATAATATTCATTATGGCAAAATTTATACCAAAAAAAATTAAAATCCAATTTTTATTAAATATTAATTACTTTTTATTAATTTTTGAAATTAATCTACCAGTGAAAAAAAGTGAGTTTTAATTTAATAAATAAAAATATTGTTTTTTGGGAAAAATGTTTAGTGCGTTGGTGTAAAAAAAAAAGAAACGTTACAGAAGTAGAAAAGGAAATTAAGTGTCAGACGCACACGTTACGCTGTTATTTGATTTTAATTTGTATAATAACTATTATTATCAAAGTATTCGAATTTATAATATTATTATCAAATAATATAATTACTTTACAAAATAATACAAAAACGTAATTAGATTTTCTAAAAGTTTAAACATTTTTAATGGAAAATATGTTCATATTTGTATGTAAAAACTAAAGAATTTAATTAAATATAAAATGAACTATGTATACATAAAAAATTACCTTTTACCGTTGGTTCGAGTTTTTTTTAAACGATATCAATTTTTTTCAAGTAATAAAAAAAATAAACGACAAATTATTAATCTATTTGGATGCTATTGTATCAAATAATTTTTTTGAATTTAGGTTATGTCGAGGGGGCATTTACGTATTTATACTAGTGTACACTTGACTACCGTATTACGCTAATATTACAGAATATTACCAATAGTTTTACGTTGTTATTACACTTATTACAAAATATTACTGTTTATTACAGATGAGGTATAACATTACACTACCCGTAATAACGCAGTATTACACGTTAAAAGTTATTACATTATTATAACAAAAGTGTACACTTGACTATCCAAGTAAATTTCCCCTCATTCCCCCTAGGGGTATGTTTACTATATACAGTTTTTGTCAGTTTTATCTTGATTAAAAGTTTCTTTTTGTTTCTGTAATCTCAGAATAAGTTTTTATAGATATAATGAAGACATCATATATTAAAACATCATTGGTTTGTATTAAGAGTTGATCCTCTTTGTGTATTTTTACGATTTTCACTTAAAAATTTTCAAACATAACCTATAATTTTTTTTTGCTTACAAAGTTCCTTATTTCTTTCCGACGCGTCACATCTTAATAATTGTTATTATAAAATAAAGTAAGTATAACACTTTAAATATTAAACATACGCACTGAAAAAATTTATTTCATAAAAATAATCAGTTATGCACTCGACTATTGTCAAATAATTATATTATTTGAGTCAATTAAAAGTTGTTTATTTTGAATACAAAAAATTATTGATTCGAATACCAGTTAAATTAATTCCAATTGATTCAAATAAAAACTATTTGGTCTTAATAAATATTTATTTAATAATATCCAAGTAATCGATTATTTGAACAAAATAATTTTTTTTGCAGTTCATGAATTTTCAAATAAATAAAATAAAAGAACTTTTGAAAAAATAATTTTAAATACAAGAAAGATAATAGCAAATTAAAAGAATATAATTTTACATAAAAAGTACTCTTGTAATGAGAAATGTAAAAATAGAAATGAATCTCAATATTATATAATTATAATTATTATATAATTAATGAATAGAAATAAAACAGAGACTATATAGAAGAAAAGTAAATTTGAAAATAATATTTTCCACAAAGTGCAATTGGTTTTACTGCGCCTATCTACAATATGTGTAACGCGTTGAATGTAATGTGCCTCCATTATGATATAGATATGGATTTGTTTAATGTATCTTTAGTTTCTTTTAAGAAGTTTATGATTAATCATATATTGTCCGAGCACTAATCACTACATCTGGCTTAAATTTCTTTTCTGTTAATTCATTTTTTATTACACAGATCGTTATAAATTTTTTTTTTCTTTCTTTTTTGGTTATATTAATAATAATTACTCTGTATACTTTTGATTGTAGTGCCCTTTAATGGTCGCTGACCGTGGGCTATATTATATGCAAATAAAAAAAAAAAAAAAAAAAAAAAAAAATATAATTTTAATGTTATATTGGTAAATAATATTGTTAATGATGTTAACCTGGTACTTTACAAGTCAATTGTTGAGCTTGCCGCGAAGTAGAATGGTTAGCTCTAGTCGTATTGTGTTTGCCTGTTAATTCATAAAATCTATTGTCACTCGAATGTCAATCAACTTTTTACTCAATCATTTCACGGTCATTTCCTTATTTTTCCAATGTACAATATAATCAAGTAATAATAATAATCATTTTTTTATATCCATTCTCATAATTATACTATATTTTTTTGTTTATTTAAAATTTTATATTTATTATATTATTTTTATTATTATTTGAATTTTAAAATACTTGAAATACTTTAAGATAAAATAAGTGATATTCATAATTGTTTAGAAAAATATATAAACAATTATTTATGAAAATTTTAAATTATTTTCTTATGTTTCAGATTTTTTCGCAAGAATTTTATCTAAATTTTTACGTCTTACAATCTTCAATACTAATATATTTACAAATTGGTAAGTCTTAAAAAATGTCTACAATTAATAATTTTTCTTTGATTTTCTTTTTTTTTTTTGCAAAATATCCGATCATTTTTTCTTAATCGTTTTTATAATCTTTATTTGAAATTATTTGTTTCTTATAAATATATATCTATATGGTTTCTTATATTATGAGCAATTTGAGAAGTATTATAATTTTGCGAAATAAAAAATTATTTATGCAAAACAATTCAGTGACTCGTGTTTATTGTCAATATAATATTGTGTGCAAGATGTTTCGCGACTTCCTTTGAAAATTCTGGAATATCTGGCAAAATAGTCGCGTTGATGTAACGTTTTGCTTCGACACGTTGCTGTTCTCCTGTTTCAATATATAAAATTTTTCAGGGAAAAACTTGAAATTTCCACAGTTTTAGGGAAACAAGTAATAAAGAATGAGTTGTAATTTATATATATTATGACATAGCGTTGAATGGATTTCAATCAAATTCAAATTTTTAATTTTTAAATACATTTTTTCAATGAATTAACAGTTTTTTGGATGGGTAATTTTTTGCGCATTCGGTTAGAGGAATCTTTTACGAAAATAAGTTAAATAAATTTAATAAATAATAGTACATTTTATTATGTTATTTATATATTATACTTATATTATTTTTTTAACTCCGATTTTTTTCCAAAAAAATCGTATCATTAATATAACTGAGCAAAAATGTAAAACTTTTATTTTTAATTATAACTTATGACTTTGTTATAACAATTATTTTTCTTTCAATTTTCATTAAAAAAAATTGTTTAATTAAAAATTTTTTCTTTTAAAAAATTGTGATGAGAATAAAGATATAATTCAATAATAAGTAAATATTGTTTTTTCAGTTGTATTTATATTTTAAAAAATTTATAATATAATATTTAAATAAATATTAGTATTAATAATACTCTAAGTAGCAACGGTTGTGATCTGTGAAGCTAAAAATAATTACATATGAAAACTAATTGTAAGAAATACGTTGTTTTTTTTAAATTATACAAAATATTACCATTTGTTTTGATTTTAATTGTTTTCTTAATTTTTCATTTTTTATGAATTAAATTGTTGAAATTTTTTTTTTGATCTTTCTAATAATATTTTTCAGTATTATAATATCGAAAAATTAAGAAAAAAACTCTTCAGTAATATTTTTTTTTTATTAGAAAATTTACTATTTTTTTTTTATATTCAATTATTACTTTTTTTGTTTAGAATATTTATTGTATTTTATATTTAAGTATAAAAATAAAAATATCGATGAAAAAAATTTATTTCATTCAAATAATTTTGACTATTATGAAATAAATATTTTAAATTTTACGAATAAATGAAATATCATATTAGGTACCTAAACAGATTTTTCGTTGATACGGTATATGATTTAAAAATCCAAAAATATTATTAGTTCAAATAAATATTTTATTTTAATTCAAATGAAAATTGCTTCAAGTTCAAAATTTATTATTATATAATTATTTATATTTAAGTAAATGTTTATATAATTTAATTTTTTTCCATTTATAAAAAATAAAATCTGCAAAAATTTGTATACAAAAATATAATCTATCACTGACTAACACAATTAATAGAGAATTTCAGTTTTAAAACAAATAAAAAATGAAATAAAATTTTTTAATTTATAAAAAGATAAAGAGTAGAATTTTTTTGTGTTTGCATATATATAAATATTTAAATATATTTTTATATATTTATAGATTAAACTCGTGCAACATACGACAATGTGAAATTCCATCTTCATTGAACAGATCGTTAAGATTTCTCTTCCTATTCTTGGAAGGTTTCAAAACGTGTTCTGTCACACTTGACGAAGTTACCTGGTCGAGGTCATCAGGAGATCAGACCTCTCTAGAAGTTGATAAAGGGAATCCAATTCCTATGAAGAAAATCCGCTATTCTCTCCAGTCCTTTATAAGGTACGTATATGTATTTCCTTACAAATTTTACATAACATCCTTATTTTTCATTCATGTTATACAACATAAATCTATTATTCATAAAATATTACATAAAATATGTATAACAAGGTATATTACTTAACGTGCGATTTTTAAAATTTTCTGATATCAAATATTTACTACATTGTTTTCAATAATAATTTTTTTAAAAATTTTATTATTATTTTTGTAGGTATTGCTTAACAAAATCAAAAATATTATTTTATATTTTTTTTTCTCATTTCGACCAAATATAATATTAGTGTTGAAATAAAATTTAAAAAAATATATTTTTATTTTAGAAATAAATAACATTTTATATTTGTTTCAGATAAAAAATTTGTTTGTCAAAAAAAAAATTTTTATTTATTTATTTTTCCAAGTTTTATAAATGAAATCAATCGATTGAATTTTCTTTAAATATTTCTCAAAAATAATTTTTCTTTGACAAAATATATTAATAATCTGGCACATAATATGGATTTCTTATATTATATTTTTGAGTTTTTTTTTTTTTTTTTTTACAAAATTTTAGCTCAATCTATCAAGTATTTTGCGAGAAAACCAACGGAAAATTATTTATATGTGAAATTACAACAATCACATTATCTTAATAATAATAAACAAAAATATAATAAAAATAAAATAAATAAATAAATTGGAAAAAAAAGAGAATAAAAATTCAAAATACAATTTGATCCCAGCACCGTTTCTTGTGCAACAGAATTCATTAAAATCACTGCAGGTATTTGAAAAATATTTGCGCAAAATTAAAATTGTAAAAGAAATAAAATTTTTTTTTTTTTAAATTAACTGCAAAAAAAAAAGAATAAAATATTTTCCATACCAGAGGCTTTATATAGTAATTTTAATGTATGTTTTATTTTAGAATTTATTTTGTATAAAATATTTCTGCAAATAGTTTGCACTTTCGTATATATGTGTACGTATATATAGAATGTTATGTATATAGCTATATATATATATATATATAAGTATATAGATTCCGCAACTGCAAAATCCGATCGAGTACCTACTTGTTTGCGGATCGTGTTTTCCTGATGTGCAAACTTAGTATGCGCGTCGTGCGACATTGCAAAGTCACTGCCATTTGCTCAGTTGCAGTCAGTCTATCCTTGTTCAACAGAAAATGCACTATTTGCACTATATATAGTGCATCGTACACCAACTATTATATACACGCGCCGCGTTTATACCATATACATATACCGCCTAAGTATACACATATATATGTATACAATATACATTCTCAAATCATTTCTGCAAACTTTACAAACTATATACATATACGCGCGCAATATTTTCGCGCTTCGAATTTCAGAATATTTTTTTGAAATACAATATTCAATATACACTATACCAGAGAAAATGTAATTAATATTCTGCACCTATTTTTATGTTATTTTGGCCCACTGTTAAGTTGCATTGTTTATAATTTAAAAATTATAGAAATGTAATTTTTTCGCAATTGAATTTAAATTTTTAAATTATAAGTATACTTTTATTTTTTAAAGGTGACAATGTATGGTAGAGAAAAATTATTCATTTTTGGTATTTTAAAATTATAATTGTATTCAAAAATTTGTATTGTAAAAAAATTAAATTAAATGATATTTTTCTTTACTGAAAAAAAATTATTTCATACAAATAATCGGTTACTCTACTATTATCAAATATAAATATTTACTTGAATAAAATAATTTTTGTATTTAAAACAAAAAATTTAATTGGCTCAAATAATTATTTAATACTAATTTGATAATAGTTAAGTAATCGATTATTTGAATGAAATAAATTTTTTTTTCAGTATTACAATTAGTGTACTATTATTGTTCAAATTTTTTTTTAACTATTTGCTTTGCTAATTAAATTACGTGCAATTTTAGTAGGGCCAATGACGTAATACTAATTTATGATCTCATATTTTTTTTATAATTGAATGAAAATGTGAAACGTAATTTTGCATTATTGCAAATTACATTATTTTCGTTTAAAATTTTTTAATATAGATTCGGAAATATAAATATTTAAATTTTGTTATAATTATCAATGTCCTATTATTTCATGTTCATTAACAAAATCAAAAAAAAAAAAAAAAAAAAACAAAAGAAAATACCACAAAAATTTAGAATTATTTTTTTCAAGTACAAAAATCTCATTATTTCACGGCGTTTTAATTTTTTGATAATAAGATATTTGTAACGAAGCTGAAGTTCAAGTAAAAAAAATTCACTGATAAGATATATATATTTCGGCAAAAAAATATATTTATTTTTGCATATAATATATAAATGTTTGCGTTCAAGGTCGATTTAATAATTTTATTAAATTTCATATATCCATATAAAAATATAAATTTTGCAAATTTCTTTAATCATGTTTAATAAGACGAAAAGAATTTATTTGAGAAATTTTTACTGATTACCTTGAACTCTGAGAATAGGTAAAAAAAAGTGTGCGAAACCGTCGCACCTTTTTATTTATTTTTTTTTTTTTTTGCAGAGAATTGCAATCGAGGTCGAGAAAGGGTTAGAGAATATCGCCAGGCCTTCGAATTGGCGAACCTGGAATTGAGAAAGCATACGAGGCGAGGAGGTGATTCGCAATAATTTGCACAATCCACTGCTTTTACTTATCTGCACATTATGTTTGCGTGTTCGCATTCTGCAAAGACTGACCGCGTCGACTTGATCGACAACTTTCATACCAACTGTTCTATATATATATTATATATACATGTAATATGTATATTTGTGTATTTATACACTCATAATAAAATCTACACGGTGTGCAGATTTTCGCAAAAATGCTTTTTTAAATTCTAAAATTTTTATAAGTATTAGAAATTTTAAATTATTATTTTATTTGTTTATTTCTTATTTTATTTTGTTTGACAAGCAGATTTTTATATTGTATTTTTTTTTTAAACAAAATGAAAAATTACAAGCAACTTTGCAAACATTTGTATATAAAACAATATCTATATTTATACAAATTTTTAAAACAAGAAAACATTATTTTTATACAAAATTTGAATCAATATATATGTATAATAGTTCCAATCAGTTGATATATGTCGTGAATATTTGATCCAAACTGAAGTCTTTGTTAAAATAGTTGAAATTATTGGGATGTTTGTTGAACAATTGGAATATTGATTGAAATAATTGGAAAGCTTGTTGAAGCGCACTTGAAATAGAGATAAAAGAGGACTTGAGATTTAGTTATTATTATAAAAGTGATTAAATAAAAATTTCATGATTTATTGAAAAATGTGATAAAATTCAAATTTACAGAAATTGAAAAAATTAATGAAAAAAAATTTTTAATGAAAAACTAAAAGCTTTTGTCACAGTCAAGATTTAAAATTTGGGTCAGTCGAGGGGAAATTTACAAGTTAAAAACGTCTACACCGGTAATAATAATAAAGTTCCATTTATTAACAAATAAGAACGTATACATTTGTTTGGGACTTTTAAGTCCATACAAAGGGAGTTCCAATTAAGTAAAATTTATAATTAAATATTTTATAATAAAAATTTGCATAAATTTAAATTGTGAAAAAATGAAAATTTGCAATATTATATTTTATATATTATTGTTACATATGATAAAATAACCATTAAATGAACACAGAAATAATCTCTTTTTTTTCAATTACAACAAAAATGAAATTTTTAATAATTGATTAATTTAAAATACTTGCAGTCATTAAAAATTGACGAAATAAAAATATATCAATTCTCATTATTTTAAAATAAAAATTTATAATAAAATTCGATTTTGCGATTTCACATAATATAAATATTGTTCGTTGGTTTTCCTCGCAAAATACTTGATAAATAGAGCTAAAATTTTATGAAGAACTCAAAAATAATATAGACTATTCAAAAAATGTTTTGTGTCTAATTATTTTTTCTAATATTTAGATTAATATTATTTCTAATATTAATTATATTATTAATTATTTTTAATTATTATTTCCTAAAAAAAATTATATTTAACTATATAAAGATTCGTTGTCACGTGTCAGAATAAATTAATATTTTATCAAAAAATTTATTTCTTAAAAATATATGCATATATTTGCGAAATTGACTAAAATCTTTATTGCCGACATTTTAAATTTTCCTCAAACATGCAATTTATTAAAAATAAATTTTTTGCCAAAATATTATTCTTATTATTCATATTATTGTAGAAATGTAACTATTTGCCCGTATATTTTTATTTGAATTTTGTTAAAAATCTTAATTACAAAATTTATTTTGGACGGAATATTAACATATTTTTTTTTTTCAATAAATTTTTTAGTGTAATTTTATATTTGAGGAGTAAATTTTCAAAAGCTTATAAATTTATTTTTTAAAAAAATTTCAGGTAAACATAAATTTAATATTTTAAGGACCTCACAAATCTTTCTGTCACTCTGTTAAATTTAAGAAAAAAAAAAATTTATTAACAACGAATTTTCAATGTTAAAACTTTTGGAAATAACCAAGATGACTTATAATTTTTATGTTTTTTTATTAGAAAAAATTATCAAAATCTGTAAATCACTAAATTATAATAATGTTAAATTAAAAACAAAACGTTTTGAATATAAAAACATTTTTTTTAGAAATTAACTAGGGTAATGTGTACAGTGACCGACACTCTGGACATATACTTTCAACTTTATTGAATATTTAGTTATAAAATAAATTTCAAATAAAAGATTTGTGTTAAAATTTATAGTAAATAAGTTTAAAATTAAAAAACAGTTTGAGAAGAGTTTATAATATTAATTTTAAAATGTATGCTATGCAAACAGTGAACGATACCCTTTAATAAAATAAAAAAATATATTTAAACTACTATTTAAGTAACATATTTATTAATATTATCACAAATTTTATTATTCAGATTTAATGCAAAAAAAAAAAATTGCTTTTAAAATATAATTATTTGACAATTTCTTCATATTTATAAAATTTGTAATCAATAAAGCAAATTTTTTGAGGTTAGCTTTCTAGAAAGTAAAATATTGGGGAAAATATAAACATATAAAATTTTGTGTCAACTGTATCAGTTTCTAAATATTGTATATTAATCAAAATACCGGTGATATTTAATTAAATAATTTTATTTCTATAATTATTATCGTTTTTAATAGTAGAGGTGTTGTGCACTGTCAGGGTGTCGGTCATTGTACCTTTTACCTTTATTACAAATTTTATATTTTAAAACTAACTGTAGTGGTTATGTGAGAAAAGTCATTTGTATCAATTTCTCGAAATAAGAAAATATGGATTTATCAGATTTTGAAAAGTTGCTCCTCATTTAGATGACTGACATATTGCAAACTTATGAAGCCTCGTGTAGTAACTTCAAAAGTCTAATAACCTGTTGAGAATTTCAGTTCGCTTTCTATCCGGCGATGAGAAATATGAGAAAGTATTTTATCTCAGTGATGCTCAACCCAATGTTGTTACAAGATTGCCAAGTACAGCGAAAATTGTTCCCATTGACGTTGGTTGAGTGCAATTAAATGTATCGGGCCGCTCTTGTGCCGATGAATTCGGCGGCTATTTAATAAAAACTATCCGGATCGCAGCCAACATGACAAGTAAGCCACTATATTCAACTAATATTATATATGAAAATACTTTGGTATATATATATATTTCTCAGAGGGAATCGGTATAGACATTACATTATGCATAGGTTGCAAAACTTCTCGCAAAACTGACACATATAATTAAAGTGACATCAGGAATGGTAGAAAGATCTAGGAGGATATACTTGGATAATAATTTTTTTCATTTTTTTTTTTTGGCGGGTATTAGAAAAGAGTGCCAAAGTTTCTATCAAGTATAGCATCGTAACAGGAGAACGAGAAAGAGTGTTGGTATATCGCTGCGTTTCTCTACTGCGCATGGGTAATGTATTCTTCAATTCTGTTTCTTTTTCTTTCTTTTTTTTTTGTTTGATGATATTTTAAATATTGAAATTGGAAAATTATTGGAGAAACTAATAATTTATGCTTTAAATTATTTTCCTTATTTTATTTTGCTGAAAAAAAAATTGCGAATAGATTTGTAATGCTTAGATATATGAGGAATTCTTACCTCACGTCAGTAGATAAAGACGTTCATGGTGAGACGAATTCAGTTCGAATGATGTCATATAATTTTGTTGTGTGTTTATATATGCGTGATATTGCTTCCTCTTGAGCTCAGAGAAAGATTATGTTTTAAATTAACAATTTTTTTTTTCTATAAAATTAATTTTTTTGGTTATTTGAAATAAAAGTTGTTTAATAAATATTTATGAAATTTAAAAATAATAGTTTTAGTTCACTTTAATATAATTTTTTTTAACGAATTTTTGATTGATTTATATAAACAAATCTGTGATTAACTATAAATTATTATGCGTTTTTTTTAAATTCAAAAAATATATTTGGTTTTTTTAAATACATTTTTTTAAGCGAGGAGGAAGTATTCTAAAATGATAAATTTTCAAACTATTATTCTTTATAAATTTTTATATTATTATTTTGTTGTCTGAATTAAGTTTGCAGTTATTTAAATTTAAATCTAAATGTTAACTCACTTTTGCGGACTTGATTTTTTTAATTTTTCCAATTTTTAGAAAAGAAATTTAAATTTTTTTATTTTTATTAAAAAGATAGACCATACTTTTTATTTCGTAGTGAATGAATGATAAACAAATTTTATTTTTAACATAAATGTTAGAAAACAAAGATATATTCTGAAGTAAATATAATTGGTGTTTACAAGTTAAGAAATTTTTTGAGACAATTGGAGAGGTAGTGAGTTGGATTGTGATCTCTGCTCCCCTTATCCGTGAAAATAAAAATAAATGGATAAAGGCTTTCGAGACTGTCTTGTTTGAAGATGATTTGAGAATATTGAATGAGTCTCAATCTTTACAAATTTTACCGCATTTGCCGCTGTTTGGGGGTACTCAAAAATACCTTCAGTTGAAAATACCTATTAAATATAAGAAAATTATAGCTCAACTAAGACTGATAAATAGATATAAGAGTAGAATTATAATTAAGGGTAAAATAATTATATTTGAAAGTGATCTACGGTGTGATAAGTGAGGTAGGGATGTTACTGAGAATCTGTTTCATTTGTTGATTGAGTGTTTATATTATAAAGAAGAAAGAAAGATGTTTTCAACAGAGGATTGTGAGTTCGAAAAAATCACAGAATTATGGTTAAAGATGCTTAGTAATACCGATATAAGTAATGGAAAAAAGATCTATGTTTTTAAAAAGAGTGTTAGAACGCAGAGGATATTAAAAATATAAATACGTATTCTATATTAAAATTAAAATTCAATATTGTTTTTAAATTCAATTATTTTTATTGCTCGATTTAAAAAAAAAATAAATAAAAATTTCAGTACTGATCGATATTGCGTAGAGCAAAATTGGTTAAAAATTTTATTTAAAACTAAAAACTGTTAAGAAACTGTTTTTTAAAATAAATCTTTCCTATGTAAGAAAATTCAAAAAAAGTAGAGAAATAATAAATTTCAAAATAATTAAATGTGAAAATAATTTCATTTAAAATGTTTTTATAAAAAATAATTTTATCTAAAGACCATTAATTTTAAAAGAATTAAACTTTTTCAATGATTTAAAATTTTAATACAGAATTAAATTTTTTTAATAATTGAATTTAAAAAAATTAATAATTACATGAAAATTTAATTTAAATTAATTTAATTAATTAATATTAAATATTATATATATAATAAATATATAATAATATATAATATTAATAATTAATAAATATAATATAATTAATAATTTATAAATATTAATATATATAATACATTAATAATTAATTAATTATATTATATATTATATTATTATATTTATTTTATTAATTATGTTGAAAATAAAATTGTATTGTAATTTGTTAAAAATATATTTGAGATAATTTTCCGATTTCAATTAATTTAAAGTAATTAATTCATAAATAAGAATCTTAATTTAAATTATAGATATTATAATAATACAAATAATTGTTAATTTAGTTTTTTTGTAATTTCATAGGAAATATACCTATAAATTATTAGAAAACAGAATTGAGCGGTTTTATATTTCAATTTTTTCTTGAGGTGAATTACGTGAGAATATTTGTGGTATATTTTTTGCTAAACGATATATTGCTTGATAAATTGACAAGACATTGACAGGTGTTTTTATGAAGGATCATCTCGATGCAGTGGTTAGTGAAACTCTGCGGATATGTGTGGATTCTCCACAGTTGAACCATAGTCGGTTTATATCGTAAGTGGCTGCGGTATTCGGCTGGTCAGATCGATGAGACGCCGTCGTCGCGGCGCCTCGCAAACGCCCAACTTGGCTCTCTCTACTTTAACCCAACAAGTACTCGATTTTCTTTCCCTTCATAATTTCCATTTAGTTACCCATGACAAATATTCAACTGTTACTTGCATATAATCGTAATGCAATAACGAGCATATAAGATATATTTCTTTAAATTCCATTTGTATCTTTAGTTCACAATTTTAAAGATTCTATTTACTGTATTTTTTGTATTATTGTATAATTTCGTGAAATTTA